TGATTTGTGTTTTGTCTGGGCCTATACATCCAGCATTACCTGGAATCTATAGTTTTGCCCTCTGCTAGGAGCAGAAGAGCTTCTAGTGACAATTGTAAGCTTGACATACTGATCAAAATCTGAATATTAAATAGTTGTGTGCTAAAAAAAGTCTCCTGAAATTTTATTCACCAATTAATGAGAAAATAAATGTATGAATTAATTTTGAAAAATACAATAAAACAGCATCCCTCAAATAATTTACAACAAATTGTAGTAACAAGAAAGTATAAAAATTAAAGCGGGCTGATGCAACATAACCCTTTAAAATGCCTGAGCAAATAAAGAAGTTTTAACCTGGTACGGAAAAGACTGCCATGTTGGTGCCAGGCTTACCTTGCTGGGAGGGCATTTTAGAGGTAGGGTGCATCTCTAAGGAAAGTACCTCTTTTTAGAACATACATAACATACCTCCTTGAAGGAAGACATGTGGGGAAAATTATAAATGAGATAACACCATCCCAATTAAAATGGAGGAAAAGAACTTGTTCAATATAAGCAGAAATCAGGTTGCCAATTTTTTTAGCAGGCCAGACCCACATATTAACTATTTGTATGCAATTTGCAGCCTCTGAACTTCCTCCATTTTGAAACTGTTCAAGGTGAACACCCTTATATTTCCTCACTGCCTTCTTCCTCATGCTTCAAACCTTAGCCCCACACTTTATTTTCATTTTTATTTGTGCAAAGATGCATTTTTGACACTATTTTGAAATTGGCACACCAGAGAAATACTCAAGCAGCCTTTTTTTCCTGTTCTACTGCCTGGCGTGTGTATGAATTCAGCCTGTTCCTCCTGCCAGCAGTATTACAAATCATAACTCATGCCGTCAGCCCTTGCCACACTGGAGCACATTTTCTGCTTCATTCATCACCGTCAGGGTCTTATGAACGAGGATGTGTTCAGGCAGGTCATACAGTAAAGAAACCACTGAAGTGAAGCTGCCTAGAGACCTGGTTAATAGTTCATGATTTCTACAAGAAATTCAATTACGGGGCCAGAAGAGGGCTCAGGCTTTCCCTCAGCAATCTTCCCAGCATCCTGATGTTGTTCTTTTGAGGCACACATACAGCCTCAAAGGTCGTCCAGTCCAGTCGCCTGCTGATGCCAGAAATCTGCATCTATAGCCTCCCTAATAGGTGGACATCCATTCTCTGCTTTAAAAACTTTTAAGAAGAGTCCACTGCCATCCAAGTTGAACAGCTAATGCCATCAGGAAGTTCTTCTTAATGTTTAGCTGACAGTATTTTTTAAAAAGTAGTAAAACTTAATTTAACTTATCCCTTTCCTTGTAACGTGAACCCTTTGGTTAAGGTGCTCCATCATCTATGTGAAGATGGCTATCACATTGTGTCTTCCCCAGGTGAAATACACCCAGTTCGTTCATCCTCTCCTCACAGCACTTTGTCCCCAGGCCTTTCACTGTCATCATCACCTTCTTGTGTTCCAGTAGTTTGCTGACACACTTCTTAAACTGGTGGAACACTCTGTCACAAGAGACTAGGGCCCTGCGGGACTTGACATCTTTCCGCAGGGCCTGCAAGACAGAGTTGTTCCACCAGGCCTTTGGACAGGGCACAGGCTGACTCCTTCCCTCGGCAATCTTCGCAGAGCTCTGGCCCAATGGTTGCCAGTGGCTTGCTTTGAATTAATTTTATAATGAATGATTTTAGAGTGTTGTTTGTGTTGTACTTTTGTACTGTTTTATTGTTGTTAGCCGCCCTGAGCCCGGCTTTGGCTGGGGAGGGCAGGATATAAATAAAATTTATTATTATTATTATTATTAAACTGTGGTGACCAGAACACCATACTTCCACTGAAGTCTGACCCAAAGAAGAGTAGAATAGTACTGTTTCTTTTCATGACCTGGACATGACATATCTGTTGTTGCAACACTGCTGATGCATTAAGCCTTTTTAGCTGCTGTATTGTTCTGCTGACAAATAACTTGTGGTCCATTAAACCCTCTGCATCTTCCCTTCTAAAATTTACTGCTGTAAAGCCAGGTGTTCTGTGAGAAGGATTGACGGCAAGGCTCAACCACACAGCCTGCATTCATTTGGGCACGCATGTGCAAAGTGTTTTCCTCTTACCATTTTGAGCGGCTTCAGATATACCAGGATGCACAAGTGTTGTGCTTCCTGCTCTCTGTGCTTACGTGTCCACAACTTAACATTTGCATCTGCAACTGATGTGTGTAATGCAACTGGGACATATCAATGAATTTCTCCACACAATAGGCAGGGGTTAGCAACAGCATGGAAAATAGTTAGCATGCCCTGCGCAACATGTATAAGCCAGCCGTCTTCTCTGGCATGAGCTACAAAATCAAGGAGATGGCTGCCACTACACCATTTTTACTGCTCAATTCACACCAGTCTTTCCTCATGTGATCACACAAGTATGTGGCACAGTTCATTAGAGTGTGAATCCTTTGTGCAATAAAGTTTCCTCTAAATCCAAAATGTGTGTGAGAGCTTGTTCTTTCTTAACTCCAGGGCACTCCGCAGCACACGTACTGCTTCCATGCCCAGCTGTTTCACACATGTACAACGCTCACTCAGCTGCTTACACAGCATTAACATCTGATACCCTTTTCCCACAGAAAGAAAAGGCTAAGCCAAATCGGTTATATCACCTACCACAAGTTGAACAAAATGAACTAACGGCTATATATCCTTTCGCTGCATTGGTTCCAGTGGGTTTTTTTAACTATCAAAACCTTTGCAAAATATTTAGGATGAACACATTCTCAAACTTGAGCTCTATCCTGAAAAGAAACACAGACTGTGTGCCTTATGTTTTGCCAGTCTATGATCTTCTTCATTTCTAAAGGCAATGGAACCATGGAATAGTAACAAGGCCAACAACTGGGAATAGTTTTCCTCACTTGGCTGCCATATTCTTGCAAACACCGTCTGGAAAACTTTTGGGAGCAATCAGGGAACCAGAAGACAGCTGTCAGCTCACAGTGAGACGTCTGCCTTGCATAATATCATTTTTTTTTGTTGGAGAAATTGCCTGAGAAATAAACATGCCAGGTTTGCAAAAATTAGAAAGTGTTTTTAGGTCTGATATGAAACTGAAAATGGATCGCTTTTTCAGTAGAAGAGATAAGCTTCTCTCTCTCTCATACCGAAATCAGTGGTGCTACAAAAGTGCATTGCATGGTGGTAATAATAATCTGCTTAGCATTCTGCAGTATGATCCTCACCTTGTTTACTTAGAAATAAACCCTAACAAGTTCAATGGGGCTTACTCCCTGGTAAGGTTGTTTAGGATAGAAGCCCTTTTTGCAGAATGCTGTGTAAGCTTGGGTTTGCCCTCACAACATAAAAAATGTAGTATAAACACAGACAACTGAGAAACACTAGCCTGCGAGTGCTCCAGTTGGAGAACAGCCTTTACCAAAGGTGTCATGGGCTTTGAAGACATTCGAACTCAGGACGCAAGGGAGAAACATGCTAAGAGGAAAGCATGCTTGGCAAATCCACACCTTGATCAACTCCCGCCCAGAAACCAATGTCCCCACTGTGGAAGGACGAAGAAGAAGAAGAAGAAGCAGCAGCAGCAGCTAGGCAGGTCACAATGGCTGCAATCCCAGTACATATTTATCTGGGAATGCGCCCCATTGATCTAAATGTATTTTATGTTATCATTTTGTGTTTTTATGTTGTGAACTACCCTGTGATCTTCAGATGAAGAGCAGTATACAAATTTAATTAATAATAATAATAATAATAATAGGATTTACTGTTGAACAGACATGTATAGGATTGTGTTGTATAATTCTGAGGACTGAGATTGATATGCAGTAACGTCAATAGCCACATAATGAGCCACACAAAGGTTGAGTTCAATCCAAAGGCCAAAGCTAAGTTCTTCCCTCAACCTACTGCACAATGCCTTTGTTTTATTGTCTCTGGCAATATAATTATAGGAGAAGCCAGGAAACAAGCCACAAAGTTAGCTCTGAAGGGCCTCCTCCTGATCTCATGCTTCATGGAAGAGGGTCACTGAATTATTTATGATTTGCAAAGCACCTTTAATTTTCAGCCTTCCACCTGTGCATGTATCTTACCTGTCCAATGATCTCTAAATGACTCATTGCTAGATATCCAACATTTCCAACAATGGTGGTACAGTATTGAAAGATACAGCTCCTGAGAACAAGAAATTTAATTTCAAGAAGAATGCCTGCACTGGGCTTATCAAAATGAAATGTGTTTTTAAAAAATACTGTGAGGTAATACATACACAGAGGACCATCCCTACCATTTGTTATGGCTGCCTCAGGCAGCAGAAGCTGAGGGAAAGGTAACAATGGTGAGGTGTTAGAGGACAGAGAGGAATGTGTCATGGGGTGGTTTGCTTGCCCAAAGCTAGCCTGCTGCTCACCAACACAAGGGAGGACACTGGCCTCTTGTAAGTAAGTAAGTAAATTTTTATTTATATCCCACCCTCTCCAGCCAAGACGGGCTCAGGGCGGCTAACATCAAATATCAAATACATTAAAACACAATTGAACAATTGATTAAAATACAGCTTAAAAATTAGAATCAGGATAAAATTAAATGATTGCCCACGAATTACAACCATAGGGGTCAGGAACCTCAAGTATTCATCAGGGCCAGCTATACATGTTGGTCCCACATGAGCCGATAAAAGGGCCAAAGAGGTAACTTACAGGGTCCCATAGAGGGGGGTCAAACTGGGCCCGGACTGAAGGCCAGGCAGAACAACTCCATCTTGCAGGCCCTGCGGATAGATGTCAAGTAATAATAAAGTTGCCAGGCCGGTCAGATTCTGTATATGAAATTGAGGTGTGGGGCTTGTTTTTTGCCTCAGGCAGTAAAACATCTTGGGCCAGTCCTGCACGCACAACTATAACCATTTTCTTTTTATTTAAATAATAAATAGCAAAATATTCTTACTAGCAAAAATTAGGCTGAAAATTGTGATGCTTTTCATTTCAGCTTCCCCACTCCACCAGCAAACAGGAACAAGGTAAGTACTCTTCAAAATGGAGAATGAAGACTCTCCTCACATTTCTAATCACCATTGCTCTTTGCTGAGGCCCTTCCACTGATTAAAGATGTTTAGTTCGTTAATCAAATTCCTTTTAACTGATTTAATCAAAGAATAAGTACATTTAAAGAGATGTTCAAAATGCTTCAAATAATAAAACAAAAATGCTCTTCCGTCTCAGGGCCAAAGTTGACAAGAGCAGGCCTGTCGTCTGACAAGCATGACAAGCAGCCAGTCTTCCTTCTAACACTGAAGCAGTAGAGGTGGGTGGGATCATCCAAGAAGTTGCTAGGAAGGAGAGGAATGCTTGGCATCTGGGTGGCAAAGGGTTCTGAAATGCCTCAGCCACATGGAGCCAAATCAGCAATCCCATACAACCCTCACCCACCTGTCTAGCTCCCAAATGGAAAAAAGCAAGAGGGGAAGAGTTGACACGGCTGTCTCAAGGCTCTCTATGCATCTTTGTGCAGCAGCACTCAACAGTGCACACTCCTGCCATCACTGTGCACCTTCAGGAAGACGTGGATACTATCTTATGTGGGGGAAGCCAAAGTGGTGTCCTTCAGATGTGGTTGGACTGCAACTCCCATCATTCTTGGTCATTCACTTGTTCACCTGGGCTGATGGGAGTTGGGAGTCCAGCAGTATCTGAGAGGCACCACATTGACTACATCTGATCTGATGGAATAGGTGCAGCTTCTTCTGTAGCTCTGCTGCAGAGATGGGAGGTCAGGGAAAACACCCAACAAGCTTCTGCCAGCACACAGCTTTTAAAGGTTTTCTTAGGTTTCCCAGGATTGGCCACATTAAAACCAGGCTTTTGTGCTATGTTCCACTTTAAATTATATACTTTATATTGAAAGATGTTTGGTTGGGGGATTTTTTTTAATCACACATTTTCACAAACGGCACCTAAAACCAAGCCTACTGATGTACACCCCACTTTTCAACAATAAAATTAACACCCATCATATCCTAACATGAAAACTCTCGTGTTGGGATTTAGAATTGTACAATGTAGTGGCGTATTTGTAGCTAATGTACTAATATTTGATTCAGCCGTTCTACCTTCTCCCATTCTGTAACACAAAGCGAAGATCTTCATATTTTTTCTCTGTCAGAAATTAAAGTAGAATCCCCTCTTCTCCCACTTCCCCGAACAGCTGAAAGAAAAAGAGCTTCGCCTCCTTAGACAATCTCTAGTCAATTTTTAACGTCGTTCTGCTCTCTTATCGGTTTGCATTTCCCCCCCTTGTCTGCCCTCTGGGCTTTTCAGAAAGAGGCGTCCCACTCTGTTTCTGTGTGATTTGCATAGACTGTTTTACTTCCTGGTACAGACAAGCCTGTTCAGCAACTTACCTGGCAGAGGAAGGCAGAGGAAAAGAGAGGGAGAGAGAAAAGGGAGGGGAAGAGAAGAAGTCCTAAGAGAAGAAAGACCCTAGCAAGGCTAGGGTGGTCCTCTCTGCCTCCCTAGTCATCTTCTGGGGTCTAAGGTAAGTTCTCAAAGGTCCTTCCACCCCACTTCCTTATGTATTTCTCACTAGCGCTGCTGACCCACTTTCTCTCATGTGGTTTGTTCTTCTCTGTCTGGGTGTGCTCTTATTAGTTGCCAATTCTCTCCAGTAGCAAAAGGGTTGCGCTTAAGAGCTTTGGTGACCACTTTGCAGGTAGTTATATCCGATTACCAGTGGGGAAGACAGATATTTTGATAACACAGAAAGTTTGCTTCTGTTGCCCTGTACATCTGCAGTACTGTCGTGGGGAAATGTCAGGCCTTGCTACAGCAGATCCTCACAGGCTGAGAGACCTTGGCTGCAATTCTTCTGCTCCTCTTATATGCAATGCAAAATGAGCTTACTTAAACATATGGGTGTGAGAAGTGCCGACCTCTGTATGGCTTCCAATTTGTAATGGATTTGGTATTTTCAAAAGGTTTGTTTTTACTGGGCTCACAAGTGATTGCTACTAGTTAAATGATTAAGCAAATTAGTAATGATAGTGGATTTAATGGTCAGAGATTAATAAATAATAGGTAATAGATAGAAAGACAAGATAGCAAATAGAAATACATTAATAAACAACACACACTTTTTATGGGAGAGGGACATTGTCACAGAAGAAGGTTGTTGCTAGGGCTCCATGCCTTATACTGCTAAATGTTTCTATGAAATATGCAGAACCTAGTGCTGTTGAAAGCAGAATAGTGAGATTGATGAATAGTTCTTTTGGACATGCGTCTTTTGTCCTGTACTCTTTTTAATTTAAGAAAAATGCTGTCACAAAAGCATATGAAGGCAAGCGTAATTCTCTTATTCCCTCTGCCTCTCTCTCTCTCTCTCTCTCTCTCTCTCACACACACACACACACACACACATATATATATATTTATATACTCAATAGTCTGCTTCCTCTCTTTTCTTCACATGCCTGAATCCTAGCTATGGGCCTGTCTTAAACAGCATGAAACTGAAGGCCTTTGAAGTGGGAGGAATTTACCTAGTACGCCATTCTTCACTGTGCATTCTTTCTCTTCCTGTCAGAAAAGGTTTAATCAAAAGCAGGCTGGTTTAGCGAGGCCTGTTCTTTGGAAATCTCGTAGGCCAACACAAGCCTTTAAGCAGGAAACTACACAGATTTCAAACAATCTATGTGAAGAATTGTACTAAGCAGTTTGAATTTGGAACTGAGCATGAGAGTAAGATGTGATCTTTCTTAAATGCTGAATCTTATTATGTTGTGCATTTCAGCCATCAATATGAACTCATCCATGATAAGTTATTAGCTAGTTATTAGCATCTGCTTCTCTTACTACTCATCTACCACATCTTGGAAGCCTGAATGACTGTTATCCATTGGCACAGTCATTTAGTTATCAACATTTCTGTGCCCCTTTCTTTTAGCTAAGGGGAAACTGCTCCCCTGCTTCTGGTGTTTCCTAGTCCTTCAACCACACTGACAGGCCAAATGGAAGACCGCCTCTCTGTCTGGGCCTTTTGCAACTCAGATTTGGAACCGCCTACTCACAAGAGCTTGAGTTTTCTGCGAGATCTCTCACTGAAGACCTCCAGAGCAATTTGCAGAAGGAATTTGTGTTGCATAATGTAGTTTTGACAAGGAAGGGAGAGAAAACATAGGAGTTAATAGATCCTAAATTTTGTTAATGCAGGCAATTTTGAGTTAGACTGTTCAAGAGTGTAGGTCAGTATAATGCAAAAACCTATGTTCCCATGCTTTCAAGTATCTGTGCATATGCATGCCTTGAACAGATGATCAGTGCTATAAGTTTTCATAGCAGTGTGTAACCAAGACCGGGGAGACCCTGGGTCAAATCCCCACTTAGCCATGGAAAGCTCACTGGAGAACTTTGGGTTGTTGTGAGGATAAAACAGGGAAGGGAAAGAACCTTGAGCTCCTTGAAGGAAAGGTGAGGCAGAAATGTAATAATAAATTAAATAAACCATAGAACCATAGAATTGAAGGGACCACGAGGATAATCTAGCCCAACCCCCTGCAGTGCAGGAAACCTTTGCCTAAAGTGGGCCTCAAACCCACGACCCTGAGGTTTAGAGTCTCCTGCTCTATTTTTTTTTAACATTGGCACTGCAGCACTATTGTTACTTCCCTGCCACACTGATATGTTCATTGTATATTCAGATGACTTGGGAAGTGGAGGGTTGAAGACCGTATTATAGACAGAGCTCAGAGCTGTTTAAACCAGGATTGAGTTACCGTACTTTTGCTCCAATCCTTTGGAAACAAAAGTCAGAATGAACTTTCCTCAAGCTGAGGATACAGTATGAAAATGTTCTCCTGGGTCTTTTATATTCTCTTCCAACATCCCTGCAATTACAATAAAACCTCACTGTGACCATGAAGCAACAAAGGAAACAAAAAACATTCATTTTAAAAATAAATTGCAGAGTGATTGTCTAGTTGCAGTGTCCATTTGATCTCACTTTCTGCTACTAATGGGTGCTTTTTTCTTTCCATGTATTATTTTGTTCTGCAGTCCTTTGGGAAAGGATGAGATTCAGCCTGATATTTTAGAGGTTAAAGAAGGAAGAGGGGGGACAGGATTGTTCTCTGACCCAGTCAGCAGATCTCCTATTGTATTTCATTTAGGAGTAGATTTTCATCATGCCTGTTTATGTTCCTCCAGAGAGAAATACATTTTTAAGTGATTATTTCTGATGGTGTGGAGGTTACTACAGTTTAAGTCTACAGGACTCTAGGTATGTGCAGGCAGTTTTCAGTGGTTTCTCCTCATCAGAAACTGAAGAAGTTAAATTGGATTTGTTTCAGTTTTAATATTGAACTTTTCCCTTTATGCAACTGCAAAATGAGTGAGGCTTGAAGGAACACATCAAATCATCTCTACTGGAACACATTATTATTCTTCCAAACTTGGCAAGAAAAAGTAACCATGAATAACATGTGCTTCCTCAAATTAAACGCACGGGTTTTTGGACCAGAGAGCTGCACAGGTCAGAATGGAGAAACAAACACTCACTTGTTAGGATCCTAAGTCCTTTAGGTTTTCCCTCTGTGGGTAATAGCAGCTTTGGGAGGGCGCTGGCTTGATTTGGGGCTATAGTGCAAAGGCAAAGGCTTGCACCCTCCCTCTCCTGCATCACCTTCCAATCCAAATCTGCCACCAACTCCATACTTGGACATTCTGTGGCAAATTTATGTAACAAAATGCATCTCTTAACTGTAACTAAAACTTCTAAGGGGTTTAACAAAGAATATTCTCACCTCTACCTAGTTTTATGTGTTTATTGCCTCCATAAAAGAGATGCAATATGGAATTGGAAATTGCTAATTTAGATAAGTCACAAGCTATGAAATTCAGGGTATTTTACCCATACACTCAGAGCCCAAATGGATGCTATAAAATGAAAACGCAGGAGAGCTAAAGTAGGATGTCCGTAACAAGTATTAACTCTTGGTTCTGAAGTATTATACCATGGAGTACAGAGTCAAACTAAATACATTTTTAGTAGCGGGGGATTTATTATTATTTGTGTATCAGAGACCCTAAAAAGTTTGACAGGTCCTTTGGGAAGGTGTAATAGCTAGAATGGAACTATTTTATAAATAAAATCATAGTGGAAAAAAATGTGTGGTGTGTTGCAGTCAGTCACAAACAATATATTGCATAAATGAACCTTTTATGAACCTATTTTTAGTCAGAACCCACTTTTAAGAATAAAATAGAAAAAAATAGACCAGAACACCAGGCTCTAAGGAGCCAAACCAACACAGCATCTGTGGTACAGAAGACTAGATAGGAATGCTGCCACTAGACCAAGAATCCATATTGAGACATCAATGTGATCAAGAGTTTTGCTCTGATCCTCAGCTATGATATTTTTGTCTTCCCCTGCGCAGTTGCATCTGCAGTTGGTACGTCTATCGACGGATTTCTTTAAAAATATTGAAATGGCGTCCCTAACAGGTTAGTATTTTTGCTTCTCAACTATGCAGAGTTAATTTAATTCTTCAAAAGCCATTCAACCAGTGATGATAAAATGCATCGTAATCTCTTGGCTGTCTAATCACGAATCACATCAGAGATGGGTAAACAGTGTGCTGCTTGCTGTGAAAAATTATCCTTGAAAGAATGCCAAATGCTTTCCAACACCGTCATAAAAACACACATCTCACCTGGAGACAGGGGCAAAGGGTTGGGTATGAAACAAAAAGATTGGGGGTGAGGGGCCACTCAATGTGGCTTGTGCCCAACTTAATTCTGCTTGCAGCTATCTGAGCATAGAATCATAGAATTGTAGAGCTGGAAGGGATCATCTAGTTCAGGGGTCAGCAAACTTTTTCAGGAGGGGGCCGGTCCACTGTCCCTCAGACCTTGGGGGGGCTAGACCTACCCTCTCCCGAAAGCATCCCCCCCTCCCGAAAGCACCCCCCCGAAGGACCCCCATCTCCCGAAAGGACCCCCTGCTGCTGCCACTCATGCCGCCACTGCTGCCTCATCTTTGGCAGCATCTCTGTCCTCTTCCTCAGCAAGGGATCTGCGAGGTGCAGAGCCCAAGCCGCTGGCCTGGGCGGTGGAGGCAGCTTCCCTGCCGCCGCTGCTTCCTCCCGCTTGGCTCTTGGCCATACGTGGCTGCCTCAGTGAGAAGGAAGGGGCGTCACCCAGAGGCATCTCCAGCTTCAGATTGGCTGCAGAAGCTGCGCCAGCATCACAGAAGTCAGTCCCCACGCAGCAAGGCTTCCGCACCGGGCCGGTTTAGCGCAAGGACTGACCAAGCGGGTGGCAGGGTCCGCAAGGTTTGCGGATCGGATTAACGAGCCCGGTGGGCCACATCTGGCCCCCGGGCCTTAGTTTGCCAACCCCTGATGTAGTTCAACTCCCTGCAATGCAGGAATATCTAGCTGTCCCATATAGTCTCCTGGTATGCCCCACAGAGGACCTTACGGTCTGCAAATAATAACACCTTGGAGGTCCCGGGCCTCAAAGAGATTAGAGTGGCCTCAACCAGGGCCAAGGCCTTTTCAGCTGTGGCCCTGGCCTGGTGGAATGCTCTATCACAAGAGACCAGGGCCCTGCAGGATCTGACATCTTTCCTGCAAGACGGAGCTGTTCCGCCAGGCCTTTGGCCAGGGTCCAGTCTGACTCCCCCTTTCTCCTTATAAGAACTTGCATGAAAGTGGTCCCCCAACTTTTCTCACAGGCTCATACAAGATCAGTATAAACAGTTAGGCCTGGTGAGCATTTAAGGTCCCCATCCCTAATTTGCAGGTTACCTTCTGATTGGATTTCACTTTGATTCTGATTTGATTTTAGGATGTATTTTAATTGATTGATTGCTTTTATGGTAATATGTTAAATATTTGATGTTAACCGCTCTGAGCCTGGTTTTGGCCGGGGAGGGCGTGGTATAAATAAATTTAGTAGTAGTAGTAGTATGGGGATTGAACTTGCAACCTTGGCATTATCAGCACCATGTTCTAACCAACTGAGCTATCCAAGTTGTTCACAAGGTCAAACATCATTGCTTGTATTTTATGCATAACAAATCAATAGACACTTTATACTGTATTTCTTTTCTGTTTTTAGGTGCTGCGATGGGTCGAAGTATACCAGTTGAACATGATGAAACTGGAGATTGGTCGCCATTTCCAGAGCATTCACTGGAAGAGGCTTTGGACCCTTCTGGTGAAAATATAGAGAACTTGGTGCCCATAGGATCTTATCCATCTCAAATGGCTTCTCGTTCATTGACTAGGCAATCATGTTTCTGCAAGCACCTTAATCGTGTGGGTTATAATAATGCTGATCTGGAAGCGTCTAACCACAATCACCTGCAACGATGCCAGGATTCTAGAAGGGAGATACCTCCTGGTCCATTCACTGAATCAACAACTTCATCAGAACTTCATATTTTATCTATAGACAAAAGGAACCAGCTGCTGAGGTCTAGGCCTTCAGCTGATTCTCCTGACACTGGACACAATTCTAGTGGTCTGCAACAAAGCTCATCTGACATTTACCAAAATTCATCTGGTGAAAGTCAGGAGAATGCAAATCTAAACCAAACTCAATGTAATAGACCACCAGTAGACCTACGAACAGAAGATGCAGGATATGATTCTCAGCCTCTGGATCTTATGGGCATCAGGCAGCTAGAACCTCCATTGCCACTTACTTCCGTTTTTAACCTCCAAGACCTTCCAAGGCCTCTGATGTCCAGAGAGTTACCGCAGATGGACCCTCAGCCATATCCTGTGTTCCCACAACTGGCCCATCCTTCCCCACAATCTCAGTGGCATCCTAGATACTACATTCCTGGGGATTTACATTGCCAGAATCCATGTAAGTTAACTGGTCAGGTATTCAGAATACTTTTTTTCCTAAATAGCTTAGAGAATTTTGCACAGTTTTTCCAACTATATTTAATCATAAGAAACGTGTGCTTCTGGCTTCTAGCATTTCTTGCCATCCACTTTTATGTTTGCAGTTCTTAGCTATACCAGTGACCTCATAAAGGCTGGGGATTCCATTCAACAAATCAGCTGCGCAGTTCAGATGTTTACACTTCTGAACGAGAAATCTCTGCTAATCTAATCCTCACATTTTGTGATCTGGCACTTGCCTTTCTCTACTATAACTTCCTGTCCTGATAATATTATATTTCCCTTTTTCATTCTTTAATCACTTCCATCATTTTTCTCCTTGCTTTCTGCCAGAATTTGAAGATTCAATAGTTTCCTCTCTTATTATCAACTTGCTAAAACTAGACTAAGGGTATGCATCAACTCTGTATGTACCCAAAATTAGAAGGCAAATCAGGGTGATTTGGGGAAGGTTCTCACATTTCTGATTGCACCATTAAATGCCTTCTCCTATGGAGAGATCTCTAACATATCCCCAAAAATCTGTGGTAGGAAGTGTCTACTCCCCCACTGACCCTTGGAGTAACAAGGGCCTTACTAGGGGTGATATTTCCTCTACCAACCCAGTCCTTCCTGGCAATTAATGCTAACTTTCCACCCCTCCTTCCCCTGAGCAAATCAATGTAGAGATTTCTTTCCCTCAACACCCCTGCCTTCCCTCAGTTCCCAGGTTCATGCTGTACTGCAGAAATTGTAATGGCTGTGTTTAGGGGAGGAAACATGAAAGGTGCCCTGCTCCTGCATTTAAACCCCTATGGGTATCTGCCTACAGTTTATCAGGCTCCACACTCTGGAGGGGCTGCAAGTTTCATTCACTTCTCTGAAAAGTTATAGCTGTTTTTAGATTCCCTGTTAGAGTGAATTTACCCACCTCACTGTGCCTCATCTTCCCTGGGGGTCTTATGGCTTTTATAGCCATCTGCCAGTGTTGTTACCTGACAGATAGTTGGATGCTATGTCCTCTTTCGTGTCGTCCCTGCATTCTGGCACCCTGATGCTTCCGACTAGAAGCAATCCCACCACGTGCCCATAATGTGCCACTTTCTTGCGCAAAGCTGCACTAGATGAAGATTTCCATGACGAGAAATGATGATACAGTGGTACCTCGGGTTACAGACGCTTCAGGTTACAGACTCTGCTAACCCAGAAATAGTACCTCGGGTTAAGAACTTTACTTCAGGATGAGAACAGAAATCGTGCGGCGGTGGCGCAGTGGCAGTGGGAGGCCCCATTAGCTAAAGTGGTCCTTCAGGTTAAGAACAGTTTCAGGTTAAGTACGGACCTCCGGAACGAATTAAGTTCTTAACCCGAGGTACCACTGTATTCGAGAAGATATAAGTGATAATTAGGAGGATAGTTGAAAATGCACAGGAATCCCCAGGCCTGGGACAGTCTGGTTCATTGTGCCTTTCCATGGAAGTGTTCAAAGTTTGAGCCACTATCACATCAGATTTGATCACCCCACTTTCCATGCTAAGAAGACAAAAATTACTTGCTAAATGGACCCCGACTACACCGCCCCCTCATTTCTCACCCTGTTAAATATATACTAGTTTAACAGTGCTACTTGAACAACACTTTCTTTAAAACATGAGCCATTATGTAATTTGAGCCATATTTCAAGAACCTCCCCCCACCCCACAAAAACCCCAAACCAACATACTTGTTCAGAGCTGGAGGCAGTATTTTGCTTACTAACTTCCTATCTTCTACGAGGCATAAAATGGCTTCCTGACAGCTTTTCACATTTCCAATGATTACTGGGCAATCATCGCTCACAATAGGGTTTTGTACTTAATGTGTTCTAATGTGCACCTTCTAGACAGAAACAATCTAGTGTGCTGTGCTCCCAGGCAGCCATCTAGCCAGGGCATCTGCTCTTTCATATTCATAATAGACTCAGCACTGCATTTCAGCTGCATTCTCTCAATGATAATGCCTTCTGAAATGAATGTTACTTTTGCAAGGGAGTTCCTAGTATTCAAATCACAGGTATGTGATTGCTGGAGGTGAAACCAGCTCATATTCTCATGGAAGGAAGGGCAAGATAAATTGCTGGAGCTGAAGCATTCCTAGTTCTTGCATTTCCGTCACGAGTCTTGTAGCTTTTTGAGTTTATGATCACACCAAAGTGAAGCACTTTGAAGCACTTTGAGACTTTGTTCATTTCAATGAGTTAACATGGCCTCTAAGGTCACAATCCTCCACACACTGATCTAGAAGTAAGCCTCATTTATTTATTTGTTTATTTCCAACATTTGTTTCCCACTTTTCTATAACTCATAATCAAACTGGATTATAGTAATCAATCAAAAAATCAAATGCTTCCTTTGGTGTCAATATGCAAAGGGTTGCCCTGTTCCTCTATCCTATTCATTAGTTTGCTGAAAGAGTGCTTAATTTGGCCAGGTGTTTTCTTAAAATCTAAAACCGTAAGAAAACCATGAAAAATACAAAACACAATCTATCTACAACTAACCAATTTTAAATCTATTGATTTCAGTGGGACGGTGAAGCACATGCTTAAATCTCTAGTATAAATGCTTGACTTTGGCTGAATTGTGCCCAAGGTTTTCAAGGAGAGAAACCTGATTGCACTGTGAACTTAAACAAAAACAACCCTCCAGTATTGATGCTCATAATTTTATTTCACACCATTTTAGTCTGTTCACAACACTGGCAATTTTCTTAACTGTCAAGATTCTCAATTCCAAATCTGCCATATCTTCCAGAGTGAGGCAACATACTGCTAACCGTTTCTGGAAGTAAAAAAGTGGATCATTCCCATTAGGTATACTGTGAACCTATTTCCATCACTCAACTAGTGAAGCGAACTTTACGGCCTGCCACTACATCATGGGCATCACCTTCAGCAAATTGGAAGTTCTGCTTAAAGTGACAGAGACCATTTTCTAGTACACAATTTCATGCTTAAGCCTATCGATTCTAGTGGGTGCAATGTGCTAAACTTGTAGTTTGATCATATTCATTAGCTGTTTTGTTAAATTCTGTTGTTCAAAGGTGACTTAACTATGCAGTGGCTCAAGTTTTCCTTTTCTGCTCTTAGATGGGCAAACACGCTATCGACACTTCGCACATCCACCTCAACCACGGCTTCCTGTTCCTGGCCCTTGTGTAAGAGCCATCCATCCTGGCCGGCAAATAATCCCAAATTATTCCAGTCCTCCTTCTCCTAAATGCAATGAAGAAAGGCTGCCTGAGAGAGAGAGCTCTTCTGGAGAATTTCAAAGATTGTAGTAAGTTTGTCCTGAGATTCATTGGAAAATTTCAGCTGCAAGAAGCTGGCGGAAGCTAACGCAAGCTTTTCAGAGGCTGTCTTGACTGTGGCAGTGGTGCTATTGGTATGCATAAGGTGTTGTTTTAACTGTGGCAGCTAAAGTAGGTCTAAACAGCCTTCCCCAATCAGGTGCCTTTCCAACATTTTGGAATACAGCTCCCATAATCCCTGATCACTGACTGTGCTAGCTGGAGCTGATATAAAGGCCTGGGTGATTTACAGTACCAGACTGCTTTTATACCACACAGAGAGGGTTTTTCAGAATGCCAAGTACGTTTATCTCTTTTTTGCTACATTTATAACCCAGTTTTTGGCCAATGCACTGCAGGAACTTTGCAATTTAAGATATTAGAACAAGCAAAATTAAAAGCTAAAATAATGAAGCACTGGCCACAGAATTCTTTCAGACCTCTGGTGGTCTCTTCAGGGGCTAGTAGCACATGCTCCCTGCCCTGGGCTTATTGTGGGGCTCGTGGATCTTTAAGCAGCCTCTGGAAAGATGCTGGAGGGCCTCCTAGAGAGACTCTCTTAGGCTATTTGTGATCTCTTCAGGAGCTGACAGCATGAGATCAGTCATGCATTGAGCCACCTTTTTATTGCTAAAGTGACTTTTTCATAAAAGGAAAATTTTCTCATTAAAAACAGGCCTCACACATGTGCTGTTAGAATCAGCAGCTTTTAACATTTTATAATGACTCTTCATGTTTTTCCTAGTGGCCAGTTTCAGAACCAACTACTGCATGGTGGAGCATCATCCAAGGCTTATGGCGCTCATGAGGACATCTATAGGTGCCCTCCTGATTCCATGGCTCAGCCTAATGGCCCACAATGCCCAGCTGCCATTCCAAGGCCTCCAAGTAATTTTGCAGTCAGGGGAACACTGAGGACAAGTAATTTGCCAGAAGAGCTGCGTAAGTCCCGCCCCCACCGCCATGTTTGGAAAATTGTGTATAAAGCCATAGCATTGGTTAGTGAAGAAAGTGGATGGCCCAGTCCTAGCAGGATCATACAGTGGTGCCTCGCAAGACGAAATTAATCCGTTCCGCAAGAGTCTTCGTCTAGCGGTTTTTTCGTCTTGCGAAGCAAGCCCATTGACGGATTAGCGCTATTAGCGCTATCAGCTGTTTAGCGGCTATTAAAGGCTTAAAGGCTTAGGGGATTAGCTGCTAAAAGGCTATTAAAGGCTATTAAAGGCTTAGCAGATTAGATAAAGGGGGAAAAGCGAAAAAAAATCTCAAGACTCGTAAGGTATTTTCGTCTTGCGAAGCAAGCCCATAGGGGAATTCGTCCTGCGAAGCAACTTCAAAACGGAAAACCCTTTCGTCTAGCGGTTTTTCCGTCTTGCGAGGCATTCGTCTTGCGGGGCACCACTGTACATACATTGAACCACACTCTCCTGCTGATTGTAGCAACTTCTAGTGCTGCCTCAGCCTAACAGCAGATAACACCAGGGCATGGCCTTTTAAAATTGATTTTTTCTAGTTGTCCTGGAAGTGGATCTTTTTCACCAGAAGCCCAGCTATATCCTTAAAGGGCCTGAAACTATTCCAGGTGGAGACTGCCTGGATACAACTCTGCTAGGCCTGAGGTTCTTGCTACTCCCCATATTCTTGATTTAACCACATCCACATTTTGGGGTTCAAAGTAGCATGCAGTTCGAAGTACTAGGCAGGCACCATGCAATTAATCTGGAGAACAGACAGCTAGAAGGATTAGGAGGAAGTGCCTGGAGGAGGAAGTGACATTTTCATGGCTTATAACAGTCGTATTTATGAACTTTCATTTTTTTAACGTTAGGGTCCAGGAATCATTAGGTGGTTGGAGAAGGAGCATTTTCCGTTGAAAGTGTCATATACTCTGAGGGTTTCTGCTTTTCAGAGCAGGGACATGGGCCATATTAAAGGTATTCTAGAGGTCTCTAATGGAGATGCCTAGCATGATCACAAGACACTGAGCCAGTTCAGCTCCATTGTACAAATAATAATCAACCCAGTCAGATGGGTGGAGTAGAAGTAATAAATTATTATGACTATTATCTAAATCAAACAAGATAGAGCTTATTGTCTGCTCTGTGCTAGTATAACAAAGAAAAGGCAAGCACTTTTTTCCCTACTACTTTGAACAATACTTTGATCATCTCTCTTAGGTAAAGTCTTCATAACCTACTCTGTGGACACAGCTGAGGAGGTCATGAAATTTGTGAACTTTTTGTTTGTAAATGGATTTCAGACAGCTGTAAGTACTCTATTCTGGAAGGGAGTTTCCCTTTGCTGGAATTCAATCAAGAATGTATGAAATCGGTTGTCTATATCTTTAAAGCTTTGTCTTCCTTTTTAATGTTCCTGCCTGCGTTGATGAATCTTGTACGCAGTGGCATGTACTCAAACCCTAAATATATGAATGAGGGGGGAAGAGGCTTAGGTGGTGTATTTGAAACTTCAACGCAAAGTTTATGTAATACACTAAAGTGGAGTAAGGTTGTACTGACAATCCTTTGGAACATTGAAACTGTTTCTACATCACCTGTACAACACAAGTTTATGCAGTTTTGCTTGGAAGCAAGTCACACTGTGTTCAATAGGGCTTCAGGGCAAGTGTGGATAGGGTTGTATTTTCCCTCAAGGTCACTGAAGGAGTTCAAGGTTAAACAGGGGTCTAAACTTTGCATCACAGCCCAAACCCCAGTCAGTGAACTGTCTTGGAATACAAGAATCCTACACAACAGCACAGGGGACAAGATGGAATGACCTCACAAACTCTGAATGCCTCTTTTTTCTAGAGGGGGAAAGATGTGATTCTTTGCCACTTTTGACAAAGTGGGGTTCAATCTTGCAGAATACTAGGCAAGGTGATATGGAGCCATGGCTCAATGTTGCTAAAGACCATGGAGGGGAAGGCAGATGGTGGAAACTGAAACAAAGGATTGGATGGAATCAGAGGAAGACAGTACAGAGTCAATAATGCAGTAGTACAGAAGAACATTTTTGAAGCAGGAGGAGGAGCAGGAGGTCCAGAACAAGACCATTAAAATACACCGAAAGTGTATACAGTTTTTGCAGAATACACCTGCTGTCAAAGACCCATCTGGAGTCGGCCTCAGGTGACAGAAGGGGAAAATAATTAGCTGAGGTCCCTGGAGATTCCTTGTCAGCTGTGATATTGCTAGCAGAAACTTACCAAGCTGCAGAAATGCCCTGGCTCTTTGTGAATAGAGAGCCTTGTTAGACTATGTACACTTGCACCTCAACTTTTGAACTGGGAAACTACACATTGAGGGTTGAACCATATTATGCCTTCAAAGCACATCCAATAAACATTTAAAGAGCATGGCTTCCCCCAAAGCATCCTGGGAACTGTAGTTTAAGGTTGCAGGGAATTGTAACTTTGTGAAGAATAAACTACACTTCCCAGGATTCTTTGAGGGAAGTCATATGCCTTCAATATGCATTGAAGAGATACTTTGTGAATTTTCTTTGTTTTGATGGAAATATTTGCCTCTGCTCACAGAGCTGAAGAAATGTTAATATTTTCCCGTTCTTATAGATTGATATATTTGAGGACACAGTTCGAGGTATTGACATTATCAAGTGGATGGAACGCTACCTGAGTGATGTAAGTAAAGGGGGGAAAGGTGGTTCTTGTAGAAGCATTTTCCACAGGCAGCTCAAAGACAGTTTTGGGCATAGGAAGCTCAATGGCAATCCTTAAGGAATCAGTCCTTAAGACAATACTGGTAAGAACCCAGGACTGAAACAGAAGCATCTCCTGCCCCCCTTGTGACTTAATTATTCATGTTATTCCTACCCTTGCCTCCCCACCCATTCTGTCTAATTTAAAATGTGAGCCTTCTGAGATAGGAGAACTTGGCTTTCATAGATCTGTAAAATGCCTGTGTTAGCTACATATTTATTTGTTTAGGTTTTTAAAAGTTGCATGCAGAAGCAAAAACATTTGTGTTTTTAGCTTATAAATGCAAACAAAATAAAATACATCAGGCCTTTTCAAGCATTCCAAATACGTGGGGAAGGAGGGGGGCTTATGCCAGCCATGCCCCAACATCTTTGTGGGTGCACTTTCTATGTCCATTGCACACCTCACCCCAATCTTCTCAGGAAGTCTGAAAAAAGTTTGTAAACACTTTCCATTTCCAAATCTCCTCATGATAGGGAACACTATGCATTTTGGAACACTGGTTGACATAGAGGCTTTGCATAGAAGATACTGCTAAGTATTTTAGGATCACAAACGAAAGAGCACAGTCCTAAGCATATCTGCTCAGAGGTTAAGTTCTACTGAATTTAGGGAGGCTTACTCCTGGCAAAATGGAGTTTAGGCTTGCAGTCTAAAGCATTTGGGGAAGGAGGACCTACATAAGATTAAAATAACTGTTGACAAGCTGTGTGCATTCCACAATGACATTGTGTTAGCGCTAAGTGTACAGCTGAAGGCAGAATTGTGCCTTCGCTTTAATTATTTAAAAATAAACAAGTTCTTTCCAGGGGGCCCAAACCGTGAAAACAGGCTCAAAAATGTTTCAGCAAGGTGAATTGGCTGCTCATGGGTGTGTGGGTGTGTATGAACAAAATTCAGTTAAAATCCTCATTATACCTCTTCAAATGAAAAGTAAAACTTAATCAAGACACAATCTGAAGCTGGTGGGGCACAGCTGCTATGCTAGCTTCCCAGCAGTGAGCCGCTACTGCTTACCTGGACGGGGAGGTGGCAGAAACGACAGCATGGCGACTCACCTGCCAAGAAGCTGGTGTTGTGGCTCTGACCCACCTGGCAAACTCCTTCTGGACACAGCAATTAAAGCACAGACTGAAAAAGCTCTTACGGGTTCTTTTTAAAAATCACCAGTGACGAGGGTGGGCATATTAACTTCCTGTAGAAGGGCATTCTGTAAATACGGGAGCCTCACTGAAAAGGCCATGTCCTTAGTTGCTGTTCATCTTCTTAGTGGACCAGGCAGTAGGGCCTATGGGGCTGATCTTCATGCTCAGGCAGGCTCGTTGTCAGGAGCTGGAGTCTGGTGCAGGTCAGTAATAAAACAATAAAGCACCTGATGTCAGTGAAGTTAACTCTTTATTCAAAGAAATAAAACAGCTCTGTCCTAGTGATCCAGGCAACTCTTCCAAGTAGGTCTTCCCTCAATGGGGCATTTGTGAGGAATGAAGGTCCCTGCCTTCCCTCTGCTCTCTAAGGCTCTTCCCCTGGTTCCTTCCCCAGCAGCCTAAGGCTCCTTCATCTTGTCTCTCATTGCTCTACCCTCTTCATTCCTCTGTGTGTTCTGGGAGACCAGGAGGTGGGAAGCTGGTCACAGCAGGAGGGGGAGAGTTCCTGGATTCTTATGCAGCCTGCCTCATCTCTGTCTCCTGGTCCCCATCCTCTCCAGCCTCCACTTCCACCTCTGAGTCTGGACTGCCTGCTGCCACAGCCTCTTCCTGCTCACTAAACCATGTGGCCTCTTCAGCTTCCGACACCTCCTCCTCCCAGTGTGATCCCTCTTTTTCCTCTGACCACATTTGTTGTCCCACCACCAATTCCCTGGCTCTGAGCCCTCTTCTTCCTGGGGGTTCCCTTGCCTCCTTTAGGTCATTCTAAATGGTTTAGGACTTTAAAAGATGAAACCAGCACTTTATATTTGGTCTGGAAACAAACAGGCAGGCAGCATAACCAGAAGACAATAGGTACAAAACAGAAACAAAAGTAAGGATATTTATTAATGGTCACAATTTTATACAGGTCACAAATCATGGTCTATTTGAGCATAGAATTCAGATTCTCCTGAAATAGGGGACATATTCTACCAGAAAGAGTGATAGAGTTTCAGTTAATAAACAGTAATGGTGTATTGTTTATGCATACATTATTTTTAGATTTATGTTTCTGGAAGATAACCTGGTCAATGCTAAAATGTATTTTTTTCCCCCTCTCCATTTTAAAGTATGTTAAAATTTACTAGCGGAGAGAGAGCCTGGAAATCTGGTATGAGGAAATACAGTGAGCAGAGATTAGTTTTGCTTCATTGCCAAAATGCACTGGATTGTCTTATGCTTCCAGAGAACATCAGATCACGTAGAATACAAACTGGCAGGTTTCCAAGCTGCTCTGCCCAACCACACTGCATTTTACAATTTCATAAAAGCGTCTTTCTCCCTGACAGAAGACAGTGATGATAATCATAGCAATCAGTCCAAAATACAAACAGGATGTAGAAGGGGCTGAATCCCAGCTGGACAAGGATGAGCATGGCTTACATACTAAGTATATCCACAGGATGGTAAGTGAGGACATGTGCTTGCCGTTTCAAAAGAGGTCTGCAGCTTCCCTTCTCCCAAAGAACTGCCCTTTGTGTCTTGTCCTTCATCAGTCCTGCAGTTAAGTGCCGCTTTGTTGGTGTTCCCTGTTAGTACTGAGTGTTTTTTAGAAGCAGTGCTACTTGCGACTGCTCAGAAGTTCTGTTTGAGATAAATGTATATGACTAGCTGCTTGACTTTCTTTATGGCTTTTGCAGCCTGTTTAAATCCCTTTATACCCTTTCCCCAAGTCCCTTAATGTGAGCTTATCTCATGCCTGCACTTCCTCATACAGATTCACTCCAGAAAGAGATGGGAATCCACAAACAACAGTAAATCTGACTGCCTGACCTATGAAAATAAGCATGGGGCAGGCGGGGAAGGAAATTCCCATCTGAGCTAGTGTATTCTCTGTCTCCGTGCATTTGATCTGTTCTCCCTTATGGCCCTCCCATTGCCACAGAAACTCAGCTTGCTCACACCCTCACAAAGTCTCTCTAGAGTTTCTTCTGATCGGATCAAATAAGCTGCCAACAAATTTCAGCTGGGAGATAAGTACAGTAATAAGTAAAAGAACATCCACCAGTGAATCAGACTTCTTCATGTGACACAAAAACATAGGGCCAGACTGTGAAAAAGTAGCACAAGTCTTGTTAGGGAAAGGCATAATTTCTTCAAACATTGTTACAATGAACACTCCTAACAGGAGAAAAAGCTTCCTGATTTAGAATCATAGAATTGCAGAGTTGGAAGGGACCCCGCGGATCATCTAGTCCAACTCCCTGCCATGCAGGAATATGTATGTGGCCTGTATATGTATTGAACCCGCAACCTTGGCATTATCAGCACCATGTTGTAACCAACTGAACTGGGCAAAAGTTTCAATAGTGTCTGTGGACTTTATCCAACATGAGTCCACTTTGATTAGAACCACTGTAATTAATGGACAATACTAACTTAGGTCCATTAATTTCGGTCTACTGTATAATGCAGCTGGATAGAACCTAGTGAGTTTCTTTCTTCCAACATTGCTTTGCATCAACATAGGATCATTTTTGATGAAGGGCTGTATAGAAATTTAATCAATCAATCAAAAGGCACAGTTCAGCAAAAGCGATGTAAGCCTAAGTCATATTCCACTGCTTTCAGTAGGACTTCGTTGTGATTAATTATGGCTGGTGATTTAAGATTAACCAGACTCTTCACCCAGATACCCAACTGGTATTTGTAATATCTAAAATTTGTGATATCTATATCTTCAGGCAGCATACAAGGAAGGGACAGTGGGGAGCTCAGATCCTGATACAATTTCTGAGCTATAAGTCAAGCACCTCTTTCTTTTCTTCATGATACTCATTTGAAACATGGGAAGTAGCTTGGAGAACCAACTTACAAGCCTAGTGTCCCTGGTTTCACCAAAGCCTAGGAAACATCTGTGTGTGCACAGCAGGTCCTGAGCATCAGTTGTTACTAATCCAGATTCATTTCAGACCAGAGATGGACTCTAGGGGGCTCGGAAATCAATCTGAATTGAATTAGGACAGGGGGAATTAAACCCCTAAGCTGGTCAAAAGTCCAGGTTATTTCAGAAATCAAATACAATTCTATTCTGTATTGTTGTCAACAAAACACATGTTTTGTAGTAAGGAACTGATTAATTTTCTTTTTTATATTATTTAAAACACATACACACAGATTTAGATATCATTTTCTAGTATACCTAAACAGCAGATGAGAAAATACAATTCAACATAGTGTTAGGGGTCTTCAGTCAAGAATATGCATCAATGGGTTGCCTGCACACTGCGACAAATGTACTTGCAATGTGGAGGTGAGGGGGAAAGGGGAACGAGACACAATTTTGCCACCTCCAAATATGTGACTGGCACTGAGAATGCTGAGCAGGGCAGGGCATGTGAAGCATAACCACTGGATTCAGGAAATGTGATACAGCAGACAAGTTGAGCAGGAATGGGCTCCAGCACAAAGAATGGTTGGATGATAAGAATGCATAACTCTTACAATTATATTTGGGCTAATGTTGTTTTTCATATTTTAGATGCAAATTGAGTTTATACAGCAAGGAAGCATGAACTTTAGATTCATTCCTGTGCTTTTCCCAAATGCAAAAAAGGTAAAGAAAACTGATCAATCATGCTATTTTTATTTTTTTTTACAACCCGAGACAAAAACCTTCAAAAGCCTTTTTTGAATGTTGAATAAAATCATGTTAGTATTTGAAGTGGCACCTTAGACAAATGCTTCATAACATTTTTAGATAAAGGTCTAGTTTGATTTCAGTAGTGTGCTTTTTATTCAGTGTGACTGGCACAATTTATCCTGTTTTGATGGAATATACCCATTGTTTCTATTTCCCCTCTTTGAACTTATATATGAGGTAGCTTTGAACCCCTCTGCTCAATATAGTACCAAACACCTGTTTGATGAGCAGCTGTGGAGAGACCTTACATGCAGTTGTGTTCATGCAGCCTGCTGGTCCTGTCAAAGATAGGTAGCAATCTCACAGCAGTCTTTAGAAAAGGAACAGAGCAAACTGCCTTTGTCCCCATCTTTGTGCCATACGGGGAAATCTCACAACCAAGTATCAACTCTTTCCCAATTTCCTCTTCCCAAATCCCACTGAGATGATCAGGCTGTAGGAATGCTGTTTTCTCCAACCATTTGGATTAGTGGGGATCCACTGCCGGGGGGGGGGGGGTCAGCAGTCTCCTCAAGTGTGATTACGGGAGAAGTTATCACTTACTACAAGATCCTCTTTCTCCATGGAACTTTGCTTGCCTCCTCGGGGTGCCTTCCTCACTTGGAGGGGAGGTTCTGCTATAAATGAATGTGGTGATGTAAAATAATTTCCATTGTCCCTCAGTTTGAAGGCTGGGGAGTGCATTTTGGGACTGTGTCTACTTTATGTCAGTTAAAGAGCATTAAAACTAAGTGATGGTTAATGCCACAATGTGCTGACAGCAATGTTTCACACAGGTGATTTCTACAATGAATTATTCAAATTGCACCATAAGCTGAGAGGGGACCTAAAGCATGACTAATTGCTTGTGTTTTGGCAAAGGCGCTTAAGAAAGGGAGGAAGGGGAAGGTATATGCCTGTGACTGTGATGCCTTCAGGTTTCTGAAAAGCTGAAATACAGAACGGAATTTAATATAGCTGCCTTCCACCCTCCCTCCCCCACAGGAGCATGTGCCTACCTGGCTTCAGAACACTCACATCTACAATTGGCCCCAAAATAAAAAGAACATTCTGTTGCGGTTGCTGAGAGAAGAGGAATATGTTGCTCCTCCGATAGGACCTTTGCCCACTCTCCAGGTTGTGCCTTTATGAATGTCCATTAAAGTGCATATGAAGCAATCGTTGTATAACTGTTGGCTGGCAGCCAGGGTTTTCCTGGCTTCCCCTTCTAGGGTGATGAACAGCATGTGCGCACAGACATACACACTAGAATTGTCTTGGGTTAATGCAAGCCCATGTGTTTTCTTTTATTCTGAATGTTTCCTTCTGCAACTGATCAGGCACGTTGCTTCCCTGGCAATATTTAAACAAACTGCAAATGGAAATAATGTCTCATCGCTTTGTCTTCTAGCAACTTGCTTTCGAAGTCTGTGGCACAGCCAGTTAGTACAGTGAGTGGCACTGTAATAAGCAAAACAATTGCATTCCTGTTTCCTCTGGGTTCCTTTTATTATTGGCCAGCTGTTCTTGCATTGTGCAATGGTCTCCTGCAGTCATTTCACATACACAATAAAACTGTGGTCTTTCGTATGGATTGCTATAAGACACGAGTGTTTCAACAGTTTAATTGTGGGTAAACACAGACATTAACCCCCTCCCCAAGGTTAATGGGTCTCTCTCTCTCTTTGTGTGTGTGTGTGTGTGTGTGTGTGTAATCTTTTTCATACATCATGGAGTTTTCTTTGCTGGTTTGGCTGTGAACCATAGCATAATGATTTTATGCTGGATTCGGGCAGCATAAACTGTTAAACGCAGGTCAAGCACCATCTGTGCTCTATTTGAATACCCTACCACTTATTAGGGTAGAGCTGCACATTACACTTGACATGCAGCTACTCCCCCAAACAGCATCCCCTAATGTCAGTCTCCCCTATTACATGCAGAATTGCTTATCCTGTGACATGACAACTCCATGAACTGCATTCTTTACCAGTGTCAGCTGGGGATACTGTATGTAAACCCGAGGGATCTTTATTGAGAAGGCAGCTGTTGACATGGGTGGACGACAGTTAATGGCTACATTCCCTGTTCAACAAGCGATGGAAGCTTACCCAACCCACCGCAAGCCTAATAGAAGCATGAGGTGGTTGTTTTTTTTACAGGATTGCAACTGGGATAAGGCTTAAAGCTCACCTCCCTGTGTGTTATGGTACTGATCAAACTCAGGGTTCCATAACTATTGCTCATTACAAAAATAAATAAATAAACACCACCTATGACTGATTTAGCATTCTGAGTAGTTCTGCCCTTAGACTGTAACCTGCGGCATATTGGGAAATAAGTTCAACTGAAGCTGACAGAACTTCATTCTGAATAAAGCTGAACACGGAATAGGTTGGAAAAAGTTTACTGCTGGTTTGACTTAATTAAAACTAGTGTGAAAGGGGAAAGGAGGTCCGATAGTATAGATTATGAAAATGAGTCTCAGAACATGCCAGGAGTTGAAGAAGAAATATTACCATATATTTGCTGCCCAAATCCATTATTTTTCCATGTAAATAACAACATAACAAATGAGATAAGCGCTCAGTTAATTAATGAGTACATTAAGGCTGCCATTCTTACCTAGCAGAAATTATTGATCTGGGGTAATCATGAAGGTAGAAAGTTGCCACAAGAGCATGTTTAGAATGAGAGAATGTGTCTTCCCCCACCGCCCACCAAGAGTAATTGGATTTATATAGGAGCTAATGCAGTGCAGTTTCCCCTCTCAAAACAGTATTTCAGCTGACGCACACACAAACCTCTAACTCCAAATTGAATGCCAATTTCATTGTTCTCTTCAAACCCCTAAACACCCATACATTTTGGGCACATTTTATAAAAATGTTAGGGACATAGTGTATTCATACAGTTAAACGTGTCTTTGGCACCTTAAAAATACAATACAGTGTGTTTTATAGGTTTTTGTTTTAAAAACTGTTCTGAATAGGATGGGAGCATTGCAAGTGGGGGCCGCGCAAGTGCAGCTGCATCTCTGCATCAGTCCTGAGCTTTCACATGGAGATGCAGCTGACAGGAAACTTCCAAAAAGGTACAAGTACCCTATTAGTCCCATGATCCATTGTAGTGCTGCACTGTACCTATAGGTATGAACCGAACATTTCATTAGTGTGCACCCAGGGGAATTTTCTTTTAAGGTGAATATTTATTGAATGCATACAGTGGTGCCTCGCAAGACGAAATTAATCCATTCCACGAGTCTCTTCGTCTTCGGTTTTTTCGTCTTGCGAAGCACGGCTATTAGCGGCTTGGCGGCTATTAGTGGCTTAGCGGCTATTAACGGCTTAGCGGCTATTAATGACTTAGCAGCTTTAAGAAAAAGGAAACAAACTCACAATAACTCTCAAGACGTTTCGTCTTGCGAAGCAAGCCCATAAGGAAATTCGTCTTGCGGAACGACTCAAAAAACGGAAAACTCTTTCGTCTAGCGAGTTTTTCGTCTTGCGAGGCATTCGTCTTGCGGGGCACCACTGTACTCATACACAATCATAAATGAGATTGTTTTTATCCAAGGAAACTAAAGAAACTGAAACGTTTTTAAAAATTAACTAAACTTTATTTTAAAAATGCAAACTTAAAAAATGAGACACAAAATACATTTTTTCCCCCTGTAGATAAACAGGCATATACAAACAGTCCATGTTCATGATTTTTATCTTTAACCAGATAAGGAGCTAACCTAAACCAGCCAAAACATATGGCGTCTTTCTTTCTGTCCTAAAGAATGAGACGATCTCTCACCAGGTGTTATGGACTTAAATTGCTCAGTCACATTACTGCAATTAACTGATGAAGCAAAGGGCAGGATGAATCCTCCTCCATCTCCTTGCTTGCATGCCACAAAAGCAGCCCCTCACTCCAACAGATTTCTCTCTACAAAATGTGGTGAGCAGAGCTTGGACAAAGCCACAAGACAGAGATGCAGGCAGAAGGAAAGGGCTGGAATGGATCTGCAGCTTCTGCCTGCATTTGACTCTGGAAACGGCAGTGGGGTGATTAGCTCCAGTGGCGGCAGTACAGGAGGAGCCAATCACCCCACTGCCACTGCCACTTCCAGAGACAGACACAGGCAGAAGCTGCAGATCCATTCTAGCCTTGTTATTCTGCCTGTATCTCTCTCTGTCTGTTTTCCTCCTCCTTTCTCCTGCTTTTGTCTCTCCTCCCTCCGCCACTTTCCCACAGGTTATGGCAACTGACAGAGCCGGGTTGCTGCTCCATATCCTCTCCTCCTCACTATGATCCTTGTCTTTTTGAAACATTAGGATGTGTCTGGGTGTACCCCGTGTGCATGCCAATGACCGTCCCAAGAACTGCCCATTTGCCACTCTGAAGAGCCAAAACAAATGTGAGGTTAAATGCACTTAACATGCCTGTTTTTACTCTTTACAACAGCAACTGTACAGGATGGGGTTAGGAGGATTGTGGCAAATAGGAGGGTGTGTGTTAACCACAGCAGCCCCTCCCCACTTGCTATTGTTCACACCTTGCCTCTCAAGTTGCTGCTAGCCCAATAAGAGAAGCTTCCATTAGCAAACGCACACAAAATTACTCCCTCGCTTTTAGGTTCTGTTTGGCACCATTTAAACAAGAAAGCCAAAACCTATTACTACATGCGCAGCAAGATAAACAAGAGAGCTTTGCCCAAAAGAGTTGTTTAATTGAAAAGGCCTGTTGTTAAAGGCCTAGCATCCCTTATCTCAAGTTACCAGGGCTGGGGGTGCAGCAGGAATCAGGAATGACTGCTACTAACCTCTGTAAAGTTCAAAGGGAGAAATAGTTTGTAGCTCTGTGACACACAAGCGAGACAGGCTGCTGAAAGGGAAAGATAATTACTATAATTTATCACTTGTCCACATTAATGAAGCTTGGGTGAATACCTGGATTTTTAAAGAAACAAAGCTGCATATCCTTGTACAACAAGTTTACCATGGCAACAGGCAGAAACTAGCCTCTTGGAGCTATCCTATCACTGAAGGGACAGAGTAGGTTTGACTTAGACTTGAAAGAAAACAGTCACGTACTCAAAGAAATGCTAGTGGGCAGGGCTTACTAAAGCAGCTCTGTTTGTGTTCTTTCTGATAATCAGGCAAAGGGTATTTGTTTATTTAAAGATTGTTCCTTGTCCTAATCAAGAATTGGCCTTGGGTTGTTTTGTTCTGCTGTTTAGAGACCTGGATCAGAAAAATAGGTAACCCTTACCTTGGGGTCCCTATAGTGTAGTGCTGCCACTTGTATTTAGATAGAAAAGGAGGGCAATGAGCTTATATTTCAGGCCTTATGTAATCAGGCTTCAGAAATGCTTCTATTTATGCCCACAGCTCCAATTCTGTACAATGAATGTAGGATGCTGCTGAATCCTGAAAAGGGTCCTTGCCAGCTGCTTTGGCGAGCTTCCCTTTATCTGAAAAGGAAGAGCGGAAGAAGCAAAGACAAGTTCCTCAGTGTGCTTGTGTCCTAAAAGCCTTTTAATTGATTTCTAGTCCTTCATTGCACTTTTTTTTATAACGCACAAAGCTCATGAATTTCAGCATAGCCACACCTGTTCCATTAAAATAATATTTGTACAGTCAAGCAGCAGCTATACAGCTTAGTTTATCAGCACAGATAAGGGCCTCCCAGCAGAAGGGAAGCTCATAAAAGGACTGTTGCTCAGAGGTGAAGCTCCTGCTTTGTATCTACACCTAGGGCTAGGAAAGACTCCTGTCATGAAACTCTGGAAAGCTGGTATCTATCAGTGTAGACAGTACTGAGCTAAATATGCCAATGGACTGACTCCATAGTGTCCTATGTTCCTAAATTCTCTAAATGTATCAAAATCAAAGTTAATTTCACAAACAGTGCCCAAACATAATATTGCAGATAAATCAGTTTAACAGTCTAGCTGTTTTAGTTGCTACACCACTCCCACTAATAATAATGTGAGTGGGCTCATGTCTAGGCATGTAAGAAACACATTTTTATCAAGCCCAGCTAACACATGGACACAGTGTCCATGCAATACAACGGACTGTACATGGTACACAGTACATTGTACACAGTACAAATGTGAAGGCTTTAGCTGACAGCTAACTGTGCATTGATTTACACTTTATTACTAAAGGTTCTCTGTAGCTTCATTGAGACTATGTTCCTTTCCGTGCTTCCTCTCTGAGCTTCTGAATAAGGATAGGGGAGAATGAACTTCCTGAATCATTCACTTCACTACAAAGAAATGCATTGTTTTCTGACCAAAAAAGCCTATCCATCAGTAAACAGTTTGTGTGGGAGCCTCTGAAGAGTCTTCTAGGAGGAGAGCTTATTCTCCCAGATCTATTTGTCTAATGAAGTGGATCATGTGATAAATGTGCATAATGAGTTTTCTCAGTTGCCAGTGGAAATCCTAGCAGATAAAACACTAAATCTCACAAGCATCACTGGATGCATAACAAGCTGATCACAGAGAGCCAAAGTCATTTGGAGAATGCTTCCTTTTCTCAACCAGAATGAAGATGCACAAAAAAGCTAATGTACTCCCCATCTAAATTCTAAAACCTTGGCCTCACCAAATCCTATCAAGTCTATTACACAACATATACTACAACTTAAGAAAATGAACAAATCACAATTTGCTGTTCACCTGCTAGTTCCAATGTATGAAAGTATTACTGCCACATAGGGGGTGGCCTTTAGGGGAGCATATCCTTCCCCCCCCCCATGTTGTAAAAAAACTGTTTTACTCAATAACATAATCTGAAGTATAAAATAAGATACCACAGTTGAACAACACATAGCTCTGCTTTAAATCACTGACCAAAGCTGAGGAAATAACATTACTGACATTTAACTCTGGTTCCTGTTATCTCCAATAGCAAGTGATGTGAAAGATTACCTCAGGTCCCCCCCAGGTGACCCATTTATTGAGCATTCGTGATTTCCCCCCAGGGAAATTAGATGACATTTGGCTATTGAAGGAGCATTCATTCTGATTTGTTTGTGAGGTGGTGAGATGACATTGCATCAAAGCGGTGTTATCTCACACTTTCTAGTGCATTTCCAATCACTTTCCTTATCACAAGAAGTGTAATCTTTTGAGGAAGCAAGTTTGTTGCACAACTATGACTGAGCAACCTGAATTTGCCAGTATGTGACAGAATCTGACCTGGAAATAGTAAATTTGGAAGTGCCCTCAGACACAGAAGAGTCATTGACAAAGTAGACAATGGGCAAGGATGGACAAATAGTCTGATCTGGTGATAAAATAGCTTGTGTTCCTTTGTTTTAGAAATCCACATATGAAGTTAGAGACCTAGCTGCTTATTAAGTATTATTTCTAGCACTACAATACTTCTCTTAGGCTGCCATTCTGTGCCTACTCATGTGGGAATAAGTCCTATTAAACTCAATGTGGCTTACTCCTGAGTAGTCATGTGCAAGATTGTGCAGTTAATTGTGTTTTTGTTTTGTTCTTTTGACTGCATATAAGTAGCTAACTAGCTGAGGGCCAGATTTTGCCCTGGTATGGTTCCAAAGAAGTACAGAATCACATCTGGAATTAATTACACCATGGCTTCATGAAGTAAGGCTCTACTTTTGCAGAAGTTATACAATGTTTATTGTTACATTTGGAAAAGCTATACTTTTTTCACTGAGCTGTGGAAAACAATCCTTTCTGTTCTATGTGGGCTAAATAAGGAGTCTGTTCTAAAAATAGTCACTCATATTGGTCTAGTTATAGCAAGAGTTATAATCATTTACAGATCTGTGAGGATCAAGTTCAAGTGAGGACATACAAGCAGAGAGGAACGGATTTGCATTTGGCCTGTTAACTGAGAAGCCATGTTCTTGTTTGCTCATTAGCAGAACTGAAATGATCTTAGCTCTCCATTTAGTTTGAGATGCTAGGGTTTCATACTTCAATTATATTTCATTCTGTAAAGAGATACTTATATAAATATTGTGGAGTCAGTAAGATATGGTTAACTGTAACATTTTTTTACAAGTATCCATTTTGTTAAATATCAAAAGCACGCATAAAAAGGAAATCAAACAATTACAATGATATAGCCTTGCCACAAATACAAATCAAAACTAAACAATAAATACATACTACGTATTCCAAGAGTGCAGAACATTTGGTCCTCCAGATGCTGCTGAACTAAAACTTCCATCATTCCTGGCCAGCTGATGCTAATGGGAGTTGTAGTTCAGGAACATCTGGAGGGCAAAAGGTTCCACACACCTGATCTAACATGACAAATGAAAGAACAGATAAATCCATTTTCCAATCACATATTAATAAACAATTCTGTTTTCTTCTACTGAATTTTAAATGTAGCTCAAAAATGTAATAAATATATTAAAAGGGTGATTGTGGTCTGCTATTTATTCAATCAGAATATACGGAAAGGCACATCAGCATTCTCCGTAGCATTTTAAATGTTACCCTCAAGATAAATATAATGCTTACATTAGAACATAGCAAAGATTAACAGTTAACTGCAGAATAAACAGCACAATTTGAGGGACGCTACTGAAACTCACACTAGGCATAATTTTATCATTTACAGCCCTGTATTCAGAGCACTGATCTTGCATATTTCCCATTTACTGTAAACAGAAGTCCTACAAGTTGAGTGATTTGAAAAAGCTAACAGTTATTTTGCAGCAGTACACTATAAGAAAGGGATCCTACTTTCGCTTAAAACATAAGCAAGAGCTAACGAGAAAAGATGCATCTAGGAAAATTAAGATATAAGAAAAGCAACCTAATAAAACATATGAGAGAAAGTGAGAACCATTTTGCAAAAGCTGAAAATGAGCAGTAAATGAAATGTGAATCTGCACTGTGATGCCAATTTCAAGAAAGCCATTGCAGGCTTGAGGCAAAAGTACTAAGAACAGAAAGATAAGAACTCATCACAATGTCTGCTTAGACTGAGATGATCTGTTCCTGCAGATTCCACAGCACTGTGGGATCATGCAAGGTCCTCAGCATTCAAAGCAGCTGAAAACACAAGTAACTGTTCATTTATTTAATTCAATAAACAAAATAGAATTTTGTCATGTTTTCACTAGAAAAAAACTGACCTCATTTATTAAATATTTTACTTGTTGAAACAACTGAAATATTCAAGGTTGACAGCTTTTCCATGCTCAGGGTTGCTGGACATAACACAGATTGTTTCAAAAAAAATCCTTTCATACATTTTCCACCGGCAAACAGAGCTGCAGCAGAAATTACGTGTTCATTGTCAGGACCTGCAAAACAATCAAATACTTTATACTCGAAAAAAACTAGCAGTAGCTAAAATTTTGTTTGCCCACTGTTTTTCACAAATTCTGCTATTTCTCTATTCCAAATATCACTTTCTACACTGTTGTGACATGGAGTTCACAACTATGTACTGCATCCCAAGTCACTGAATGCAAACCAATTCCAGCTGTTGGACTTACTATGAATGGGGAGTAGCAGAACATATGAGCATGCAGGGCCTGGGAAAAAAACTAGTTCTGCCGCTGCTACCACTAATACACATTAAAAGTACCATCACAAAACTGAACTTAATCAGAACTACCAATCAAGCTATAGTTGTTAAATGTTCACACACACACAATAGAGCCATTACAGAGCCAGCTATTAAAACAGCAAGATTTTTGTTTGCATTCCTGGTGGTCTTTTCAAAACTAATATTATTATTCCTTTCCATAAGCGCAAACCATAGATAATTAAGCATCAATCTTACACGACAATCCACAAGACTTAACCATAACTTGAAATTCTATTGCTTTGAGTATCATTCACAGACACATGCTTCATTTTCAATGAAGCACACTCTACCAGTACACTCATAGCTACTAATTCAGATGAGCCTATATAAGAAATGTTAAATAGTTGGTGGAAAAAACTACTTTCATTCTTTGACATGCTTCTATCTTCCTTTAAATGGTCCTGTGATTCCTTGGAAGGAGCCTCACTAGTATATTTGATGAGAAAGATGAACCCGGACCTGAAAACATTAGAAAGAAATATCGTTTTTACTTCTTTGCATCCCTATTTTTTAACTTAACTTTTAAAAATCCATTAAAAGAGTATTTATTTCATAAACAAAGTGAAGACAGTAACTTTATATGAAAAAGATTGCTCTATTATATATACATATACACACACACTTTTAAATTGTATTTTTAAACATAATAAAATCTGACAGAAATTAACAGAACAGGGTCCATCTATCACGTTTGTTTCAAACTTTGATGACTTTGGCTTAGCAGTTAATATTGAGAAATTAATGCTATCCCTGTCCTCTTTAGTTTTTGCAGACAGGGGGAAAATGATTCCTCACAAAATAATGTTCTGTTGATTCCAGCTTCATTATATTTAAAAATTTAGCTAGATTGATTTTAACTAAATTAATTTTGTGTAATGGTGTAATTTATTTGCACCATTGTTGCTTTGTGGAGTTATGGTTTGTTTTTAACTTTTTACCCAAGTTTTTTTAGTGTCATGCTATTTTGTTTTTAATATGTACAACTCAGAAGGCAATTTGGGACAGATAGGTGACTAAGAAATGACTTAATACATGCATTTAGGCAGAGCTGTTTAATTTTCTTTGGTACCAGTTATTTATTCAAATTTGTAGCTGATTACTGAGGAATGTAAATGTTGCTTAGCAACAGATGTCAGAAGTTCTGAAGGGCAAAGGGCAGAAATTCCTCATTTCAACATGAAATCTGATTAGGGCCTTTGGATATTGCATAATATGGTAAGTATCTTCTTTTCCCTGTGAAATTTCTATTTTAACAGTGGCTAACAAGCTTCAACAATGTTCATAATAAGTGTTTGTGCACACTCTACGAACTTCAGAGGTGTATGTCGACAATTATTTTTTTTAACATTAAAATAATTTGAGTGACAATTTACCAGACAATATGTTTCAGCTCTAAACAGGATTTGAACACATCTGTTCAAGAAGATAAATACAGAAACAGACAATTGGTCTCTCCCTGCACCTCAGCACACTCTCCAAAAGCAGCTCACACTTTCCCCCTCCACACTGTCTGCAAGGTTGCTCACACTCTCCAACTGCCCCCTCTGAACACTCTCTCAAGGTGAGTGCATTGGTGGGTAGGATTGCTGGACACCTATTCCCCTTTAATTTTTTTGAGCCAAATGTATAAAGTTGAACTTGCATGTGTTAAATGAACATAAGTCACAGGTTATCTGTACTGGACAAAAAAGGAGGGGGGGGAATTCCCCTATATTTTCAGAACTGACCCTTAGTTATCTCTTAGGAAACTGACGTACACAGAGTCAGACCACTGGTCCACCTAACTCAATATCAACTCTTGACCTGGTTTGCACATCATATCAAACCACAGTTTAACATTACATGTGACTTCAGTCAAGCACTTTACTATGGTCTGTTAACAAAAAAGCCATGGTTTGTTGCTGACTTTAACTATAGTTTAGCATTTTGTCTGACAGTTTTCTAACCATGGTTTCATGGTTGCTGGTTGGCTTGCCCCACTCATATTGCTCCTCAAGCAACTGGGAAACCAGCCAAGAGCAGCTGAAAAATAAAACCCTCTCCATTCTCAGCTCTTCTTGTCACTTTCTCCTAAGCTGTTATTACCATTAGTTGTACACTTTCTGCTTTCTAACCTCACCATCCAACCTTTGATTCACAGCTGTGGCAAACACTGCAGATAAATTGATGTAATATTTTGGTATATTTTTTTACTGTTGAAATATTGAACTTATCTGTGGGTGGGTGGGGGAACTGAATAATGTTTTGTTGCATGCCTTACTTAACCCGCAGAGAGCTTCTCAAGAAAAAGTGAAGACAGCAAAGTATGCCTATCAACAAGGTCTGTTCCTGGAATTCCTTCCCTCCACATTCGTCTTTATAGCAGTGGCTTGGAACATTTAGAAAACTTTCATGGAACATTTCCAAAGTCTGCACTGCTTAAGAAGGAACCATTCCCCACAAGCAGCAATTTGTTCCCCTCTTTTCTTTCCACTATACCACTGAACCATGAACTCTTCTTCTTCAGATGGGAAGATTATAACTGACACAATGTAAGCCAGTATACAAGAAACCAGCAGAAATTTAGCAACCATTTTATGCTTACTATTCCCTGAATTTCTACTCTTAGGTTCCTGTTAGAGAAATCTGATTTGAGGTTGGCCTAAGTCCTGAAAAAGAGGCATTCCGCAGGGACACTTATCCATTATGTGAAACTCTGTTCAGCTTGGTCACATGTCCTACCAACCCAGCATAACTCATACTTATGAGTTATAAGTATCTGATACATACATACATACATACATATCTGATCATATTAACAGTGAATATTGTGTGTGTGCTTCTTATCTTGGTTGACCAGTAGCATAGTCCAATAAATGGGCCTAACTGATGCTACTGCACTGCTGAGAACCCCTACTAGGTTTGGCAGGTCTATTTATCATTGCAAATCACAAGAGCCCACAGTTGGCTTATCTATGTGACACACTAATGACCAAAAGGGCACCAACAAAACTAAGCATGTGGTAACAGTAGGTAAGTGTGCTTGTCCATCGATTACAGTGGCTGACAAAATAGCTCAAGGAAATCAAAAAGGCCATAACTCTTTCAAGCAGAATCTGAAGGTTTCACATAGCCAGTATGATTAATAGCTATTGATAGACCTGGTCTCTGTAAATTGTTCTTATCCCCTTTTAAAACCATCAAATACAGTGGTACCTCGGGTTACATACGCTTCACGTTACATAAGCTTCAGGTTAGACTCCGCTAACCCAGAAATAGTACCTCGGGTTAAGAACTTTACTTCAGGATGAGAACAGAAATCGTGCGGCGGCGGCAGCAGCGGGAGGCCCCATTAGCTAAAGTGGTCCTTCAGGTTAAGAACAGTTTCAGGTTAAGTACAGACCTCCGGAACGAATTAAGTACTTAACCCAAGGTACCACTGTAGTGGCTATCCCTACATCTTCCTAAGTTATTTATACATGTGGGGGAAATACTTTATGTGACTTGAATCTCTTTCATTGAAGGACTACAAATATGAAAGGGAACAAGTACACAATCCACGTTCTTTACATTACCTATGTTATAAACCTCTATAATGTCCAAAGCAGTGCAGCAACTTAAGCTTGCAAAGCAGTAAGCTTCAAATTGTGCACAACAGACTGGCCTATTGGTGTCAAATACAGTGGTGCCTCGCAAGACGAAATTAATCCGTTCCGCAAGAGTCTTCGTCTAGCGGTTTTTTCGTCTTGCGAAGCAAGCCCATTGAGGGATTAGCGCTATTAGCGCTATCAGCTGTTTAGCGGCTATTAAAGGCTTAAAGGCTTAGGGATTAGCTGCTAAAAGGCTATTAAAGGCTATTAAAGGCTTAGCAGATTAGATAAAGGGGGAAAAGCGAAAAAAATCTCAAGACTCGCAAGGTATTTTCGTCTTGCGAAGCAAGCCCATAGGGGAATTCGTCCTGCGAAGCAACTTCAAAACGGAAAACCCTTTCGTCTAGCGGTTTTTCCGTCTTGCGAGGCATTCGTCTTGCGGGGCACCACTGTAATTTAGCACTATTATCTTTACTAGATAAAGCGTTCGTTTTAATATACTTGCAGCATAACCTAAACTGCAGAAACACATAAGATGTGGTGCTTGTATCCTTATAGAATAGCGTTGCTCTCCTTTGGTTAAGCTCGGGTCATTTCTGTGCTGGAAGGGAAAGTAGACTATAAACACAACCTGACAGATATTGCTGGTTTCCAGACAAACTGATTACAGTGGTACCTCGGGTTAAGAACTTACGGTAATTCATTCCAGAGGTCCATTCTTAACCTGAAACTTTTCTTAACCTGAAGCACCACTTTAGCTAATGGGGCCTCCTGCTGCCGCTGGAGCATGATTTCTGTTCTCATCCTGAAGCAAAGTTCTTAACCCAAGGTAATATTTCTGGGTTAGCGGAGTCTGTAACCTGAAGCGTATGTAACCCGAGGTACCACTATATAATTGTGACTGGAGAAACAGAAGGGTTAACATTATTAACTGGCCAAGTGAAGCAACGCTTTCCATTTGTCATTCACTCCACTGAACACTGAGTTATCTGGATGGAGGGGGAATGATTAATACATTCTATTCCGGCTTTCAGGTTTGAATAATGGCTAGAGTCCCAAAGTTTCGTCTCAAAGGAAGGGCAGGAGGGGGATCAGAGTACAACAGGTATCAGACATGACGTTCCAGGTATTTCAAGTTTTGACCCACATATACATCCCCAAGCTTGAGGGTGAGGGCTGTGTGTGTAAAACACATCGCTACACAATAGTAGGAGCAAGGCCCCTTCTACCGGAGGCCCTTTGCTCAACAGCGCCCGGCTTTAGCCTTCATACAGGGGCTCCTGCGAAAGCAGTTCTGAGCTGCTCACCTGCGGCAACGGGCGGGGCAAAGGGAAGAGCACGGCGGTTTCCACTTCCGCAGAGCACGAGAGTAGCCCCGCCCAATCGGGAACACGCGCAGCGGCAACCGCAGAGTCCCGCGCTTCATTCATCTTTCTCTCTTCTGCACCGCCCCCCGCGCGAGAAGCGCGCGCGCAGAGGAGACGTTACCATAGAAGGGCCTTTCCCTTCGCCCCCCGCCCCATTTATGTCTGCGCCCTATAAATGTTACCGGCACCCGAGATTCCCCTTTCATCACCCCTCTTGTCCTCTGAAGCGCCCCAAAGACTCACCTTTTCCTACAGACAAGCGTTTCCGAAATGGCGGCCAAACATGGACCCTGATCACGAGCAGCCCCCATCCAAGCCCCGAAGCTGCCCCGCCCATCCGCGATTCGGCATTCCCCAGGCTTCTCTCATTCCCACCCAGGCCAGCCCGGCCGAAAGCCGAGCCACCGATGCCTCCTCACACTAAGTAGAAACCAAACTCTCGCGCTAAAGCTGGAGGTGGGAGGGGGAAAGAAAGCAACAGCCCGCCCTTCCTGCGCTTCTGGGTCGGCACCGCCAACACACCCCTTCCGTCACCCAACGGCGGTGGTTGGGTCCGTGACATCATCATCATGGCAACAACAGCTGCAGCCAAGGAACTACTGCTGAGGAGCTCCAGTGGGGAGGGAGGGCGGCTTCTGACCATGTGAGGTGTACACAATCGGCTTGGCTGGGGCGAGCTTTGCCCGGGCTTGCCGCCGCCGCTGCTGTCGCCTGAGGGCTGGAGCGTGCGCGCGCACACACACGTCGGGCCCCTCCTTCCCCCCTCCCATGAGTGCTCCGCCCGCTCGTCCATGCGCACGAGGAAGCGCGCGCGGCGGGCGGGTGAGAGGGAGGGGGCTGCGCTCGAGCTGCGGCGGGGTGGCAGCAGCAGCCGCCGCCGCCGCCGCCTGAGGAGGCGTAAGTGCGGGGTGGGGGGCGGTGCACCCCAGCCTCGCGGTGCGCCCAACGGTCGCCCTCAGGGGCGCCTCCCCCCGCAGTGGCGAACATGTTCTCAGTGAGGGTCGTGACCGCCGACTACTACATGAGCAGCCCTCTGCCCGGCCTGGACCCCTGCCAGTCCCACTTCAGAGAGGCGCCCGTCAAGAAGGTGCCCGTCGTGAGAGTCTTCGGAGCCACCCCGGCAGGTAAGAAAGAGAGAGAACCGCCCAGTCGGGGGTGCAGCAGGTTCCCCCTCCTCCGCCCCATTGAGAAACCATTCGCGGCTCGGGAATCCTGCGAGCGCAGCAGCCCTTTTCTCGGGGCTGCCTCTCCTTTTTGTGACTGGCTGAGTGACAGGCGCTGCCTTTCCTCCCTGCGGTGTTGGCGCGCTGCAGCGGGTGCCTCACCTACCTGCCGCCGCCGCCGCCACCCCTTTGGCCGCTGCGGTTGAGTGAAGTCGCCCATGGCCGGGGCCCCGCCTGGTGGCGGCGGCGGCGGCAAGCAGCCCCCGCCGCGGTGTGTCTGTGTATTATTGTGCTCGCTATGGCACGCAGGCAACGCCGGGAGAGCGCCTCCTTCCCTTGTAGGGACCGCGCCGCTGACCCCTGACAGTTGCACGGATGGGAGGTGGTCGGAGGGTGGAGGGCGCTCTACTTGCTGCTGGTGTGTCTCGGGTGCACTGCCAGTGTATCCTGTGCTTGTGCTGCTGGAAGTGGATGGATTCGCTCCCCTCCCGCCCCCGTGTATTACAAATATTATAAGCCGTAATGAAATGCAGCTGTATAAACAGGGCTATTTCATACTAGTGGCAGTGCTGAGCAACAACTCATATTGGGAGGGTTTTTATTGTTGTTGTCTGTTTTAAAGCATAACCTCCTCAGCTGTAGAATTTCCACACCACATGTAGGAAGTTCCTGAGCATGTTCTTATTTCATGAAGGTTTCATTAAGCATCCATAACAGGGACATTTTCAACCCATGGCCTTTAAATTGTCAGTCTGCGAACTTCATAAATTCGCTGGGGTGGTAAACAAGAGCTGTTGTCTCCACTGCAGGAGTACTATTCTAATCCCTCAGAAAATTTCTAAAACTGGTTTTCCTTTCAAAATTCCTTGTTAATATCCATATATTACTACACTCTGTTCTTTTCATTTTTCTCTACTCTGTCATCTTCCTGCTCCACCAGTCAAGCTAACCACTGTTATTGGGTTTTTTAAATAATAATAATAATTTCCCATTACTGTTTTAACAAACCAGTTTTAGTTGATGTTATATAAACTTTGGTAGTCATAAAGTGACCTGGACAACTACACAGTTTGTGTTTCAGCTGGGCCACATATATATTGATGATACCACACAGTGATATTGATTGCATGGTGAAAGACTGGACTTACACAAGAAAATGACACAATAGTTCAGACTTAGGCCAAATATTGTAATGAATAACAAGGAAGTAGGTTGACAAGATATGCTAGTGTAAAACATTAATAGCTTTCCTACGATTCTTTGCTTGTGTTTAGTATCCTACATATTATTGGCAGAAGTTAATACGTCACATGTTATTTTCACCTACTTTTTTTGAATTCGTTTTCAGACTAATTATATGAAGGGAGAATATTTGAGTGTTATGTAAACTGGGTAATTGTTTTCATAATTCATAAGTATGAAGGAAGCTGTGGAAGCAGCATGGTTTTTATGCATTAAATGTACAGTAGCTTCTTGTTTAGCAAATGTGGCTCTCCCCCCTGCCCTGAGTACTGTGATCAATTATTATGTTTACTTTTGGAAATTTTTACACACCCATCCACAGCAGCAGTGAACATCCCTGCATACCCAGTGCAGAGAATGGGGAGGAGAAGCAATATATGTCCTGTGTAAGCCCAACAAAATACATAAAAAACACCCTCCTTTTCTACTGAATTCTCTACAATTCATGGGAAACTTGTGAGATGGAGAGGATATTTTATTTCCTTCCCACTGGACTTTTACAAAAGGGGGGGGAAACAGTACTTCAGTGCCTTCTAGGAATGCCCAGAAAGCACATTTCTGTTATCCCAGAGTTTTCTGCATATGCCACAGGGCATGAGAGAAGGGAGGCAACCACAAGTGAGGGCTGACAACAAGCCAAGATAAAAATTGTCCATCCCTGTATGACAATGGAACATACTACGGCAAAGCCCCTCCTCCTGCACAATGTAGCATAAAGAGTAATTGAATAAAATTCCCTGGTAACATGGTATGCACTTTTAAATGGCCTGTGGAATAAGGTGTTCATTACTTCTAAAAAGTTTAAAGATTAGCCTGATACATCTCCTTGAGAGAGCTACAGAATGGAAAAAGATTTGAGCAGCGCTTCTCAACATCCTTAAAGCTGCCTGCTATACAATCTTACTTGGGAATAAGCCAAGTAATATTCAAAGTGAATTCAGTGGAAGTTACTTTCAGTAAATCTGCATAAGAATGGACTGGAAGTCTCACTGAAATTGAACAGAATTTTCATATAATGACTGCATATCTGGCAGTACAAAAATTGTCAAGTTACTATTTTGTCATTGTACCATGCCTCAGTATACCTGTATTATATAGCTGTGCTATTGTAACCTTGTCTTTGGAATACCATCTTACTCGGCTATGAGTGATCACCAAAGAAGATTTAAAAATCTACAGCTAATGCATTGTTATCAAAGTTTCATGCCTCATCAATTTAGTGTTCCCATGACTTGCATAAGATCCAACATGACAACTGTGACCAGAGTATTTTTACAAGTGAGTCCCTCAAATACATCAACCCACAACTTTTTTTTACTAGTTTCTGTTGGCTAGCTTTTGTAAGGCATTGCTGATGGGGGGGGGGCAGCTCTTCCAATTTACAAAATTTTCCCTGCCTGGTTTTAGGCCAGTGGTCATTTAAAGAACTGCAGTACCAGTTTCTTTATGGAATCCTCTACATAGCAACTAATTTTCTGCGGGATGTAGCATGCAACCTCACAGTGAAGCAATCAATATATTGCATAATATAATACTAGAGTGATCATAACCGGATAAGGGATTTATACATGAACTACTCAATTTGAATTTTTGTAAATACATTGTTTGCATTATTGAATCTTGTGCATTTCATTGGTTGGGGAGCATGTGTATTTTCTCTGGATGGGAAAGAAAATGAGCAGCCAACCATGTGAACAGGCTGGAGATAAGTATTATCATGGTTGCTTCTTAATTTTGTATGCAGACTGACACTGGAAAGTTTCCCTTTGACAACTTTATTGCCTTTAACAGGAAAATTAGCTAACCTCTAATGGGGAGTAATGAGGAGAATACCAAATAGCTATTGAATGTCCCTACTACGTGTATATTCTTTGCAAAGGCAAATTCTTCAGCAAGATTTTAGCTCAAAAACAATGTAAGGCCTAAAATATAAAAGGGCCTTTGGCTGCTGCTAGAAAGACATCAAAATGGGCACTAGGTGAAACTTTCTGGGGAGAATATTTTCAAGCTGAGGCACATCCACTAAAAGGGTTCTTTATCCCACCATACTTCAGATTTTTATTTTATTTTATATATGTTGTTAAAAAATATAAATATACTGCTTGATGGTTGAAAACAAAGAAAGCTCAAAGTAGTTTACAAAATATAAAATAAAACATTAAAATTATTGCTAAAAACAATTACAGTCATACCTTGGAAGTCAAACGGAATTCGTTCCAGAAGTCTCTTCGACTTCCAAAACATTCAGAAACCAAGGTGCGGCTTCCGATTGACTTCAGGTTAAGAACTTTTCTTCAGGATAAGAACAGAAATCGGGCTCCGGCAGCGTGGCGGCAGCAGGAGGCCCCATTAACTAAAGTGGTGCTTCAGGTTAAGAACCATTTCAGGTTAAGACCGGACCTCTGGAACAAATTAAGTACTTAACCCGAGGTACCACTGTAATAGTAAATCCATAAACTTGGCCCAGTAGCAAATGAACACCCAGATCACAGAACAGAAGAAGGTCTCACTCCTGTTAGCAACTGTGCTGCAGCATTCTGCACTAACTGCAGCCCCTAGATTGAACACAGGTGAATCCCCACAAGTGCAGCTCCTAGACTGAGCACAAGTGCATTGCAGTAAACCAGATGGCTATCATATCTCCTCTCAGTCTCTTCTTTTATGGGCTAAAGGTACCCAGCTCCTTCAACTGTTCCTCATAAGGCTTGGTTTCCAGACCCTTGATCATCTTGGTTGTCCTTGTCTGCATACTTCTCTCTGACCTTATGCTATTCACTATGTCTGTAGTCTAGACACCTGTATAGTGCAAAGAGCATAAAACTTTTTTATGTCCTGTATAGCACTTGACACATTAGCAACAAACGCCTTCTAGTAGCAGTAGGGTGAGAATGGTAAGGGAGAAGGGTAGCAAAGGTAGCTGCTCTGAGGTACGGAGACAAACAACAATCCTGGTGAAGAGGGAATTTTGTTCTGTCCGCTGCTGCCCTCCCTGCACAGCAGGGTCAATAAAGTAAAGGGACTTATTTTCTTGAAGATCCACTGTATCAGGGGAAGATGGGGATAAGAACTGTGTCACATATTCCATGACTAATCCAGTGCAATAGCTAGTAAAGGGGAATACATGTCTTGGATTACTGTATTGTCTTATATGTGGAACTGCCATTGAAAATGGTCTGAAAAATTAAGGTGCCTCCAAACCAGGCAGTAAGGTTTTTAACAGAGACTGGTTAACATGACCGAATTACATCAGTACTTCTTCATTTGCACTGACTTCAACTCTGTTTCCAGGTCCAATTCAATCATCATCTAAGGCCCTTTTTCGTGTGCCTCCATGAGAGGTCTGTAGGGCATCAGCATGAGAACAGGCCTTTTCTGCAGTGGCTCCCCGTTTGTGGAATGCTCTTCCCAGGGAGGCACAGAAATTTTAATAATAATAATTCAAAGTGCTGATTTAACCTTTAAAGTTCTAAATAGCTATGGCAAGGTGACCTGAATTATCTCCTCCCATATATACTTAGCCAGATTCTGAAAGACCTTTTCCAGGTGCCCTCACCAAATGATATGCAACTGGTGGTTCCTGGAGGGTACGTGTTTTGGGCAGTGGCATTCCAGTTGTTGAATCCCTCTTCAGAAATGCTTGCCCAGTACCCACTTTAAAGCCAGTTGAATATATATATATATACAGTGGTGCCTCGCAAGACGAAATTAATCCGTTCCGCGAGAGTCTTCGTCTAGCGGTTTTTTCGTCTTGCGAAGCAAGCCCATTGACGGATTAGCGCTATTAGCGCTATTAGCGGTTTAGCGGCTATTAAAGGCTTAAAGGCTTAGGGGATTAGCTGCTAAAAGGCTATTAAAGGCTATTAAAGGCTTAGCAGATTAGATAAAGGGGGAGCGAAAAAAATCTCAAGACTCGCAAGATATTTTCGTCTTGCGAAGCAAGCCCATAGGGGAATTCGTCCTGCGAAGCAACTTCAAAATGGAAAACCCTTTCGTCTAGCGGTTTTTCCGTCTTGCGAGGCATTCGTCTTGCGGGGCACCGCTGTATATATAGTTTGAAACATGTTTTAATGAAAAACAAATATATTTGTGTTGGAATTTTCATTGATTTTGGAAAAATCAGGTAAATGCTGAAGTGTTCATTTACGTAGGAGAAAAGATTTTCTTTCCAGGGTTACTGTGTTATATTGGACACAACGAAATAATGGAAACATGAGCATCAAATACATTGCTGCACCAATTATATGTTTGCATGTGTATGTAAAGCATTTTACATGTACATCTAAAAATGTAATGAGTGTTTGCAGCAAATGTATACTTCTACTGTACATATGATATGGCTGTATACGCCAGGGAGCTGAAGTTGGCCTCAGCTGGTCTCTCCTCCCACCCTTGTACACATGCTGGTAAACATAAATTTACTGCTGCATAATATAGAAGTAGCCCTTGGTGTTGCTTTTACTGATTTAATACTATTTTCATACAATAAGAAAGTAAAAAAGATTAACTAGCTTGTAATGGAAATGTGTATTCCAGTTTCATAATTTATAATAAGAAATAAACAAGTAGAGAAAAGTAGTTTTAAATTCTCGAGAAAGTGGTACTATAGTCAGTATTTGCTTTATCCTTGGCTTGCATTTTATTAGTCATTTGGCCTATGTATAAATCCTATGCATGGCAAAAAAAAACCACTAAATTGGTAGAATGCTATCCTTTGCTTTTACCAAACTGCAGCCACATGCCAAAGGAGTTTTATTTATTTTTTGTTACATTGCTAACTTGCCTTCACTCGAAGTTTGGGTAGTATATAAGAGGTCAATTCCCTCTCTCTCCTCCTCCCTCCCTCCTTGTTTAAGCAGTGTGAATGGCCTGATTCTTGATTCTGTGGTCAAGATTTTTAAAAAAAACTTCTTCTCCAAATCTTACACTGAATTTTTATTTGCCTCTTTGTTTCTACAAGCTGCTGCACCAAAAAATATTGATTCCTCACTCCAGTCATGGTTTTCAGCTATACATATAAAGCTCTGGATTGTAGTTTAGTAGAGAATCAAAACTGTTAGCACCTCAGATATTCCCACCCCCAGCCCTACAGGGAGTACTACTATAATTGCTGTTTACTTAGGAAAAAAAGGATCCCTTGATACCAAGTAGCAGCCACAACAAGGAAATGCTTTAAAATCTTGTGATTTCAGGTCATTCCTATTATTTTGCTAACATGTCTTACATGTTTATCTTAATGGTTATAGTTTGATTGATTGGATTCATTCACTGCCTTTTTGTCAATGCAGTGTACAATTTTAGAATTGTTCAATTTTACAGTTCTCCCACCCACTCACCTGCAGATAAGGTAAAGCAAACAAACAAAAACAACCCCGCCCCCATCCCTTTTTCATTCTCATGGAGCTGATTATATCTGTTGGTCCAGTGGGAGGAAGGAACAGACTCACTGGTACACACGCATATGGTAACATTTTCCTGCAGTGGGGAGGGAATTCTCAGGTGCCTGGTAGCAAATTTGGATTTTTCCAAAATCTGTGATAAGTGTCGTGGAATTAAACAGGAAAATTGAGTATATGAGCAATAATTTTTCTATATATGTATCTATGAGGTCTTTTTGTATATGAAATTCACTGACCTACTCTGTTATTATTCTGGACTGGCTAATTTTGTTTTAATTAGGTTTATGGATATATGTTTTATTTAATGTTTTAATGCTTCCTAATAAGGAAAATATGGTAATTTTCCTTTGAAATAACATGGCATAAAAATGCATAAACTTATATTCATGTATTTTCCCTATACAGTTAAAATATATAGTGCTGCCATTGAAAAGTATTGTATATGACTAAGGTCTATTAGTTTCATTGGTCTACTTCAAATAATGCCACCCATAGCCACACAAAATGGTTTGCCAAAACAATCAGAGTAGCATCCATATCTCTCCATCTTGTGAATTAACATAGATAAACAGGGACCACATAGCCAAGAAGCCATGTTTTTGTATTCTTCCTTCACTAGTTTACATTGCTGAATTAATTTTTCATCCAGGGCTAGTTGCTGGTACCACCTTCAAGTAGAAAATGTTTCCAGCCTTTGAGTTTTGCACTATTTCCATAAGCGCTGCAAGGAACACTTTGAAGATTAAGTCCTTGCATAATGATTATTTGGTTCCCCTCCCCTGCAAAAAAAAGTGAGGGCCCAGTCTAATTGAATGGACTGCTACTCTGTTTCCTAGTACAACCTGACTGAGAAAAGGTGCCACTTGAATCTCAGGCCAAAGTTATGCCATGTTGAATTCCTACCCAGTCAGGACAATATTTTCCAGACATTTTTTTCTTTCCTTAAGCCTTTTAACAAGGGATCGAAGTTTATCACCTATTTGTAAAATAATCTTAGTTATAATGATAGCAATGTATTGAAAGCTGCTGAATTTCAAAGTCAAGTATGAAATGGATTTTTGCAAGTGCTTCTGCACTAGAAGTGATAAATTAATATAAAAGATAACGCATGTTGCATAATTACCGGTATTTTTAAACCACCCATCTTATGGAAGCAGTCTAATTGACTTCAGTGCTGAAAATGTCAGTACGGCGTTCAAAGTGTTAATAGCACATAATCAGCAAAAAAACTGATTGGTAATATTTCATATCATTTGTGTTTATACTTTGAAATCCAGGAGCCACTTTATGTTTTTGAACTAATGCCTCTATTGCATTTGCAAAGAGGATTTGGGACAGTAGACATCCTCGCTTGGTTCTCTAGGTCTGTTAGGATGAATAAGAAGGATTGTAAATTTTGCATTGTTAGAAATTTCATAGAAACAAACAGAAATACTTTTGTGTAGACTTCAAAGTTGATGAAAAACAGGCCACACAGTAAACCTGTTTCTATGAACTATCCACCTTGTTTAAGGTGTTCATATCTCACGTATACTCATGAATCTATGTTTATAGGTTACTTTCAATAGAATTAATTTGGTTTTTTATTATTTGCCTTTAAAGTTAGTGAATCATATTAATTGTTTTGGCAAATAGGTTTGACAACTTTCTGGAATCTTCCAGTTTTATGATTCTCAAATATTGGTATCTGGTTCTCTAGGTCAGAAGACTTGCCTCCATTTACATGGTATTTTTCCTTACCTGTATGTGCCATATGATGGTTATGGGCAGCTGGCAGAACATTATCTGCGTCATTTGGCATTCAGCATTGACCGAGCACTGAATGTAGCTTTAGGAAATCCATCCTCTTCTGTTCAGCATGTATTCAAAGTGTCACTAGTATATGGAATGTAAGTATTACTTTATTATCCCTTTTTAATTTGGTGGGTTGTGGGGCATGAGTTGCTGTTGACAAAATTTAAAGACACTTATAAGGTATTCAGGTTATAAAGCACTGTTAGTTAATAAAGGATTTAGAATCATAGAATTGTAGAGTTGAAAGGGATCTTGAGAGTCATCTAGTCCAACCTCCTTAAATGCAAGACTCTCAACTAAAGTATCCATGACAGATGACAACCACCTGGGGGAGTATGTTGCACTCTCAAACAATTCTTATTGTCAGAAAGTTCTTCCCAATGTTTAGTCAGAATCTCCCTTCTTGTAACTTGAAGAAAGGTGTATTAAAAATACTTATGCAAAGGCTTTGAGTTTACAATATTTGTTAGTATCCTTATACACAGAAGAGAACAACTTTCCCCCTCTGAGTAAGTCATTTCAATTCCCACTCTCTCACCAGTTTAGTTGCCCTTTTGATGCCATGTAAACTTGATGTCCTGAGTTTAGTTCAACCCCAACTTTTCTTTCTCTGAAGAATTTTTTTTAAAAGTGGGCTATAAATTTATTAAACAAAATAATTAAATATATTGACTACACAGGTTTCCAGTACACTTGTGCTATATTCTTTAACTTACTATATTTTTGGTAAGCTTTTGTAATATTTCCTGGATAGTTTGAGAACCATATGTGAAAGCTTTGTTTTAAAGCCATCTAGGATTGTGTTAGTAAGCAAAGTCTTACCTTTCAAGTCCTGTGATTCACTCTGGTCCATTTACTACATAGTTTTTGGATGATAAAATGCCCCTCATGTAGGACTAGCAAACAACCATAATTATGATGCACAGAGGATATCCAAATCTGGAGCTTAGTGGAAGGTCTGAAGTGCTGAACTGCCATTTACTGCAATAGGGTTGTTCAGCTTACAGATCATGGGACAAACAATAACATTACACCTTACTGAATATTTGTTTTCCAGACCTTTTTATGGTTACCATGAAAAAGAAAGACAATTTATGAAGATCTACCTTTATAATCCTGCTATGGTGAAAAGGTAATGTAGTAAAAATATGATGTGTCTACTTTAGAAAATAACACTTTCCCTGTTACCTTTCAATATTGCACTCTGCCAGCAGCTGCCTTTAAAGACAATTTAGAAGCTGCTGCTTCTAATTCTAATTTGTGGATCACTGGTGGCTCCTGGATCATAGTTTGGGAACTTCTGGCTTAAACAGATGCAAACAGCTTCTTTTAATATCTGCTCCTGCAAATACAACACATGTAAATTGGCTCTTTGGAGCATGGTTTTAGTGCCTAAAAATTTCACTGTTTAGCTATAATTCTGTGTGCTAGAAAAAGTATATTTTGTACTTTTGGCTTGTGTTTCAGTATTGATCAGCATTATATTTCAACCAGTGCTATGTTTAAACCAGCATTATATTTAAATAACATGGTAATATGTTTCATTTCTAACTTTTTCCCATTTTAGAGTGTGTGAGCTTCTACAAGGTGGAGCCATAATGAATAAAAACTATCAACCTCATGAAGCTCATATTCCCTACCTCCTCCAGCTCTTTATAGATTACAACTTGTATGGAATGAATCTAATAAACCTGGCTGCTGTCAAGTTTAGAAAGGCGAAGAAAAAAGGTATGCAATTCCAATTCATAAATATTATTTAGCAGTTTTTGACAAATCTCTGGAATAGACTTTGTGTGACACAAGATATGATAATTGATTCTGCCTTTCTAATAAATGATGTATTTTCCATACTATTCTTCACTGTTGGTATACCATGTAATATGTAAAGATGTAGTTTGAATTGAGGAAAGAAACACAGTACTTTCCCACATTTAGAGACAATTTATTCAGCTTGGGGTTCTCTTAGGGTTATTTTTGTGATGATAGGAAGTTAGCTGGCATATACAGAGCTACATTGGAACTACTGCATCCTCCAATTTAAGCATTAGCCAGCAGTCATAGATGACAAGGAATTCCATGCAGCTGAATATGGTGAATTGCTTCATTTTTCCTCTGTGCCTAGGATAGACACCAGGTAGGCAGCTAGAGGAGAGACGCCCCCTCCTCCACACCTAGCATAGAAATGCTCCCATATGAGATGTGATGATCAATCGAGACGACCTCCCCAAACCTATGGAAACACTGGTAGAGACCTATTGGATTAGAGGCTTTAAATAGGCATTATAAATTGGTTCTAAGTAGTGGTTCCAACTTTAAGATGCTGTTACACTTTTCACAATAAATGACAGACTAGCTGCTATCATTGTTGTTTATTGTATTTTAGATTATTTTAGTTTATGTTTATTACATGTGAAAAAGAAGTAAAATACATTAAAAAGGAATGCAGTGGGATGATTCAGCAGGCTATTAATTCTGTTTTCAGGCTAGTAATTTTCTATGCTTATTCACAAAGTTGTGCTATTTAGATCGTACAGCTGCCCTACATTTGTTGTAAGGCTGATAAGACAACAACCATCTCATGCATTAACTGAATACATGAGGAGGAAGCTGGAACACTCCTGTCAGCCCTACCACAGATGCTGACACATTCTTTGTACATCCTCACCACTCCAGCTCCAGGAACATAGCCAGCAGGCAAAAAAGCATTTAGTGCATATATATGGGGGAGCCTCTGCTTTAGGAAATCTGTCATAGGCAGTAGCAGACAGTTGGGTGTAGTGGCAGTGCTTACTCCCTGACTGGGAGAAGCCAGATATTTGGAAAGTTAGTGTTGTGCAATGCACTGGCAGGAGTGCTGTATCAGCTCCACTTCTGAGTTTGCACAGTGGCAACTTTCCTTCTGCCTTGTTTCTCCCACTTTCCAGAAACAAACCAGCAAAAACTGGAAAAATGTGGGGAGTCCCATTTACTCCCTGGGCCTTCACACCACTGATAATGAAACTGTATATGATTGAGGCAATGTGTGTACACAGACATTTCCCCTTTCCTCTGTAGGACCTTGTTAACATTTCTCAAGCTCCTCCTTCCATGAATGTCAATAATTATCTTTGACTCTCTACCGTGACACTACTTTTCAACACTGGGAGAGCAGGTTTAGCCCTTATTTATTTTACTTATTTTTTTAAAAAAATTACACCCTCTTTTCACTATCAAAATCTCAAAGCATCTTACAACGATAAAAATAAACATTTAAAAAACAAATTAAACCTCAGATACTTAAAACCTCAGAAATATAAAATTTACCCCAACTGCTAGATTGCGACCGCTTCAAATTCTCTGACAGAAATGTCTGGCTCAGATTAATCTCTTCCAAAACCATACTTTTTTTATCAGGCAACAGGAAACTAGTACTGTTGTGAGAGGACAGTTGAGTTATACTAATGGGCATTTGGTTAGGGACCAATCTGTGGAACAGAGTATTGAGAGCAAATAAAATATGTGACCCAAGCAAATAAAAGCTAAGGCCCTAGAAGCTCAAACTTTGTTGGAAAGTATTAGTAGGTTCTCTTCTACTTATGCTATGCCCAATGTTCTCTGAATCTGAAAAGGTCACAGGGCAAACAAATGGGATTAGAGTTTTAAGAACATAAGACATATCCTGCTGGATCAGAGCAAAGGCCCATCTATTCCAGCATCCTGTTATCACAGTGGCCAACCAGATGCCTATGAGAAGCCCACAAGCAGGACCTGAGCATAATAATAGTTTCCCCGCTTGTTTCCCCAGCAGCTGGTATTCAGAATCATATACCTACTGATACTCTTGTATTTTCTCAAGCACCCTTTCTTAAACTGATTTTGCATTTATTTTTGTTATAGGATTCTGACTTCATTCACAATGCAAGTGGAATATGAATGTTTTGTTAAAGAAACAACAACAAAAATCATTTTCAATATAAAATGTTTAGAGTAATAATAGTTCACAGTACCTGAAAGCTTATCTACTGTTATCTGTTTGTAGGTGATGTATTAGAAGAAAGTGGATCTTATAAATACAGTTTGTCGGGACATTCTGCTACCAAAACCCTTCTTCAATGGGAAAACAATCAAATACCAAGGTTAGCATCTCTGAATATATATCTCTCTAAATAGTCTTGAGACCACTTAGTCTAAAAAATAGTTATGGCATAAGCTTTCATGGACTGCATTCCACTTCATCAGAGGCTTGAAGTGTTACCCTGAGGTACAGAAATATATGCATATTTGGGGAAAATTGTAAACAGTAATGTCAAAAGAAAAGGAAATGCTAAAAGTATAGCTGTTGATAATTATGTTATTAACAGTGGCCACTGACTAAAAAATAGTTGGAAGTATACATGTCCAGGCACTGGTTAGCTAATTAACACATGAAATGTGAGAAAAAGAAATATTTGCCCCGGTTCAGTGTCTACTTGCTGTCACTGGTGGATTGATTCAAGACAAAGGTGGCTGGATGGAGGAAGCACAGATAGGCCCAGTTAAGCCATGTTTAAGAATATGGTTCTGACCAAACAGGATTTACTAAATACAGTAAGTCTTCAACTTATGCACATTTCACTTGTGTGCATTCAGCTTTACACCAGTGGCAAAAAATAAATATAAAGTAAGGGGTGGGGTTCTGGGAAAAATTGCTTTGGCAATCCCACTCACTGTTGAACACAATGTGTTTTGACTATACACAATTTTGACTTTAGGCGCAATCCCTGTATGGTAAGAATTCACCTCTACACCACTTGTTCATTACCCAGTTGAGGAACAGCCACCTTTTGAATAAACAACAGACCCAAGGAAACTATTTCCAAGTCCAGCATCCAGATTTAGGGACCCAGCATTTATCATAGCTATTGCAATAGGACAGAGCTCATTCAACTCAATGTGCCAGTTGAGAAGGTCTGCCTCAAGGCACTTTGGAACAGAAGTTTATATAGTAGTTCAAACACAGCAAACAAAGAGTCATAAAACATCTTCACATGCATCAGGAAAGGTTACAGGTCATGAAAAGTAAAGCAAATGTGGCTGCATACTGGTATCTTCACCTCCACATCACCTTGGAGTGGCCCTGATGTGTCCAGACCATTTTGAATAGCCAGATATCTGGCATTGCCCTGGCAACCTAGCCTTCAGTGAGGGAAGAACATCATAAAATCCTCTTCCTGGGTCTCAGATAGCTTCAATGATAGCTGATTTAAACTCTGGTGCTAAAACATCCTGCCATTTGTACCACTTTCAGTGGTAGATAAGGAGAGATGGAATGCAGCGTAGGAATGGGGAGACTAACAAATGCAGAACACGCAAAAATCAAGCCTAATACATTCTAAAAGGTCTCTAATTCTTATACTGTATCACCTGGAATGTAACTGCTGCATAAATTGCAGGCTTACTGTATTACTGCTTAGTTGATTGTGGTAGAAGAACGGTTAATATTTCCAAATATTGTAATTTATATTAGGCTATATTCCACCCATATATATTTTATGGTTGCCTGAACTCCATAGCCCCTAAAATCCTCTGTGTTATCTCTTATCCTCACTGTCAGCCTCATTTATTTATTTATTTATTTACTTACTTACTTACCACCAACTCATAGAAATATCAAGGCCATCTACAGCTATATATATACAAGTACAATAAAACATCAAACACAATAAAAATACAAATCTTGCCTATATTTCTATCATTGTGAACACATGAATCTGTCCCTTTCGGTACATTCACAAACCACTTATTTAAATACATCCTGACTTACCGTATTTTTCGCTCTATAGGACGCACCTTGTTTTAGAGAGGGAGAACAAGAAAAAAAATCCTCCCCATCTCTGCGCAGCGCCCCTTCAGCGAAGCGGCAGGAGAAACTGAGCCCCTTCCATTTCTCCTTCCGCTTAGCTGAAGGGGCGCTGCGCCTTAGCTGAAGGGGCACCTACCCTTCAGCGAAAGGAACCCGAAGCCTCCGGAGCGCGGCGGGAGCGCTCCCACTGTGCTTCAGAGGCTTCGCGTTGCTATCGCTGAAGCAAAGGAGCCTGCATTCGCTCCATAAGACGCACACACATTTCCCCTTAATTTTTGGAGGGGAAAATGTGTGTCTTATAGAGCGAAAAATACGGTAGCTGTATTTATCCCATGGGACATATTCTGAACCTAACTTGCTTGTATACTCTGCCCCGTGCTGCCTGCAAATCTCTATAGATACTTTCTTTCAGTGGTGCTGTTTATGTAAAATGAGTCTCTTTCTCTCAGTGCCATTAAGGTAGGGAACAGGTGATGATTTGCATACATGTTCATTCAGGGTGCATGACTAATATGCCTCTGCTTACCATCTAACTATGGCATAAATATCATGACTTTAAAATGTTCAGACTATTTAAGATAAATTGTGATTTAATATTCAGTTAGTTGTTTTTTCTACTATTAGAATTTAAGAAAATATAATTTTAGTGGGAAAGTACCATATTTTAACCATCCTTTAATTTTAATATAATTACAGTTCTTTGATACTGGAGGGTGTTGAACCACAGAGTACCTGTGAACTGGAAGTAGATGCAGTGGCTGCTGATATTTTAAACAGATTGGATATTGAAGGTAAACAATTTTGCTTTGTGTAATCATTTAAGGACATTAACAAGTTTGTTTTTTATGCATGCTTAGCACAATCTTCCCGAGCTGTTCCTCCAGATATTTTGGACTGCATCTCCCATCAGCCCCAGCCAGCAGAAAAGGGAGGCTGGCATAGCCCAATGCATCCTAAGTGGTATTTAAAACCTCTAAGTTACAGTTAACCTAGTAAGTAAATATAACTGAAGAGATTATATAAACAAGTGACACAAGGTGAAGGCAGGAACAGGTGGCGGGGTGCTATGCCGCTACCCTCCCAACAGTGGCATTGCTGCCACTTACTGGAAAGGTGCAGGGACAGGTACGCTAGCTGAGCCACTTTGGTACTGAAGACAGTGTCCTACCTTACTCCCTCAGCATTATGGTAAACAGCAGCAATGCTGCTATTGGGAGTGTAGCAACATAGCACCCCCTCACCACAGTAGTCACTTTGGGAAGGCAATTGTCTGAAAATATTGTCAGGTTAATTCTTGCAAACAGCATAGATTGTACAGACAAGAGGTTTTGCAGTAAGCTTGACACTCCTGTTGAATTTGCTGTATTTTTCACTTTTTCCAGCCCAGGTTGGTCGGAACCCAGGTTTGCAAGCGATATGGGATGATGAGAAACAACGGCGTAGAGAAAACAATGAGTCCTCTCAAATTAGTCCTCCTAACTCACAAGGTAACTCACAGGGCAAAGTTGTTGTTGTTGTTGTTGTTACATATTTATTTCTCAGTCACAATTCCTGGGCAGGTACGTTTGATGGGTCAGTACTCAATTAAGCATTTGCTGCTTGTTGGGTTGTTAATTTTATCATAGCAATCAGAAAGTCAAGAAGCTTTCCCATTCTTCTTCTAATACAGTTGTTGTTGTTGTTGTTTAGTCATTTAGTCGTGTCCGACTCTTCGTGACCCCATGGACCAGAGCACGCCAGGCACTCCTGTCTTCCACTGCCTCCCGCAGTTTGGTCAAACTCATGCTTGTAGCTTCGAGAACATTGTCCAACCATCTCGTCCTCTGTCGTCCCCTTCTCCTTGTGCCCTCCATCTTTCCCAACATCAGGGTCTTTTCCAGGGAGTCTTCTCTTCTCATGAGGTGGCCAAAGTATTGGAGCCTCAGCTTCAGGATCTGTCCTTCCAGTGAGCACTCAGGGCTGATTTCCTTAAGAATAGATGCGTTTGATCTTCTTGCAGTCCATGGGACTCTCAAGAGTCTCCTCCAGCACCATAATTCAAAAGCATCAATTCTTCAGCGATCAGCCTTCTTTATGGTCCAGCTCTCACTTCCATACATCACTACTGGGAAAACCATGGCTTTAACTATATGAACCTTTGTTGGCAAGGTGATGTCTCTGCTTTTTAAGATGCTGTCTAGGTTTGCCATCGCCTTTCTCCCAAGGAGCAGGCGTCTTTTAATTTTGTGACTGCTGTCACCATCTGCAGTGATCATGGAGCCCAAGAAGGTAAAATCTCTCACTGCCTCCATTTCTTCCCCTTCTATTTGCCAGGAGGTGATGGGCCCAGTGGCCATGATCTTCGTTTTTTTGATGTTGAGCTTCAGACCATATTTTGCGCTCTCCTCTTTCACCCTCATTAAAAGGTTCTTTAATTCCTCTTCACTTTCTGCCATCAAGGTTGTGTCATCTGCATATCTGAGGTTGTTGATATTTCTTCCGGCGATCTTAATTCCGGTTTGGGATTCATCCAGCCCAGCCTTTCGCATGATGAATTCTGCATATAAGTTAAATAAGCAGGGAGACAATATACAGCCTTGCCGTACTCCTTTCCCAATTTTGAACCAATTAGTTGTTCCATATTCAGTTTTAACTGTAGCTTCTTGTCCCACATAGAGATTTCTCAGGAGACAGATGAGGTGATCAGGCACTCCCATTTCTTTAAGAACTTGCCATAGTTTGCTGTGATCGACACAGTCAAAGGCTTTTGCATAGTCAATGAAGCAGAAGTAGATGTCTTTCTGGAATTCTCTAGCTTTCTCCATAATCCAGCACATGTTTGCAATTTGGTCTCTGGTATCTCTGCCCCTAATACAGTGCTGTAGTTAAAAAAAATAATGGAGACATCATGATAGTAAACTTTACATTATTTATTTAAGCTGCTGCTCAAGTAAGCAGTGCCTGGTTTGTTGATTAATTTAAAAATGGTTAATCATTCAGTGCAACAGTTTCAGGACTGCTGACACATGGTCCCATCAGATTGCCCCACTTACCAGCCTCACTTGCTGCAATCTTCAGACCACCTTCAAGGACAGCCCCACACACAATGTAATACAGTAGTCCAGATGAGAAATAACCAGAAGATAGACAACTGAGGCCAGGCTATCTGTTCCAGGAATGGCCATAGCTGGCAAACCAGCCTAAGCTGGGCATAAGCTCTCCAAACAACAGAATCCACTTGAGACTCTTTTTTCAAGGCTTTAGGTGTATTTCCATTCCTTTGTGAGGCATTGATCACTCCTTGGACCCATACCATCAATCCCCTCCTAGATTTTACCAGATCTTATGGGCAGCAATTGAGAGAGCATGTCAGTCCCAACACTGCAAGCATCCCATCACATCCTTGGGCTGCAGCAACTGAAAGTGATCCCACAAGCTAGTGGTCCACAAGTGCTCTAGGTTCCTACAATCAGTTGCGGCATCAAGTAGAGGGTGATTACAAATGTTTTTGAGAATGTTTGTGCAAAGAGAAGAATTTCTCTGGATTTAGAGTCAGTTTTTTTACACAGTGCTCTTCCTCTAAGTTGGAAACGGCCTTCTGTGAGTGGGAGAAACTAACGGTAATTAGTGGAACAGCAAATTTGGATATAATCAACAGATTATATTCCTTATAATATTTTTATAACTATATAAAAAGCATGGTAAAAAGAAAACAACCTTTTTAAAATTGGCTCAGAGCTGCTTGAAATTCAGACTATGTTGCTTGCTCTGAGCTTAAAAGTATTAGAAAAAATACATAAAGAGAAGGGTACTAATTGTTAATAGAATGCCTATGAAGTTTCAGTTTGTTATTTAGGAATTCAGTAGTCTTTTCTTTGTTGCTGTATTAACCGTCCTGTATAACCTTTCCCCCTTAATTAAAGATCGTGGATTTGTAACTGCAACAGAAAGTGAAAAAATCTTTCAGAAGAGGCTTAAAGAAATCCTCAAGCAAAGTGATCTCTCTGTGTAAGTGTTCATTTAGCTGTTACTCTTGTTTTTATTTGTGAGTTGTACAGTCATTTTAAAAGGTTTTATTTATTAATAAGGACATTATCTGGATCACTGGACTACAGTAATGGATCACAGGAATTCTCTGCAGAGTTGACGCTACATTCTGAGGTACAATCTCCTAAAGTTGTTCCGTGTTCACCAGCAAATATTGTAGAAGTACACAGAGATAAAGAACTCAGCAAAGGTTAGTAGTATTAATACAGTTGGCTTTTAAGTCAAATACAGCTCACCTTACATGAGTACATCCTAGCTGGAATTACTTTTATGGAAAAACTGAGCAAAGGAGGCAAAAGAGACATAGAAGAATGCACAAGGAATGATCTTTACCTTTGCATGTCTGTCTACAATATTCTCTGTTCTTTTCTTTCTGTGTCATAAAACAGCTGAGAAAAGCAAAAATGAAGAGATGGAGAGAGAGAGAGAGAGAGAGAGAGAGAAAGGCACAGAAAAAACATTTCTCCCCCTGCATAATTGCATTTCACTGTTTCTGTGGGTGTGCTGATGGTGAGGAGGAAGTGGCACCAAGGAAGAGTTACCTTCTGCATTTGCTTTCCCCAATAGTTTTTTTGGGCAGGGGCGGGGGGAGAGAAACTTTTGAAGAAAAGAGAGGTTTAGTGCACATCCTTGTGCCCCACCCTCTCCCAAAAACTCTATTCTCTTTCCAGAAATTGCTGGGAAGAGGAGATCTGAATTGCACCCCTCTGTTCTCAAGTGCAGAAAGATCTACTTTCAGGTTTCCCATAGGCATCTGGTTGGCCACCATGAGAACACAATGCTGGACTAGATGGGTCATTGGCGTGATCTAGCAGGCTCTTCTTATGCTCATGTAATCTTCTGCCACTTCCTCTGAGCAAAATGCCTGGGAAGTGGCAACTTGTGAAAGGAGAAAGTACCCTTTGGAAATGTATTGATCTGCTGCGAGTTCCATTAAAAACGGTTTTAAATAACCACAACTGAGTTTGCTCAAATTGTCTTAAGAAAAGTCTTGCCACCATAAATTCCTATCTCTTTCAGACTCTGTAAGTTGTATAAACTTATGCATCTCAACTAGCACAAGTCTCTAACTATCTTCTGAAAATCTTGTTCAACTAATTTGGATATGTTAATATGTTTAATAGTCTTCAGCGACTACTTTTGTGGGGAAAATGTGTTGGCAGCTCATGTGCAGAGTTTTAAATCTCATTTTTAGAGGAGTCCAACAGGAAGTATAAGGAGGAGGAGGCGCTTATTAATGAAGAAGCTATTTTGAACATCATAGAAAATAGTCAGCATTTTCAATCCTCATCTCAGAGACTGAATAAGACCCCAGTGTTCAGTAAGTACAATATAAATATAATCTTTTTCCCCACAATAATAGGTTATTCTTCAATATGCTGGCAGTTTTATCTCTAGTGGTCCATGCAGTTTGTCTAAACTGAGCTTACTCCAAAAATTAGATTTCTGTAAAGTATTTCTAGTTTAGCTGTTCATCAATAGTGGTGTTCTGTTACTGATTGAAAAGAGGAGCCTTTGAATCCTAGTGCTCTGCAAAACCACTTCCCTTTGGAAGCTTGAAATTAAAATATACACCGCAAAAGTGAGAAATTATCAAAAGATAGTAAGATTCTCAAAGGACAAGGGTCTCAAAAAGAAGATACTGTAAAAAGTTTTGTTTGCCTAATACTTGCTTTTAAAATATTGTGTTCAGTCTGCACATGGAAAATATAGGTTATTTAAAAGAACACATCACAAAGATAATCTTGAACTTTTTAAGATATAGGCTATGTCTGAATTTGTTTTTGTTTTTCTTTCAGTGGACAGTAGTGCTGATCAAGCCATGATACATCTCTTGGCTGGGTTGGAGGATGATGGATACGCAATTGGAGGACATGGTACATTATCACAACACTTCTCCTCTGGAAGCTGTAGAAATCCCCAGAACAGTGATGATGAAGAAAACGAACCACAAATTGAAAAGGAAGAAATGGAGCTCAGCTTGCTAATGTCCCAACGATGGGACAGCAGTCCTAATGACGTGAATGCAAAGAGAAGGTATCTTCTGTTTGTTGAATAATAGCTCTGGAGAAAATGGTACTAAGTAACTTAGACTGAAGTTCTCATACTTAATAAAGAAAATCAATGTGGGTGTCCAGACGCCAGTATACTATGAAGAGAGGTGTTTATTGGACAAGAAATGTGATTGGTGATATAATTTCATGTGGCTCAAATGAGCAGGCAGATAAGAAAACCCAAGGGTTACTAGACTGCCAGAGCTTGAATGGAATGAGAGAGATTTGTAAGTGTGTTCTGCAATGACTGCTCCAGAATTCTACTCCTTACTATGCATTGCTATATTTGCTCAATGGGTACATTATATTAATCTGTGTTAAATACTGTGAGGAGGAAGGAACAGTGCTGCTATGTCTGTGTAAGTTGTTACAGGAAGCCCCACCAGCAAGAAATCAGGTTTCTCAGCATGCAGAGATAAAACAAAAGCACTGGCTGGGGTGGGGAGGTGGGGACTTGATGAGAAATTATAGCGACAATCGCTGAGAGATGTAGGGGAAGAAGAGGAATTTTCAGGCCACATATCCTGCTTTCTGAGTGAACAGTTTGGGGGAATAAATAAGAGGATGAGCCCTCTAAAGGAAGGTCCATTGGAGAAGGGAGCACCCATACTTGGTGCAAATAAGAAGGCAACATGAAGCAGATATATTGGAATCAGGGTCTGGAACACAAACTCACAGTAGCATGCTTGTAACAGAAGAGTGGTGGAAATTTTAGGGGAAAGTAGGATTTTGGAAGCAGGATAAAATACAAGTCCGGGGGGAGAAGTCCTGTGACGAAAACGGAATCAACAACAGGCTCATTCAATATAATCTGATGTAAGATTGTATTGGCACTCTGAAGATCCACTGGTGGGTGGATTTCAACCTCTGTTGAAATTTGAACCCTACTGTGATTTTCATGAAATATTTTCATATTCTCAGGGGAAGAAACCACTCTATGATTATTCAATTTTGCATCCTGTCAGTTTGAAATACAGTTTAATGACTGTCTTTAAAATATTGCATTAGACCACATTCTGTAGTGTAATAAGTTAATGTTCATTTTTAGTAAGCAACGTTCAAATGCTTTGTATCCTTCCTTCCCAAGCAAAGTATCATGTATTAACACCATAACCAGTAAACTCTCAAGTGGCTGACCAAAGGTTTTTATATACCTGAAATAAATTGCACTTCCAGGTCATTGGGCAGAAGTAGAAACCAGAGCTCAACTGAAGATGATGGCACTTCAGAAGATGATATGGACTGGAGTGAAAACAATTTGCTTCTGGCAAGCCTATCTATACCTCAGTTAGATGGAACTGCAGATGAAAACAGTGGTAAATCATAGTTTGGGAATTTCATATACCCATGAGAAAGTAGTTTTCCTTTCTTGATAAAAAATATCTCAATAGATTCCTTTGTACTAAATATTCTGCAAACATAGTCTATGAATTAGAATTCTCAACATAAATAGGTTGAAATATAAAAACTGCATTAATTTATCTGTTTAAATTTCCTGACTTTCAAACTCTGACACAAAACTGTAATGTATTTTTTATTTAAAATATTTATTATCTATTCTTCATTGCAACCGCAATTCCAGAGTAGGTTACAAATAAAAACAAATGCAAGACATATAGTAAACTAGATGACTCTCAGGATCCCTTCCAACTCTACAATTTTATTATTATTTTATTCTAACCAGACACTAAATTTTTTTGCAACTAGCCAGGCCCCTCATGGCAGCCATTTTATGGCAACTACATCAGTTTCCAAATGTGCCCTCAAGCCCCATAATGATGGGAACTCCTGATCTAGGTAAAATAGAATTACAAACTTTTCATGTCATTATTTATTTATTTCATATATTTGTATACTACTTAATGCCAAAACAGACCTTAAGCAGTTTATAAAAGATAACTGCTTTGTTTACATGGTGAAATTATAGGCTATTTTATCATTTCAAAAAAGATGAAGTATGTGAACTAAACTGCTTTTGTTTCTGTCAGGAATAGAGGGATACATTGTATCAAAGACTGGCAGGCAGCAAAGTGTCCATTAAACTCATTGCAACCTAGATGCCTATATTTGAAGTGGTTTCTAGCTTTATATTCGGTATCACAGGCATCAACAGGGTGGCCAGTTTTAATTGGTCCATAGAAATGCTTCCTCATCTTATTGGCTCATAATTACAGACCAATAAGGGTTGAATTTCACCCAAATTGTAGTGATTGGGTAAGGAGGGCTAGTAAAAGGTAGCAAAGCTCTGTGGCAGTCCTGAAAAGAGAGGTACTGTCAAGTAACAACTGCTTATTGTAAACTTGAGATGGCAGTTGTTGCTGCGCCAGGTTGAGGACTGCAGAGAAGTGAAGAACTCCAGGCTGAAGGAAATGAGGACCAAGTTGAAGGCTGCATGTAAAGTCCTAGGTGATGGGAGTTGTGTGTTAATGGGAGAAAGAAAGTGATAGGGTAACTGGCCAGGCTTGGTTAGGAGATAAAACTGCAGTTTTACGTGTCTAACTTCTTAAAGGGGCAATAATCCTGTTTATTCAGTGCTATTTAAAGTGACTAAGTGTAGCCTGATAAATAATCCTTCAAACAAGCATTACTATTTGTTAATACTTAAAAATGGCTTCACTACAATTTTAGTGCCTTGTTTTTAACTTTAAATTTAGTATTCTTGTCTGCTTTGTCCCATATCCATCTGTAGCTACTGAAAGGTTAGCTGTTACAGGATAATATAAAGGTGTGCTATAGTGGCTGCAGAGATGAAGTGCGGGGGGGCGGGGCGGGCACAAGTAGAATAGTCAGATGCGGGGATTAAGTGGAGGCTAGCAGTAAGGAGAAAAAAATATTAATCGCCACAATGCAACTGGTGAGAAAAATACAAGAAGGTAAGTGACTACATGTTGGCTTAGTATGTTCTAGGTTTGGGCTATTACAATAACAAGCATATATATAACAATTAAACAAAAATACAAGAAAACCATAAAATGCAATAAAATCCTAGAAAAACAGAAACATAGTAGCACACTTTAAAAGCATCTTAAGAGACAAGGGAAGCCTGACTTCATTTGTCTTTGAGATATAGATTGTAGGGAGTAACTGAATTCCAGATTAAAAATACAGCAATAAAATATTTGAGGGTGGTATTTTTTTAATAAGATTGAAAAACTACCAAAAGTGGAATGGTGGAATGTAAGATTAAGGAAGAGATAGAGAGTTTGGGTCTCTTAGCAGTTACTATTTTACCTAATACTTAAGTGACTGACTAATCTTTAAAATAGCTGATCTTAAAAAATAGAAGGTGAATAGTGAAAATTGCATGTGTTGTATCTATCCCTTTCTAGACAATCCGTTGAACAATGAGAATTCTCGAACCTCCATAATTGCAACAAGCAAAACATCTGTAAAGTCTTCAATTTTTCATAAAGATGCTGCTACTCTGGAACCACCTTCTTCTGCTAAGATTACCTTTCAGTGTAAACACACAAGTGCCCTTTCTTCTCATATTTTGAACAATGATGACTTAGAAGGGCTTTCTCAGCCAAACAAAGGAGACATAAGACCTGAATTGTCAGTCCATTCTCTTACAAAAGAAAGCACTTACAATGTGAAATACCCAACATCCTTCAATAATATTCTCCATTCTGAAAATTCACACACAGAAAGTAATAAAAGTGGAATATTCCCTGCTTCGTGTGAAACAGTTTATGAAGACATTTCCTCAGTAAGTAGACATTTGCCTCACAGAAAGTACACTGGAATAAGAAAAACTACAAAGGATGTATCTCTGCATATGAACCACCAAATGGGTGAAAGTATTTCGGTTCAAAATTCTAACTTTTCAGATTTGGTCCACTCCAAAAATAAAGCATCCTATGAAGCAAATAAAAAAGCCAGCAACACAAATACAGATAACCTCTTCCCAGCACCAGAAAACTGTGAAATGGTGTCTTGCTCAGAGGGTAATCGAACTAGTATTTATTCTGCTGAAGGTAGCACTGATGGAGATGGCCTTACTAACCTTAAAATTAGATATGAAGAATTTCAGGAGCATAAAGCTGAAAAAACAAATGTTAATCAACAAGCAGCACATTACATGTTCTTTCCTAGTGTTGTTCTTTCTAATTGTCTCAGTCAGCCACAAAAATTAGGTCCTGTTAAATATAAATTGAAAAAAGGCAGGAAACAATCTAGGTTAAAACTAAATAAAAAGAAAGTAATTCTTAGCAATCAGCCGTCTACAACTGTCAGCGATATTGCTTCCACAAAAGAGAGCTGCTATGTACAAGGTAATGCTAGTAATAACATTCCTGATAAAGAGAGTTTGTTACCAAATGATATCATTCAGATTTCTCCTGGTGCTTCAGAAAATAAATTGTCCATGGATACAAGTAATTGTATTGACTGCCATTTTGAAGATGGAGCTGATGGTGCTCGAGAATCTGAGCAGGCGTTTGGGCTATGTGGAAATAAGTACACACTCAGAGCTAAACGCAAGATAAATTATGAAACCGAAGACAGCGAATCTAGCTTTGGTGTGCATAATTCAAAAATTAGCCTACCTCATTCTTTGGAAAATGATGAAAATATTGATGGGTCAAAAAAATGTCGAAAACGAAGAAAACTTTCTAAAAAATTACCACCTGTTATTATAAAATATATTATTATAAATAGGTTCAGAGGGAGGAAAAATATGCTTGTTAAACTAGGAAAAATAGATTCTAGTGAGGAGCAAGTTACACTTACAGAGGAAAAAATGAATCTATATAAAAAACTTGCACCTTTAAAGGACTTTTGGCCAAAAGTTCCTGATTCACCTGCAACCAAATATCCTATTTATCCATTAATGCCAAAGAAAGGTCACAAAAGAAAAGCAAAATGCAAGTCAACCAAGAAAAAGGTTGGAAAACTGCAAAACATGAAGAGTAAAAATATTAAAAGAACCCTATATTTCAGAAGAAGAACCTCTGCCTTTCTGTCTCCCCCTCTACCATCATATAGCACTGAAGCTGAAGACTGTGACTTGAACTATAGCGATGTTATGTCTAAATTAGGTTTTCTGTCAGAAAGAAGTGCAAGTCCAGTTAATGTATCCCCACCTCGCTGTTGGTCTCCCACTGACCCAAATGCAGAAGAAATTATTAATAATCTAGAAAAAGAAACATTAGTGTTTAAAAATGCTACCACATATAGCACTAAGACTGTTAATTCCTATACAGGAAAACATAGTCAAGCAAAAGCTCAGACTAAAAAATGTAAAAAGCAATTTGTTAATACTACTGTTAGAGTTAATAAAAAGATTAGGAATAATCTGACTAACAAAACCGGAAATGAGGTGAAGAGAAAGCCTAGAGCAAAACAAAAACATAAAATAGAAAAAGTGTCAAAGTTGGTGACAGTAACAGATGAAAAAAGTAGTATTCCTCCTTCAACTGAGGTTAAACTTGTGCTGAACCACCATGATTTACCTGAGAATGCTCACAGCTTGGGAAACTCGCAGCCACTTTGTACCCAAAAAGATAGCCAAGCAACTGGCTGTTCAACAGGGCATCTACCATCAGCACAACTGCCATTGACAGCTCATGCACAAGTAAATCCATTGATATATTTCCATTCACTCTTGGAAAATGAAAAGCCTGTAGGATATCAAGGTTCCCTCCTGACACAGGAGGACCATCATCCAGCCATAACTTCTGTGGTGTCTGGAAAGGAAAAAGCCAAAATGAATTTCCAAAGAGCTACTAGTCAAAGTGGTATATTTAGGACAAAAGAACCAATTCAAAATAATTTATTTGACCAGTCTCACCATATATCTCAGGTAGCACTGAATGCATACAGTTCTAAAGATATAATGCATAAAAAGGCTGAAGAGGTTACAAATTCACAGTGCAGACTTTTATCCCCTGTTGGAAATGTAAATGAAAATTATATTTCTTCAGATGCAATGAAGATTGATCAGATTCATCCTAGTAAACTTTTGCATTGTAAAGATAATCAGCAGCAGATCGTTTATCTTCCAGAATCAACAAAAAATGCTGAGCATATTTCTTCTTTTTTTAAAACTTCTGAAGAAAGCCATGGATCTTTTCAGTTGCCAAAAAAATGCTTTGTAGCTTCTTTGAGAAGTCCAGTTAAAAAGCTGGGATGGGAACAGAAACAAAGAGGATTTATTTTGGATATGTCACATTTTAACCCTGAAAAAAATATAAAACAAAAGGGTCTGTCAGAAACAACCTCTCAAACCAAAGCTGATTCGCAGTGTAAAGGCAAGACACTGGTAACACCCTCAGCATTCAGTGAAGGACATTCTGGCTTAGCTGTTCTTAAGGAATTACTTCAAAAAAGACAACAAAAAGCACATCTAAACAACATGCATGAGCAGTTATCATTTAAAACTCAGTTGAACAGAAGTGCTTCCTACCCTCTTGATCAAAACAAATCGGTTAAAAAATCACGTTCAGTTGCATCCCCTAGAAATCCTCGTACATCTAGGGAGAAAAAATCTAAAGAAAAAAATCTCAAGCTTTTAAAAGATTCTGCAAAGCAGCAAAACAGTAAGACTGGCCATGTGTTATCTGTTGATAGCCCGGTTTTTGGTTCAGATCCAGGTTTTGAAAGTTGCTACTCACTTGAAGACAGCCTGTCACCTGATCATAATTACAATTTTGATATTAATACTATAGGACAGACTGGATTTTGCAGCTTTTATTCTGCAAGTCAGTTTGTCCCAGCAGATCAAAATCTACCACAGAAGTTTCTGAGCGATGTAACTCAGGACCTTTTTCCAGGTCAGGCAGCAGAAATGGATCTTTTAAGTCATAATAGCAAAATTTCTAAGGAAGAAAACCATTATTCTTCAGACCCCACAGCTTGGTTAAGATCTGGTCCACTAAGTCCTCAGCTTTTTGATAAAAGGTGCCCGGATACGAATGAAAACCATCTCCACAGCCAGTGGAAAAATAACATTATTACATCAACATCTGAACCTAGCTTACCACTAGATGTGCAACAGGCAGAGATGTGCCAAAAGGAACAATTTCAGTTGGAGAGAAATGCTGTGAAGAAAGGAATATTTCTTAACCTTTCATCGCCAAATAGTGATTGGAGTCAAAACCACTTTAGAAAGGAAGCCACTTTTGAACCTGTTCAGTCACTTGATTCGATTAGTATATCTTTTTCTTCCATTTTATCATCACCGGATGGTGAACTTATGGATGCAGCTTCTGAAGATTTAGAGCTGTATATTTCAAGAAACAATGAGGGATTAACACCAACCCCAGATAGTTCACCAAGATCTACAAATTCCCCCTCACAGTCAAAAAATGGAAGTTCTACACCTCGTGCTGCTCACATCCTTAAGCCTCTCATGTCACCTCCAAGTCGTGAAGAAATTATGTCAACTTTACTGGATCACGATCTTGCAGAAGCAATTTATCAGGAACCATTTTGCAGCAACCCTTCTGATGCACCAGAAAAGCCAAGGTAATGTGGTAATACCAGTGGACTGTAATCACATTTTTCTATTTTATACCTATGTATTTTTAGTTGGCTTTAACATAATTTATATAGTCATGGAAATATTAGGTGTACCTTTAATGTAGCATTCTCTCCTATTCCCTTAAGCAAGAGCCAGAATTGCATGGGGTTAAAGTAGCTCATTAATCTACAACAGGGTTTCCAAAACTTGGATCTCCAACTATTTTTGGACTACAACTCCCATCATCCCTAGCTAGCAGGACTAGTGGTCAGCAGTGGTGGGAATTGTAGTCCAAAAAGAGCTGAAAACTCAAGTTTGGGAAATCCTGAGATTTTATAAAAAGTAAATATTCTGTTTTATCTTTTCAGATTCATAAATTCTGGGCACCTTGAAGAATTTAACATAGGGTTGTATTCAATGTTGCATGTGTAGAAAACAAACTTGCACAGTCAGTCTTACCTTTCCCCTCCTGCTCCCATTATCTATCTTGTAAAACCTCTCCAGAGGGTGGGGGCATGGCATACTGTATTACACAAGGCTGAAGTTGGCAGGAGGTATCACCCAAAATTGAGCAGAAGGACTTATAAAGGCAAAGGAAAAGATCTGTTGTGCAAATTCCTCCTGCTCATGCAATACTGAATACAATTCATAGTCATTAGCTATTGCTATGGGGAGTATTGAAATGTGAATCAAAACTTTAAATATCTGCTTCTTCTTTGAAATGTTGATGACCTAATTTGGATATTGACAAATACAAGAGTTGATACTATGTGATGGAATCTTTTTTCCTGACAGTTCTTTCCTTCTATTAAGATAAATTTATTGTTAACTGAAAATAATATCTTCACAGAGAAATTGGAGGACGACTGCTTACAGTAGAAACCAGACTTCCAAATGACCTACTTGAGTTTGAGGGAGACTTCTCATTGGAAGGGCTACGACTATGGAAGACTGCATTTTTGGCAATGGCACAAAGCCCTCGACCAGGCTCTCCGCTTCGCAGTAGCCAATCCATTACTGACAAAAAGCAAAGAAATAATCGTAAAACTAGTGAAGACAAAAAGATAGTGATCATGCCTTGCAAATGTGCACCAAGTTGCCAGCAAGTTCAGTCATGGCTGCAGGCAAAAGAAGATTATGAACACTTTAGGAAAAGAATGATTACCAAATCGATTGAGGTGGAAAAGGTTGATAAGAGTTTGAACTGCACGTCTTTGCCAAACAACACGTGTTATCAAATGGCCAAGGCAGTTGAGAATTCTATCTTGCCAAGCAAAAGTGTTGTAGAATCAGAAGGTACTTGTTTTTCATCCTCAAATCCAATGCCAGCACAAACCATGGAAAAGCATGATACAGATATCCCTGAAATGAGTAAGACTGTGCTGCTTGACACTGCAGCAATAGAAACAGACAGGGATGAGGAGAATTATGTTGATTATAGCTCCCCTGATTCATCAGTGCTTCCTCCTTGGCAACAAGTAACATCCCCAGATTCCAAACAATCTTCCTCAGAAGATTCAGAGGATATTTTATCCTCTATAGAAGAAAATGAAACATTAACAGATGGAGAACAGAAGCTTGTCAAAGAGGAAAGCAAGATACCCTTCACCGTCTCCCCATTTGTGAACAAAGGATGCAATAGTAATTCTGAAACTGCTTGCCTGCATAGTACACCCCTTAGAGAGGAAATGTGTAAAGGAGGAATAAATGAAACACCTGGATTCACTCCATTATTACCAGGTAAGATTATGAAAGGAGTGGTTTGCAGTAATTGAAAGTGAAATTATGCAAAAATATATGTACTTATGTAATAGAAGATAGCAATAAAAGCTTTAAACCACTTATGGAAGTACTATTAGACAAGTAGTTTAAGGTTTACTAATAGAAAATAGCCTTAACCAGAATAACTTGATTTTTTCCATAATATGTAATTAGCATGACCAAGGAAATGAAGATTAATTTTTATACTTGGGATAACTTTTAGGACCAGCAGTATAAGATGCTGCAGTGTCAGACCATTCTATGCCTTGATATTGTACTTAACATTTTGTAGCTTTTGAAAAATTAATTCAGTAATACTAAAGGATGCTTTGAGGGGTTAAACCACTGTGGGTTAAACCACAGAGCCTAGGACTTGCCGATCAGAAGGTCGGCGGTTCGAATCCCCACGACGGGGTGAGCTCCCGTTGCTCAGTCCCTGCTCCTGCCAACCTAGCAGTTCAAAAGCACATCAAAGTGCAAGTAGATAAATAGGTACCGCTCCGGCAGGAAGGTAAACGGCATTTCTGTGCACTGCTCTGGTTCACTAGAAGCGGCTTAGTCATGCTGGCCACATGACGCGGAAGCTGTACACCGGCTCCCTTGGCCAATAAAGTGAGATGAGCGCTGCAACCCCAGAGTCGGTCATGACTGGACCTAATGGTCAGGGGTCCCTTTACCCTTTACCTAAAGGATGCTTTAGTATATTTTTGTTGTGGTAGTCACTCATTACTTTCTTCTCTTTCCTTCACCCCAGGTCCAAACATTCAGAAATTGAATCCTAGAAGGGGAAGGAATATTGATGCTTTTCGAAAAGTACTTTTAAGAACTCAAGTCAAGGTAAAAATGGAATTGGATGCATTTTTATTAGGCTCAATTTTAGTTATTTTCTGAGTTCTGAAGTAAAATATTTTACCTTTTTACATTACGGTAAGGATACTTCTGTACAATAATTATACTTCCAATTTTTCTTAATTGAAATTGCATCATAATATTTGCACTGAAAAGTGTCTTGATAACAACTGATGCAGAACACAGCAAGTGATTAACTGCGTCTGACCATTGTGAACACATCAGTCTGCCGTTAAAAGAAAATCAGTAGCTCCCACTTTATTTCTGGACTCAATTCATAATACTGATTTGGGTATATTTGAATACTGCAGGGCTCTAGCATGTTTTGTAAAACAGTCCTTCTGTGAGCAGAAATTGCATTCTGTGCCAGAAAACTACCTTTAACTCTTTGGTACTTATCTGTAGGTAACAAAATGATCCTGATTGTGAATAATGTTGATTCCCCCCCCCCCAAGTCAAATTCTATATTAGTTTGACTTTCCTTAGTGCTAAATACATTTAGAATGCATGTTGGGCACCTAGAACCTGATTTAGTCAGACTTTGGGACCCATTCCTATACACCTGCAGCAGCAAAGGACCCCTTGTTCCTGTGGTGCAATTCCTTGTGACTGATATGCATGTGTGAATACTGGAATCATGTTGATAGAGTTAGTTGCTTCCCTCCTCCAGCCTTTTATTGCTTAGCCAAAAGTTAGGAAACAGTTGGTGCGCAACCTTACAAGATTTGCCATACCCATAAATGGTTGCTCCATTTAGACACACTCTTAGTGGTGTGTCTAATGCTACAGTGAAATGGTTCTCATGCATGTGCATGTAAATAGAATAGAAGTTTGATATGGCAGGGCTTCTGTTCCTGGAAATGGGTATGAGTTAATATATTTTATTACTGTTAGCAACTGAAGAAAATGAGTAATCCAAATAATGAGTAATCCCAATAATTGAATTTGTTCAATAATTAGACTTGGTAGAGTTAAGGCCTTAATCAGTGAAAAGTTTATTGTTGTTAATGTTTTATTTTTACAGAACCGATTCACGCCTTTAAATGCCCCAAAGAAAGAGACTTCTCAGATTGAAGGACCATCATTAAACAACTCATATGGTTTTAAAATAAGTGTACAAAATCTTCAAGAAGCAAAGGCTTTACATGAGGTAATTTACAGTATTATTGAAGATGCTTTACCTATGGTTGCATTTGTTTTTTCTATGTGTTTAGCAATTCCTGGTTTTATCTGTAAGCTGCCTTGAGTTATGTCAGGGGGAAAGGTGGGATATTTCTTTCATTCTTCAGTCAGATTTAGCATTTAAGAGGGTTTGTGTTTTACTCAAACTGCTGTGGCAGTAACCAAAATTGTGTGGTTGCTGCTGTGGCAGTAACCAAAATGTGAGATTCTTGATTTCTATTTTAAATACATCCAGGATTTAAGAATTTTAGTATATGACTGCTTATCCACTGGATTTATTTATTATATTGTACAGGCAGCCTTCCATTTACTCACGTTCAATATGTCCATGATTGTGTATATGTGCATTGTGCCAAACTTGGAAGTGACCCAGAAACAGCATAAAGACGTCACTGAACCATCACCAAAGGGGTGGAATGGGGTGTTTGCAGGCTTTTTCAATGAGTTTCAATTTTATGTGAGTTCACTGACCCTTGTGGTGCCTCGGAACATAACCCACATGTAAATGGGGGGTTGCCTGTATTCTATTTTTATCCGGCTCTTCAAAGAAATACTGTCTCCCAAAACTGCTCACATCAATAAAACAATGGCATGTCTTGTCATCAGACTAGCAAATTAAAAAGGCAAGATACATGATGGATGGAAGGAAAGGGAAAGGAAAGAAAGGAAAAGAGAGAGGAGGAGGTTTGTTAATGCCAGGATGAAGTTGTGAACTGGACCCAGCTGATCTTTCTTTGCTGTTTTTCTTGCTTGTATAGAAGTGGTGCAACTACCCAGTGGCTCTTTGTAGATGGCAATAAGGAGATAGGCAAATCTTGGAGTAAAATGGTCAATATATATCAAATGTAACAGAAGTAAAGTTGCGTCAAAGTAATGCATGTAGCTTATGTGTAACACAAAATGGAATACCCAAGGAAGGCAAAAAGTATGCTTTTTCATAGCTTATCTGGAGCCATTAAAAACATGCTTCTTGAACCCTCAAATGAGTAAACAGTTGTGACCTGGGGTAAACTTGCCAAGCCCAGAATGGATGAGTTGTACTGTCTGTCTGGCCCTGACTGAGGGCCAGACAGGCCTTATGTAGGCCTGCAAATCTCACTCAGGAAGACCCATAAGACCAGGAAACCTGGCTTCTGTGAGACTTTGTCTCATAGGTCCCATGAGATTTGGAAATCCCCAGGTCTCAGACTTTCCCTCCCTGGCATCGCAAGCCAGGGTAGGTGTGCTGGATGGACACTCAGTAATCTCCCTACCTGCAAACTTGTAGCCTCAACAAGCCTTGTTATCGTCACAGATCCCCTAGGCCTCTGGCTGGTGCAGAAGCATTCTCATCACTTCTAAAGTCATGGGACAACTGGCAATTACAGCAGAGTTCTTTCTGAAGGGAAGGAGGAAAGCAACCTTCCTGCAGCTGTTTCTTTTTCAGCTATCTAAAAATATTGCAGGCATTTAAAAAATGAAGTACAGTGGTGCCTCGCAAGACGAAATTAATCCGTTCCGCGAGTGTCTTCGTCTAGCGGTTTTTTCATCTTGCGAAGCAACCCTATTAGCGGATTAGCGCTATTAGCGGTTTAGCGGCTATTAAAGGCTTAGCGGCTTAGCTGCTAAAAGGCTATTAAAGGCTTAGCGGCTTAGAAAAAGGGGGGGAGCGAAAAAAAATCTCAAGACTCGCAAGACATTTTCGTCTTGCAAAGCAAGCCCATAGGGAAATTCGTCCTGCGAAGCAACTCAAAAACGGAAAACCCTTTCGTCTAGCGGGTTTTCCGTCTTGCGAGGCATTCGTCTTGCGGGGCACCACTGTATTTAACACAGCCCTGGAAATTGTTCTAAGAGTAGCAGATCTAGCAGGTGTAGGCAGCCTGCATATAGAACACAAGATCCTCTTTGACGGTAATGAGACTTTGAGGTTCTTGGTTTTTAATCTAAATACAATCTGGAATGACAGATCTTTGCTTGTAACTTTGCTTGCCCTATGCTTTTGTTTATTACATTACATCAGCCTTTGCCAATCTGGTCCCAGCCTGTGCTGACTGGTTGGTGGTAGTCCAAAATATATGGAAAGCACCAGGTTGGCAAAGGCTATGTTACATTATCTCTTGCACTGATGACCTGTGCTTGATTAGCATTAAGATTTTTCAGCTTGCGGAAAGTTAACAACCTGATCTGATAAAATAATTTACTGCCCTGCTTTTCAGCCGCAGTTGGCTCCCCAAGCAGCTTGCATTTAAAATCCATAAAGCAGACAATGTGTTAGAGATACATGGAGGTATCTGGCAGTTGATGTCATAGTATTCTCCAAGCTTATCCTCAAGTCTAGAGGAAGAGAGGGAAAGGACTTGCAGATGGAATGAAGGGCAGATTAATGGAAAATATGCCAACTCACAGAAGTCACCCTCCTGATTATCTGCAGTCTTCTCTTTTATATTCCCCTTACTTTGTGTCAAAACTAATTAGGTATAACTCATTTAATATGTATTTTATTTGGATTTCACATTCAAATAATCCATGTATATTTTTTTCTGTTGCGTTATATTTTGGTATGCTTTGTGTATTGTGAATGTAACCACCTGCCTTTAAAATAAATTTAATGTGAAGTCTAAATTTCAGAGCCATTCAAGCAGGGTTGATGCTATGTGTCAGTTTTCCTCTTGCACACTGGTCATATCCTGAATTAGGTAAAAATATGTATTATTATGGAACATTGTATAATTGGGCAATTCTTGCTCTGTTTACATAGTGATTAAAAATTAGCTGATGTGGGAGTTTCTGGGTATCGTGACTGTAATTTCTTATATGGGTGCTTGTTTGGTAGTGATTGCATTTGAATATTAATATTTGGTTTTGGCATCCTGCTAAAAAAAATCCTCAGAAAGTGTGAAGATAGGGAATGACACAAGCTGTTTGAAATACAGTGCTAACAAAATTTAATGCAGTGTATAAAATACATGACTTCTAAGTATCAGATACTTGCTGTAGATTGGTACTTTGAAAAAAATGCATAAATCTTCAATAGTCTACATTTCCTATACTACTTTCATTTAATCCCAGTTATTATAATTATCACAAAGCATACTCTATATTTTTCTCAATTTCCACAAGCAAACGTGAGGTTATTTTTATTGCCCAGCATGTAAAATAAATTGATAGTTTCATATTTAATTTGATTCAAAGGTATCTTAAAAGAAGATAACAATGTATACTTTTTGCTGTAGGTTCAACATCTTACACTTCTCAGTGTAGAGTTACATGCGCGAACAAGAAGAGACTTGGAGGCAGACCCTGAATTTGATCCTATCTGTGCTCTATTCTACTGCATATCATCTGACACACCGTTGCCAAATACTGATAAAATGGAAATCACTGGTGCTATAGTGATTGATAAAGACAGAACAAGAACAATCTCAAGCCAAGGTTCTTATTTCAATTTTATTTTAGGAATTTACTTCAGTGTTTGAATGTTGTCATATTTGGGTATTAATGAACAATATGAGAAAATGAGGCTTTGAAGGATCTTTGCTAGTGTTGTTTAAATTTATGTCATCTCACTGTCCAATCATGAGAAGCATAGTAATGGTTTCTACCTTATATCTTCCTGCGCACATTTGCAAGGGCTATAATGCTTTTAAATATCAATTAATAATATATTAAACCAAAGTTTAATATTTCACGGCATGCTCCTGCGGAAGTCCAGAAGATATAAACAGGAAAACATGTCTTAGAAGGAAGTGCTCAAAACCCTTGTGCTGGACCAGTTCCTTTTAGTTTGCATTGGGACTGTTCAAGAACAGCAACTTTGGTAATCTGTCAAAATTGATTTTAGTAGAAATAGCAAGTTGATTTTGTTAAATATTGCATAAGGGTTGTTGTGTGGTTTTCTCTGATCTTTGTAGGGTCTAAACAGGGCCCTTATTGTATTGTACCTTTTTGGCTTTGTTTAGACCAGTGATACTCAACCTGTGGCTCTAGAGCCGGATGCTCTTGAGGCCCTACAGGCGGCTCTCGCAGTGTAGGCATCTGATCGGCGCTCCATTCTATCAGGCAGCGCGGGGAGCACTGACCAAAGGACCGGCAGTGTGGGAGTCACTGAAGTACCTCCTCCCATAGGAGGAAAGCGAAGGAGCTGCTGGGATCTCCCCACAGGTAAGAATAGAAATTGCCTCCAACCCAGCAGCCATGGGGGGAGAATGGGGAAACCTCCCTCTTTTTCCCAGCAGCTAATAGAAACTGAAGATTACAAAATGTCTTGTAACATATGATATTTGTGGTGGCACGGCATCATCACAAATTAATGTAACATCATGATGCAAGGTTGCAATGTTGGTACTTGATGTTATGCTCTGCAACAACAGTTAATGGTGAAGTGGCTCTCCAGCTGTTAAAGGTTGAGTACCACTGGTTTAGGCTAGTAAACAAAAAACAGATTTGATATTGAGGGTAAAATGTTAAACTCTGTGAGATGATTTATCATTAAACAACTTCATGCTGCCTAGCTTTAAGGTTATGAGAAAAATAAGAAATTAGCATTATGACAAAACTTCTATCTTTCATCCACTTTTATTTCTAAATGTTAAGAATGTTAATTTCCTGTTCTTATCTTATTTTCTTCAATTTTTTACTTTCTAAAGCAATAGATCATTGTACTAAATTTTCCTGACTTCCTGGAGGCTAACTTGACGGATTCTGAAAAAGAATTTATGAATAAGACTAGAATGTAAAGACAGAATTTCCCCATTTAATGTTGCAGAGTTCTTTATTTATTAGTATTGAGTGCTGGCATTTTTCAATGAAGAGTCTCTTGGTTTATTTGATACATCAGTGAATAAAGTAATGCCTAGCTTATGGTTAATCTATCACTTCTATATTGTTCTGTCTAGATTTTGGTTTAAGGCCACTAATCTTTTTCGGTCTTGCTTTGCTGTTTTTAAAACTCACATCTATTTGAAATGGTTAAGTGATAAGATTTATTCTGATGATTGTTTGAATCCAATAACTAATGCATTTTTGACAGTTTTAATATTGGATGTAGTCCTACTTATCCCATGCACAGGCAGTAGAGTGCAGAACAGCTCCCTCAGAGCCCAGCATAGTTAGCTCCTTGCCCACCATGCCACCTTCGTGACTGGCAACTGCTGCTCTTAATGTTCTCCATCATAGCCTGAGTGTCACTTCCAAGAGATGCCCTCCCATGCATCTAATACCTGAGGCAACCAGAATTTTGTACTTGTTGTAAACGTCTGCATAAAATATTAAGTTTTTAAAAATTATTTTCAGAATGATTAAGGTGATGTAGCACAGCTCTTATAATGTTCATTAAACATAAGTAGTCATACTGTTGTGGATGTAAAAGGTTTCCATTCTTTGGATCAAGCATATTAGAAACTGAGGACTGCTGAAAATTGCATTCATTTAAAACATCTATTTGTTAGTTGCTTTTAAAGGCCAAGCTCTCATGAACTGATTGGAAAAAAATATAGAAAATTTCTTATGAATCACATTTCAAATGAGGCTGGCTTGGTTTGCACATCTTGGTAAACCATTTTCTGAAATAATGTTCCCCTGTAAACCACTGAGTATGGTTTACCATAATGTGTGGACAGAGCCTTTATTTATTATCATTCTGTTGAGTGGTAAAAGCTAAATCTTTTTCTCCAAAATTTAGAAGTAAGCTTGGGAGGCACCACACTTTATTGTACCACATTTATGCTGATGAAAGGTCATAAACACTTGAACAAAAGATAATTACTTAAATCAGAACTCTATAAAATACAAAAGCATGTGCATGCTTTCCCACAGTTTGTTCAAATACGAAATCTCCACCAACTATTCATTGTCTGCAATGAGCAGTAGTGGCAGGGGACTTGAACAATGAAAAATCATGGCTTAATTTTAATGTGTGTTTTTTATTAAAAACAACAACATGGTGGTATTTTACTAGAAATAAGTATTTAATTTGCTTTTCAGGTAACAGAGAACATGCACCTTTGCTTACCAGATCTGGCATCTCAGGATTGGAAGTCAAATATGCTGCTGATGAGAGAGCACTTTTCCAGGAAGTGGTGAACATTGTTAAAAGGTAGGGCATCTGTAGACCCTGCTTTTTCATCCTCTGAAACTTTTATTTAAACATTTTCAAATCCAAGTCTCCCTACCTTCTCTCCCCATGTTTAAATGGTTTTGATTTCTTGGAAAAGTCTGTTTTTCCTGCTCACAACAGATATATCTATATTATAAGGTTCTTTATGCGAGTCTCTCTTATACAGGCCTCTCACATCAATCTTTCTGGAGTTTTAATATTCCCAAACTGCATTTCAATCTTTCTTAAAATACACTCTAAGGTTTAAATGATCTTGCAATACAAATTAAAGCATACACTGTCTTAAGTAGGAAGAAGTTTTTTAAAAAAAGAACTTTATGGCAAAACTCATATCTCGTAGCGGTACAGACATAAACAGATATAAAAACTGGCCTCTTTACAGAAGTCTTTTCTGAGTGGGAAAGTCCTTATTTTCCCTGGTTTGAAAAGTTCCTGGCCAGTTTTTGTAGCAGCCTCTGATCATGGGCCTGTGGAACTTCAGGTGTGTCTTTCTTCAGGTCAACTGCCAAAACCTCAAAGTCTGAATGTTACCAAGGAAACAAAATTTTGAAACATCTGGCTGGAATACATTCTCAAGGAAAATGTGTACTAGGCAGAGTACATTTGCAATTCTCTCTCTCTCTGACTAGAAAACTTCTGATGAGAATGGCATTGACTAAATCCAGGAAACCAGAGTACTAAAGAGTTGCTGAGAGCAACCAACACAGGGTGGGTCCTGACGAAGCAGCGGATTCCTGTTCAGAGAAGACAAAATTACAGGTAAGGAAATTAATTTTTTCTTTCTCTTTTTTGGGAATCCGCTGCTCCGTCTGGCTTAGGAAACAACTTGGAAGTAACAACCTGCTACTTTTATTTTTCCTATAACGTTCTCCACCATTTGGGGAAAATGCCACTTGGCCACATGAAACCATGCCAAAGAATATCGTTACAATTCATTTGTATTTCTGAAGACTTAATTGCTAAAGGCTTCATTGAATGAAGAAAGCGCACCAATTTCTAATATATTTGTGGTGGACATTCAAAGTTACCTGGGGAACAGCTTTTGAAGTGCTGTGTGCCTATTTGCAACGTCTGTACAACAAGTGGAATATAGTGTGTACCTTCAAATATTTTGATTAGGCTGTTTTTATCCCTTGAAGGATAGCAGTTCATAATCGCTCTAGAAAAGTTGACACAAGACTTTTTTCAGGCAGTTCTCAGCTAGGAACAGTAGAGACATTTGCTCTTTTTCATTCTTTTTAAATAGTTTTCTATTAATATTGTTTCTTTACCTTGATGGTAAAGAGAATTTCACATTTGTTTGTTTCAAATACCAGATTAAAGGGCAAACTAATTTAAAAAATACAAGTGAGTGCTCGTTTTGTAAGTCATCAGTTTTTACCATACCTTATTGATGATGGAGATACTATGGGAGTTATGTAATTGACTGTTGATATAAACGCGGAGGTCTCAGGAAGAACAGCAATTAATGCCTAAACTGTTCCTGTTGGGCCACATTCTTTGCAACACATTTCTGTAAAATCAATGACGTACTTCAGAATAAATGTGTTTTCAATTTCACTATGAGAGCTGACAAGAATTTAACCTCTTTTCCCCCCAATTACTATTATATTTATTTGTTAAATTTATATACTACCCTTCATCATTAATAATAATTATATTGGACCCAAAAATCCTATAATAGCTTTTGTTGCTGATTATTATGCATCACTTGATTTATTGAAAAGACTGCTGAATGGAGAAAATCCAAATGAAAATATTTTTTTGTATTTCTGTGACGTTGTGGATTTTTTTCTTTAGGAGCTATTGATTCTGATGCTGAATTCAATCCAACTACTTGGTCATACAAATAAGACCAGCAGTTGTTTGAACCTAGGGATAGTCCAAAACAATACAGCAAATATCATTTGTCATTTGGATTCCATACGAACCTCCATCAGAATCCTTGACTTAACCTGGCCAAGATTTGGCAAGGTTTCAGTGACATAGGATTTGGCAAACTGCTTTATAGCGGGTCAGGCTATTGGTCCAGCTACCCAAGACATTTAGTGCTCTGACCGGCACCAGTGCACTAGCATGTCAGGCAGGGGTCTTTCTGGTTACCTGCTACCTGAAGATGCTGGCAATTGAACCTGGGAACTTCTGCACACAGAGCAGATGCTTTACCACTGAACTATGGTTCCTCCAGTTTCACTTTGAAGATCTTTTCAGTTTAGGATAGAAGAAAATTATGTTCACAAGTTCAAGTTGGCAGTATCAATAATAAAATGGTGATATTTGTAGTGAAATCCTTTTAGCTATGGAAGCTGCTGCTGTAGATTTTTCTGGCTACATTAAAGTAAAACTGAAGATAATGATGTCTCTGTTACAATTTCTTAAAAGCCTGTTGAGTTAATTCAGAAATGAGAACATTTACAAAAAGAACCAAATTATTTCCTAGAAGAAACTTCTATTTTTTAATAGTACAAATGACCTGAAAAGATGTTTTGAGAAATCCAATATTCCCTAATATTACTAATGGATAAACCTTACCAAATAATTTTTATATGTTTGAATGTCCTACAGTTCCTTTTTGTCTAAACACTGCAATTTAGAAAAGTATTCTCTCTTCTGAGATGAAAAGGAATATAACCTGTAGAACAGAGGTGGCTAACCTATGGCACTCTAAATGTTGTTGGAGTACAACTCCCATCATCCCTGACCACTGGCCCTCCAGATGTCGATTGTCTCCAACTCTTAACAGCTCAAGTCAGCATGGCCAGTTTGTCCAAACCTGCTGTAGAAGAATGCAGGAGGAAAAGAGAGAGAGAAATAACCTACTGGGTCTGTGATACACTACTTAGTGAAAACACAAGAGTCTGTGAAGTATAGAACAAAGCTTTCACAACAGAATCTGTTGGGTGCCCTTTTGCCTTTTAATTCAAACAATAATAACCCACATTTTCATTTTAAAAAACCAAGCACTTCTAGACGGGGGAAATGTTTTTGGAGTTGTTTTTTTAAGGAATCAAAGTATGTTGACTGTGTTCTTTTAAACACACACACACACACACACACACACACACACACACACACACTTACTTCCTTGAAGCAAGGTGGCCCTGGATAGTGTCTGCATTGCTGCCACTTTATGGCAGCAAATACTGTTTAAAGTTTTTTAGCAGTAAACTCTGAAACCTTAAAGAAGCATCCACAATGCCCACTCTGAGGAAGAACCCTTCTGCAGATGGAGATATAGATGACCTAGAGAGCCCTTTAGGACCACTATAACAGCAAAGTTGTAGCAGCTCTGCTGAAGTTTCAGACAGTAGCCAGCCAGAAGAATGGTGGCAACAGTGGACAGGCTAAGGAGGCCACTGATCTGCTGCCCATCCCAATCCACTACTGGGTACAAAGACTATACTTTGAATAGTGGGTGGGTTGGCCTGAGCCATAACAGATTAGAAAACCATGGAAGAAATCAGGTTGCCATCCTTACCAGTATGTAACAACTAAACTAAAGGCATTCCTCAGTCTATCAGTCATAAGATTTTGGCTGGGAAGCTACATGGTTTAGGCTCAGAGTGCTGAAAAAGTGAAAAGGAAAGTCACTCTTCATTAAAATACTGAGCAAGAGTAGCATATGCACATCAAGCAGTTCCAATGTCCAGAGTGTCTCACCTCTGCTCACTAGGAGGCATAGAAAGCTGACGTGTTAAGCAAAGTTTTATGGAATAACATTTTAAAGATACTTACCATAATTCAAAGAGCCACAGTATTACATGGCAGCAACTTCTAGTGCAATGTTGGAGGCTGCTTCTGAAGCACATTGTCTAGGTTTTTTCTGTAAATAGAGCCTTAGAAGCCTTGCTGCGTGTGCAGAATTTACCTGGTTGTGTGTCATCATTTTATAAGACAATGCAGTTTGAAGGATAAGCATGAAATTATAGCAAATGAAGCTTTCTATAGAGCATGTTACTTTTGCAGAGGGAGCTAAGGAATCGCTCTTGCTTTATGTTGAAATGTGTACATTTTTCCTGCAGTGATGTATATAACTTGGGCCTCATTCTCACTGAGCTTGTAATTCTGTACCTGGGTCTAGCTTTTTATGTGAAGGAAATATTTTGTATGGACAAACATTCAGTCATATGGGCTCCAAGCAGCAGTCTTGATATAGTACAACATTTATATATTGCTTGATTGTAAGAGAGCCTCTAAGCAGCTCACAAAAATATAAAGCAAAACATTAAAACTCTCAATGAACAAAATCCCACATTATCTCTGCCTACTGGACATTGTAACTCTGCCATAATTTTTCCCTACTTATGTGAAACATTACAGATTCCTCAAACGTGGTGATATTTTCTCTTCTCATTTGAAGTCATTGAGAACTCACTATAAGTATTGCTTGTGAGAATCAGAGCTTCCAAGTGGTAGTTTTCTACATGGCTACCGTCAGTGCTTTTTTTCTGGGGGTACGCAGGGGTACGCATACCCCTAAACATTTTGTGAATCTAAGTTTGGCCTCACTGAGGGGCAGTATTTCAATATGAGTATGATAATGAGAGTACCCCCAAACATTTTTTTAAAGAAAAAAGCACTGGCTACCATGATTCATATGGTTACTGCAATGCTTTTTTGAAGTGCCCCGATCACACAAGTCACAAAAAGTATAAACGGCCCTTGTATGGAGATACCAATTCTCTTTCAAATGCAGCCTCTGTATGAGTGTTGCTGGCATTTGAACCAGCATATTGCGTCAAAGTATTTACTAGCTAAGTTCAAAATAATTATGTATCACACAGCAACCGTCCAGGGGACACATCTTTTTTTAACCAATGGGAGTTTCAAACATGGAGCTTATGACATGGCATAAGGACCTGCTGTTTTAAAAGTAACAACATGTCACTATACATACCTAAACTGGCTCTTTGGATCCCAGCCTCCCCCCTCCCCATGGGAACTAGAAGGGAATTCTCCACCAGTTATTTGTGGTTAATTGCTTGTATTTCCAAAATTGTCATTAGAAAATATACATATTAGACCTAATCCAGAGAAAGCACCAAGGGAATGATATACAAAACTGTGGATACATGGGCACTTCATGCTTACACTTGGGTACAAGTTTCCACATGGGGATAAATACGGAATTTTTGTTATTTGTAATTAAATGTATTCAGTTCTTCTCCCTAGCCCCATCCAGTTGGCAAACTTTTGCATACTCAGTACCTTTTTTTGTGTAGATTGTGTTTTCTCACTCACGGTATGTGCTTCCTTCTTTACTCAAGCAAGACTTCATGTTTATCTTAGGCTGCTGGCATTAAATTCAGTATAAATTTGTTGAGCTTGTTATTTTCTTTATTTAACAGAGTTTATATACTGCATACTAGAACAACAATGTCCTCTAAGCAGTTTACAACAAAATATAAAACATACCTGTAAAAGCAAACATTAAAAACAAACGACATAAGATGGTAAAATAAAAAAATGAGTAATTTTTAAAAGCATACTTTTAGTTAACGTGAAATGCTAAAATTACATGTCTGAGTAGGTTTGCTGAAACAAAAAAGAGCACATGGTTCTATGAAGAAAATGTATGTTCTCTTTTTAGGTATGATCCAGATATTTTGCTGGGCTATGAAGTTCAGATGCATTCCTGGGGATACCTCTTGCAGAGAGCTGCTGCTCTAGGTGTTGATTTATGCCAAATGGTCTCACGTGTTCCAGGTGTGTTTATGATTCTAAGGTTCCTAATTCTAAAGTTATTAATAATTGTGAGAAGCCGTGGTTTTATTCTACTATTATTCCGGATATAAAGCCATTAGTACCATTTTTTTTTTGTATATAAGATGAGGTGTTTTGCTATAAAAAAAATAGTAAAAAATTGGTGGTCGTCTTGTACACAGAACATGGGCATCTGGGGGAATTTTTAAAATATTTAAGCATAAGTCTGGGATTTTGGCTGGGGCGGGCTGAGGCGGTCCCTTCTGCTGTCCCCCCTGCCTTCCCCCGGTTCTTCCTTGGCATCCTGCTTGGGAGCTTGCTTCCGCAGTCGCTGCCTTTGCTTCTGCACCACAATGCACTGCATGCACCTCATGCTGGAAACTTCGAGGGCAATTGCCCCCAAAAAGATCAACAACATGCCACCATCAATCATCCAGATTTTCACTTCTATTTTAGGGTTTCATTTTTCTTAATTTGGGGTTCAAAAAAATAGGGGTCGTCTTATACATGGGGGCATCTTATACATGGAAAAATACGATGTTCCTGTCCCATTTTAGTGTTTTTCACTGTCTCTCACTAGGAAGCTTGACTACATGCATTCTGTTCAGTCAGCTAGCAAGGATCCTTCTTTCAGTTTTCTGTATTAGAGTAGTGGTTGTTTATCTTTTGTTTGAAGAGATGGGAGCAGAAATAGATGAAGCAGCTAGCCAAGGGAGCAGCATTTGAGTACCTGAGTCACTGCAAGGAACAGTGGGAGAGCCATATCCTGTGTAGAGTCCACAGGATAAGAACCTGCGGAAGAGTGACTAAATATAAACCAATTTGCATAACGGAAACCATATAGAACTGTGGTCATCTGCACACATTACTTTAAACCTAGGGTGCGGAACTGAATCCGACCAATGGGTTGGAGTCATACTTTGCCTGCCCACCTATCAATCACCTGATGTCCCAGTGACATCAGGCAATCCATTTTCCTTTGATCACACAATTTGAATTAAGAAAGAATGGGTAAAGGCACACTTTGCAGGCTCCAATGGTTAGCTGGTTGTGGTAGTCACAAAGCCCTATGTCTTTGCAAGCATCAGCATGATAATCAGGGCTTGCAAAGGTACAGGGCTTTGCTGGAACAGCTGTTCTTCAGTACCTTCAAACCCCACTTTCAGCAGGGAGCTGCAACTTTATTCCCCCCCCCAACATCATATATCAGGTGTAGGGCAGGTGGCTGTGTCTTGTAGAAGGTGGCTTCACGGGCCAAATGGGGAATCCTGATGGGCCTAAGTAGTGGGTTCCCCCTCACTACTTAAAATCATAGTTAAGCTTAGCTGTAATTTAAAGAGTACAGTGTGCTGGTGCACATAGCTAAAATCACAGGCACTGTGCTCTTTTCCTGCTGCTGATAGCTAAGCCATGGTCTGGGTTAGTTTTACATCATCATCATGTAATTTATTATTTATAACCCCGCCCATCTGTGGGCTCATGGTTTGTTCCCTCCAAACAAACCAACCTAGCGGGGGAGGGACTAGCATTTAGCTTGTGGTTTCTTTGGAGAGAGAGGGGGGGGAAAGCCCAGGTTCATCCGTCACATTAAACCAAACCATGGCTTTGCTCTTGGCAACATAGCAGCAGGAATGAGGAAGAAGTAAAGTGCCCACAATTTCAGCCCATAGCCCCAGCTTTCACTTAACTATGGTTACGGTTAGCTATGGTTTGAAGTGACATGCAAACCATGAGTAGTGCAGTGGATGCTGCTTCTGGACAATTTATATGAGTGATGAAACTTTGGAATATGATAAAATAGTAACTTTGGAATATGATAAAAAGTAAGTACTGTATTTTTCCATGTATAAGACGACCTTTTTTTTATTTTATTTGAATTTTTTGTGATAAATTGAGGGTTGTCTTATACACAGGTTAATATGCAAAGTAAGCAAGGGCTGGTGCTATAGCGGTGGCAGGGAAATGTCGGAGAGGAGGCTGCTTACCCACTCTTCCTGGCTTAGGAAGAGTATTTGGTGAGTGCCAGTTTGCAGTGTATTGCGGCACCAGTCCCGTCAGCCAGAGCAGGGGATGGTTGAAAAGCTGCTCAACAGCTTAGCGAACTTACAAAAGAAGCTAAACAACTGTTGAGGGCTCCCAAAAATAGGGGTCGTCTTATACATGGGGTCGTGTTATACACAGAAAAATACAGTAAGTTGTAAGGGCAAAGATTTTAAAAACACAAAATAATGAACATTTCTGGTTCTTCTAGTGCATGGATTACGGATATGCACTACAGATGCTACAGGTGACTTTAACGTGTGAACAGAAATTGGGAGAGTCTGCAAACCAGATTCCATTATAAAATCAGACCTGCATTCCTAAGTAGAATAAAAAGAAAACCCAAACCACAAAGACTTTCATATTTGCTGTAACATCCTATCTAGTGGAAGTATTTTGGCCTTTAGTTGTGTTATACTTGCCAGAAAGATTGACCACACTGTTCTAGTTTGTAGGTTCAGAGGATGACTCTTCCTTCTGATAAATATTTCATTGTATTTGTACTAAAGTTGATTTGAGTTGCTGAAATATTCTCTTTTAATGATTTAGATGATAAAAAAGAAAACAGGTTTACTTCAGATCAAGATGAATATGGGTCTGATACAATGAGTGAAATAAACATTGTTGGAAGGGTTATGCTGAATATCTGGAGAATTATGAGAAATGAGGTAAACTTTGGCAAAATCATAAATAACCTACTTTCAAATAAATGCCATATTTTCAACAATAAACCATTTTCTTGTCTTGGAGTTTGCAAATTTGTATCTCCTTCTTCCCATATGCTTGCTATCAGTACAGGAAATATGAAATCCACGGAAATGTAGTTATAATCATAGTCTTCCATTATTTTGCTGAGCTGATGCTTTACTCTATAGCATATTCCACTCACATAACCTATTCTCTGTTCAAGGGCCAAGTTCCATTTCAGCACTGGCTGCCTACTGGTCTAATTCCTTGGTTATTACACTTGCTGATATTATTAATTATACTTTCTGTCATAACTGGTAACAACTGTGTTGACAAATCAAAGAGTCCTATGACACCTGAAAGGCTAACAAATGAATTGTGGTGTATGTTTTCAGGGGCCAGAGCCATTATCATCAGATACAGAAAGGAGCATCTGATAAAATGATCTCTGGTCTTTGATGGTTTATGCCACAATTGACTTGGAATAGGTCTCTTTGTTTTTGCTGCAAACTAATGTGACTTCTTCTGGATTATGTAATGAAAAAGCATGGCCATAAGACATTTCTAATTCTTGGTGAAAAACCAGTTGTTTCCCTCCTTAGTCCCTCTAATTGTCTACTTTATGGATGTTTGAACTTCCTTTTGCATGTTCAGGTGATGATCTGCGCCCCCCCCCCCGCTGCAGGCTGAGCCCCACCAGCAGTGGTTGCACCTGTTGGCTTCCTGGGGGCAGATCATGGTGTGAACCAGAGGGGGAACCCTCCTTTCCCTTCTAGCCCATTCCTGGGTTATGAAAAGTTGGCTTGGCCTGGGCCTCAACAGTGCTGTCAACTTCCATTCTTGTCTTATAGCACACTTCACCTTACAGTTGATTAAGTTGCTGGTTAATTTTACTCATAGTCACAACTGGCTTAGCAATTACAAAGGTATTGCCTTCCCCACAGCAATGTTCTTCAATGGTGATTCGATTACATTGCCCTGTAGTTTCATCACAACTGTGTGGCAGACCTTGAAGACCGTCAAATACATAGCAGGGGCTGCCTCCCCATTGCAGGACCCTCATAGTGGATCTTGAGGTCACTTCAGAGCCAAACCCAGCTCACGGGCTAGCAAGCCTGCAACACACCCAGGGTGGTTGCAGTGATAGCTCATAGTACCAGTCTACACAGAGGTGGGCCTGAGCTTGCCTTCTATCCATTGATGGTTTCCAAGTATTTGAGCTGAGTGGTTGTCTTGAACCCGAATCCTTGTTCTGTGCTATGCCATGCCAAACTCTGTGTAAGCTATAACCAGTAAAAGTTGTGAGCATTTTTAAACATACCCCGTAATTCTACAAATTATATAGGCATACGATCATACAAGTCTTCTCTTATTTTAGGTGACTCTAACTAACTATACATTTGAAAATGTGGGCTTTCATATACTTCATCAGCGCTTTCCACTGTTTACCTCTCGCGTTCTGTCTGATTGGTTTGACAACAAGACAGATATCTATCAGTAAGTACCAGTTCTTACGAGTATTTTAAAGTATGCTTCCTGAATCAAAGTCTGATCTGTTGTATATAAAGTTTTCAAACTTAATGAAAACTTAATTAGCAAGGAAAAAATGAAAGAAAGTTGGCTGCTGACAGAATAACAAATGTGCTGCCAATCCGTAGTGCACAATTTAACTTTCTACCCATATCATTTGATCAGTTAAGGCAGCACTGACCAATGTGGTGCCTTCCAGATGATTTAGGACTACAGTTCCCATCAACCCCAACCATCATAGCCTATGGTCATAGATGACAGCAGCTGTAGCCCAACATTCTCTGGAGGCCATCGCGTTGGCTACCTTTGACTTAGTCAGGTTTGCATACCACTCCTGCATGACCATTTACCACTGGAGGTGGATCAAGTGGCTACTTCAACAGACCCAGTGAAGATGTGCGAAGTACTGATATTATCAAAGATATACTGTATATTGCTGAATATCAGACATAAGTAGTTATGTAACATGGTTGCTGATCACAGGAGTGGCAACTGGTAGCATGTTAACTAGACTTTACCATTGTTGTATATCTCAAGTGTAACAGAACTTCATGGTGCAGTTTTCCTTCCAGTTTATTCAAGCAATAAATAACAAATTGCTATCCCTTAATTGCTAGGATAGCTGAATTCATGCACCAGTGATAAGAATGACCTTGAAATTATTGAAGCTAGGAAAAAACAATCTAATTGAGAAAAAAGTAGTCATGCTACTTTAGAAGTGACTTAGTGCATTGTTTTCATAATGCATCAAATTAATAATGAGTGGCATAGTAAGTCACTCCACTTCTAATTTTAAGGTATAAAACCTATGGCACCTTATTTCAAAGCTCTGAATTGCCCTTCCCAGCAGCTTCATTTATATATTAAGTAACATAGAGGAGAAGGCCATGGTGTGGAACAGTAGTCCCCCAGCACCACATTCTGGATATGGTGCAACAGAAAGAACAAAAAATTAACCAAGGAACAACCCATTCAGGTGGTCCAGAAGGATACCATGGTACTGGACTTAACCTTAACCTTATGTTAAAAGCCTCCAAGAGAACTAATAGGGCTGCACATCAGTTTATTAGAGCTGCAAATTGTTGATTACTGCCTTGAAAGTTTTTTTTTCTAGAACATCCTTTAAGACTTTTAAGATTTTTGTACGTTTATTATTTGGTTTTAAAGCTGGAAAATGATTGATTATTACACAAGCCGTGTCCGTGGAAATCTCCAGCTGTTAGAACAAGTGGACTTAATTGGCAGAACAAGTGAAATGGCAAGGCTTTTTGGAATTCAGTTCTTGCATGTATTAACAAGAGGATCGCAGGTAAGCTGTCCTTAATATTTTTGAGAAGTTGTTGGGACCTCAGAATTTTTCTTACGTTTTGAACCTTGGAAGTTCTCACAAACAAGGGATCATTTCTAAAAGACATTAAAAATCCAATTGCCACTAGCCTTGCTGCTTATTAGGAAAATAATATTAAATGTATAGCCATACTAGATCAGTATTTTTTTAAAAAATAGAATTTTTATTTGCAAATACAAGAAAGAGAAAAGAGGATGAAAACATTGCCAGCAGACATTAACAGTAAGAATACTCCATCAATTCTAATTTAAACATACAGGTCAATATAAGCAGTTTCTGTGCTCCAGTGGGTATCTAAACAAGACTGGCAGTTAACAAGGCATACATTTGAATATAGAAAAGAAGTGAAATCTTCTGTGAAGTAGTAGACAGGGGGTGTTTTGACCTTCCAGACTTGTAATGTCTCTTAACCACCATAAAGGCTCACAAAGTCCGCTTATATTGTCCGTTAGTCCCCACACCACAGGAATATATTTTAAGAATACATGAACATTCAAAAGTATCAGTAATTAATGTTTTTCTTTTGTAGTACCGTGTGGAGTCAATGATGTTACGTATTGCCAAACCAATGAATTACATTGCTGTTACACCGAGTGTCCAGCAACGAGCTCAAATGAGAGCCCCTCAGTGTATTCCTTTAATAATGGAGCCAGAATCCCGTTTCTACAGTAATGCTGTCCTTGTACTAGATTTTCAATCTTTATATCCATCTATTGTGATAGCATACAACTACTGTTATTCCACATGCTTGGGACATATTGAGAACTTGGGAAAGTAAGTATTAAATATTTAAAATCTAGATGCATTTTCTCTGCTACTTAATAAGTACTTGAAAGATCAAATGGAATATATTTAGCCCACCACTTCTCAAACCATGCAGCCAGGAAGTTGTTTTTCTTGTAAAAAAAGAAGTTGTCGTCTGGGATTTTTTGTAATTCTATTAATCTACTTCTTGGCTGCAGAGACAGAACTTTTGAACAGCATTTTTGAAATATACAATTTTAGAAGTGCATCAAAACAAGTGTGTAACTCTGACTGCATGTGGGTGAGTGGATTCAGTCTCCCACACATGCATACCAAGGAATAAGTAGATGAAATATGGGAGGAAAAGGTGTGTTTCAAATATATATATTGCAGATGATACAAGGACTCAGTGAAGTGGATGTTGGAAGGTGGGCACACTCCAATATCATTATCTCTAAGGAAATATTTTGTTAATATTGATCCTTAAATTGTAAGTTATTTGCTGATAAGAACATAGGAGAAGGCTAGAGCATGAGAGAGACTAAGAGATACAAATCTGATGTAAAATTAAAACAGGTACTGTATTTATGCTGCCATAGCACTAAATAGTGTGTAGCATGGGATAAATCTTGTCTATAAATAGCAGTTAGTCTGTGATGTTACTTAAGGGTTCAGTACACTTTCTTATCTTCCAGATACGATGAATTTAAGTTTGGCTGCACTTCTCTGAGAGTATCTCCTGATTTGCTATATCAACTTCGTCATGACATCACAGTGTCACCCAGTGGAATTGCTTTTGTTAAGGTAATGCTTTATTCTTCTTGTTGACATTTTATGTTTAACTTGTTATTTCTACTTCTATCTTGCTTTCCGGAAGAAAAAAGACACTGAAGCATGAATTGTAAATATGTTAAGGATATTAATAAACAGGAGGCAGTATCTACAGTAGGAATGGGGAACCAGCGCACATGCCAGCAAGGCCATTTCACCAAAGCCATGCCTGCCCGTCAATCAGCTGATATCACTCCAATGTGCACATAATAGCAGGTGATGGGTGAGATGGCAGGGTTCCATTCTGCTTTAGGTATGCTCCTCCTCCCCACCCAGTTCTGCGTACACAACCAAAGCAGGATTTAACCCATATTTGTTAGCTGATGCAGGGAGTTTAAATCCTGCTCAGTCTGGATGTTTCTGGGAACAGGCACCTGCAGGTTAAGCAGCAGGATTTAACCCACTATTCAGCTGATGAGCAGAGAGTTTGATACTGTTTGGTGCTTGCTTTGTCAGCACACATTCCCTGCTATGAATACCACCCCACAGATCAACTTTGACAAGTGGGTGGGACTGGCCACCTACCAGTCACTTGATCAGATGATTGACAGGTGGGTGGCTCTGACTCAGCTGTCAGAGTTGTTGCATGAAAGTGGGGGCAGACAAAGCTCTGGCCCACTGGGGGTGGGGGGAGAAAACTCATACTCCATCTTAACCCCCAGAGGGAAAAATTACCTGGTTACCAGTAGTGTAAAAATTACCTGATAAGCAGCATTACAAACATTTGACCCAACAGTGGTCTACTGTAAACCACCCTACAATAAACAGAATTAATCTTGCTGCTAAACATATATTTTTATTATTAAATGTTAATTCTTAATGGTGTTGTTTTTGTGCAGCCTTCAGTAAGAAAGGGTATATTGCCGAAAATGTTAGAAGAAATTCTGAAGACTAGAATCATGGTGAAGCAATCAATGAAAGCTTATAAAAATGACAAAGCCATCACTCGAATGCTTGAAGCACGTCAGCTTGGCCTTAAGCTCATAGCAAATGTCACATTTGGTTATACTTCTGCTAATTTTTCTGGAAGGATGCCATGTGTAGAGGTAAGTGATGAAAGTAAAGTGTAAAGATATTTCAGGGACAAGAAAACAACAACAACAACAACAACAATAATTTATTATTTATACCCCGCCCATCTGGCTGAGTTTCCCCAGCCACTATGGGCAGCTTCCAATTGAGTGTTAAAAGCAATACAGCATTAAATATTAAAAACTTCCCAGAACAGGGCTGCCTTCAGATGTCTTTTAAAGATAGCTACTTATTTCCTTCACATCTGAAGGGAGGGTGTTCCACAGGGCGGGCGCCACTACCCAGAAGGCCCTCTGTCTGGTTCCCTGTAACCACTTCACACAATGAGGGAACCGCCAGAAGGCCCTCGGCGCTCAACCTCAGTGTCCGGGCTGGACCATGGGGGTGGAGACGCTCCTTCAGGACCGAGGCTGTTTAGGGCTTTAAAGGTCAGCATCAACACTTTGAATTGTGCTCGGAAACGTACTAGGAGCCAATGCTCCCAGTCTTCTTCGCTATAATAATACCTACATTAAGGCAAAAGCTGATTCTTAACCTCAGTTCTCTGATTGTAAAATAGGAACAATGACTTCAGAGGGTCCTGAGGAAGACATGCAATTAAAGATTTATAAACACCTTAGGCTGGATCCAGAGTTACACAAGCATAAGAGGACTCATGCCACAAGGCTTTCCTGCTGCTCCTCTCTTGTGCCCACTTGAAAACTACTCTGGAAGACTGAGGAGACTGTCCTGCACAGTGTGAAAAGACAGGCTGGGAGCATGTAGGAGCAGGCAATATTGGTAGAAATTGGACAAGGGAACATTGCTCCCATGCAGCTCCTGGGCCTAAGCCCCTGAAATATCTATATGCATGCTTACTAATAACGTGCAGTGGCTATTTCATCTTGATGAATGCATCAATCCACAGAGCTATTTGGACACAGTCAAGAGAGTTTGACTTTTCTTATTTTTAAAGTTATCACGCACATGCCTTCTGCAAACTTCAGCACAAATTACTTTTGAAACTTTTGTCTTATGGAGAAGAAGTGGGCTGCTGTTAATCAAAAAGATCAAACTTTCTACAGGGTTTATAGAATGAGTTACAGAAATGTCTGAATTGTGACCAGGGAACCTAAAACAATGATAAATGCATGATCTGTCCACAAGAAAGATTTTATCAAGGTTTATCTTTATATTTTGCAGATTGGTGATAGCATTGTGCACAAAGCCCGAGAAACCTTGGAACGAGCAATAAAACTGGTGAACGAAACAAAAAAATGGGGAGCGCGGGTTGTATATGGAGACACAGATAGGTAATTAAAACTATTCTTTTGTTTGGGAGATTTTCCAACCAGTAATATGTCATTGACTGCCTTTCCTTCCCTTACAAGAAATTAGTAGATTTGTAATATGCAACCTTTAAACCAGAGTAGAAATTTAATATGCACAATAGGTATGCTAGCTGGAAGAAACAACAAAATTATTTATTTTGAATGCAAGGAAAATGTGTTCTTCCTGCAGCAGAAGTGTTTGAGGAAAGAAAGTCTGAACAACAGTTTGGACAGTGTTCTTGAAGCTACAAACATGAGTCTGACCAAACTGCGGGAGGCAGTGGAAGACAGGAGTGCCTGGCGTGCTCTGGTCCATGGGGTCACGAAGAGTTGGACACTAGTAAACGACTAAACAACAAGAAGTTTATTTCATGCACACACTTTTTTTAATTACATTTTTATACCGCCCTTCATCCAAGGACCACAGAGCGGTTTACATTATGAAAACACAAAAATATATAACATAATAACAAACAAAAACAATATCCCAAACACTGTTTAAAAGGCCATAATTATTTAATTAGCTGATGACCTTGGAGAAGAGGAACGTTTTTGCCTGGTGCCTAAAGATAGATAACAAAGGCACCAGGCAAGCCTCCCTGGAGAGAACATTCCATAAACAGGGAGCCGCTACAGAAAAGGTCCATTTGTGTTGTCACCCTCTGAACGTCTCATGGTGGAAGCAGATGAAGAAGAGCTTCAGATGATGATCGTAGAGTCTAGGTCTGCTCAGATGGGGAAAGGCGGTCCTTGAGGTATTGTAGTCCTGAGCCATTTAAGGCTTTATAAACCAAAACCAGCACTTTTGAGTTGGGCCCGGAAACTAATTGTCGGCCAGTGCAGCCAGGCCAGGATTGGCGTTACATGCTCTTGTCCTGGTGAGCAACCTGGCCGCTGAATTCTGCACCAGCTGAAGTTTTTGAACTGTCTTCAGAGGTAGCCCCACATATAACGTGACTAAGATGACTTCTGTTCTACTAGGATTAAGTTTCATTTCACCATCCCACATCCACTCCATTACAAACTTCAGATATATCTCTTTTGTGTATTTATCTTGGATTTTTATGTTGTGAACTGCCCTGAGATCTATGGATGAAGAGCACTATACCAATTTAATAAATAACAAATATCAATTGCTTACCTGTTCATTTTCTGTTTTTAGTCACAAGGAGAGAGAAAAAAGTTGCCATACTTTTGGAATATTTTTAGAGTGGGAAAGCTAAATACAGTGGTACCTCTGGATAAGAATGGGATCCGTTCCAGATCCCCATTCTCATCCTGAAGCGAATGTAACCCGCGGGTCATGATTCGCCACTTCCGCGTATGCACGTGATATTTTGACTGCGCATGCGTGAGCGGCAAAACCCGGAAGTAATGCATTCCGTTATTTCTGGGTCGCCGCAGAGCGCAACCCGAAAGCGCTCGACCTGAAGCATATTTAACCCGAGGTATGACTGTAGTCATTTCTTGATTTCCCTTATCTTATTTCAGCATGTTTGTACTACTGAAAGGAGCTACCAAGGAACAGTCTTTTAAGATTGGCCAGGAAATTGCTGAAGCTGTAACAGCTACCAACCCCAAACCAGTAAAACTGAAGTTTGAAAAGGTAAGAGAAATCTGAGTGTTGCCTGACTGCAACATTTAACAGGACACCTTTCCAGAAAGTGACATAATGAGCAAGTTAAGAAATAGATATTTGAAACAAAGTGTTAAAAGGAGAAGGAATTTGGATGGGAAAGCAAACCTGGGAAGAGCTGCTAGCTTACCACTTAAAGAACCAAACCCCAAAAAAAAGTCTGCCTATAAAAATGCATCTACGCCAAGCAGGATTGAACTTTCCATGCATCAGTGCATGCACAACAGTCCTGCTTTCTGCAGGAAAGCCAAGCTACATCTTTGCCTACCCCACAAAGGGGGCACACATGAACATAAAAATACAGTGTGTGTGTGCACACTCCCCCTACAAATGAATGCAATTTTGCACAAAAATTGCACTGAACTTAACATGCTTTGACTGAGGCTTTTCCACTATTGCTCTACATTGATTCACTGCCAACCTCATTGACATGTGGAGAAATGCCAGTGTCCTTAGTGACCTTCATCACACAGCTGTTCTGCTTTGCTGCAGGACATCAAACCCAGAACAAAAATCTCCCATTTTCCTCTCCAGAAGGGATTTGTGAGAGGGTACTAATATTAGAGTCCAGCTCTGGGGTTTCTTGGAATCTGCCCAAAAAGTCAGTAATGAAGGCGAGATGGCAGTGTCATGGAATAGGTGGTTTAAAACTGCAAGGAAAGATCAGACTTCCCTCAGTTGGATTTAAATGCCTATTTTACAATCCATCACTTTCTTTTGTTGTCAAACTGATTTTCCTTCTCTATCTTTTCCTTCTGCTACACTTCCCTTTGTCGTCTTTATGCCTGAGGGCAAGGCCGTCTTTCTCCTTTTTTATTGGTGTGAGCAGGGAGAAAATATTTTGTCAGAAAAACTTGACAAAATAATAAAACAAATAAAATTGCATGGTAAATGGTTTTTGAACTCCACAGTACCCAAGGGGTCAGAGAATGTTCTGCATTATACTTCTGTCCATGTCTGGTGGTATTATGAATACATTTGCAGTTCTGCCTAGCACAGTGATCAGGTTGATTGAATCATAACATGAGATGTTTGTACATTAATTGAATAAGGACAAAGATGTACATTTGGAGATTAACAAACATCCAGCCTATTTTTTTCCCAATTTAGGAAAAATGAAACATTTTTCAAATTCAGAAATAAGTCTGCTCTAAATGTAAATATGCTTGAAAATATTTTATGGTTAACAGAAACTCTTTCAGTGCATCCAAGTGTTTACATGTACACAATGAGGGCTTCCATATCCTCCCTTCTAGCCCCTAGTCCACACACAAAAAGAGCTCTTCAAATGGCTGTTTTTGAAGCTTCTCTGAGTTGAGAAAGCCTGTCATGCATGCACAAATTTATCATCTCATCCTCTCGCTTAGGGCCTAAAATAGAGTATGTTGCTTAGTAATGTAGATATATAGTTTATGGGTGACTTGGGTCTAATTATGAGCAGTAAAGAAGAAAAGCGTTCAGTCCAGAAGTTTGCCTCCATTTTTCTTATATCTAGACTTGCAAAGGTTTGTTTTTTTTGCATTGCAGGTCTATTTGCCATGTATTTTGCAAACCAAGAAGAGGTATGTTGGTTACATGTATGAATCACTGGAACAGAAGGACCCAGTATTTGATGCAAAAGGCATAGAAACTGTAAGAAGAGATTCTTGCCCTGCTGTTTCCAAGGTAAAGTGGCACAGGCATTTTATTGTGTTCAGAAGTTCTTTTTAGTACAGTATCAGTTCCACTTATTAGGGGGGAAACTCCAATGGTGAAAGTTGAGGGATTCAGAATGGGAATGTTTAAAATGCCTTCGGTGTTTTCAAATGACTATGAAATCTCTTTTAATACACTTTTTTCAGATGCTTGAGTGTTCTATCAAGTTGTTGTTTGAAACACGTGATATAAGTTATATCAAGCAGTATGTGCAAAATCAGTGCATGAAATTATTAGAAGGGAAGGCCAGCATGCAAGATTTCATATTTGCAAAGGAGTACAGAGGAAGTTCTACATACAGACCTGGAGCCTGTGTACCAGCTCTAGAAATCACAAGGTAATAAGGATATATAATGAATGGCACTGTGAGATCATTTTAGTTTATATTAAATCATTCTCGCTATGGGAGTTCAAAGATGTGTTAAATACCTAATACAGAAATTTATACTTCTAAGAATATCAGGATTTTATTACGTTAAAATATAAAATATGGATCAGTGGGAGCTCCTTAGCTGTAATCCCTGTATTGCAGGGGTTTGGACTATATGGCCCTTGGGGTCACTTCCAGTGTGACAATTCTGTAGATAGATATATTTTCCATCAGCCAGGTCCTAAATACATCCACAATTTGTTCTGCACTCTTCCTTCAGAGGGAAAAGTCTGGAATAGTGGTTCTGTCAGAGGCTCCAGACTTTGGGCAAAAGTATGGGGCCTCATAGCGCTCAACTTTGAAGGGGGGACTAAGAGCCCCAAAGTAGTAGAGGGGTGCTAAGCGCGGAACAGACAGACAATTCAGGTAGGGGGGTCCTGTTTGTGAGGCTGGGGATTTCCTCAAAGAATGAGAAGTGCTTCTGGCTGAACCATCCTCCCATATAACCAAATATAGCAGAATACAGTATAGTGCAAATTTAGCACTTGTTTGCAAACAGATTTTTTTTCTGGAAGCAAATAACATGTAAATGAGCCCTAAACCTCTTTTGTTTCTGGAAGTGGCTTTATGTCATGTGAAAGCACAAATACAAAGCGGAAATTAACAGTCTGGGAAATGTAGGGGGAAATGAATAAACCATTGTGAATGCAGCCTCAGCCCTAAGGTGCAGTGGTGAGTATAAATATGTCCTCACTTTCTAGAATTATTCTGTGGTTGCATAAGGTGCTGTTTCATTTTCTCCTTTGTGTTTAATGTTGCTGTGCAAACTGGCAATACGGATAGGAAAGTTGTAAGAATATATGGAGATTATTAATGGGAGTTGAAACAGGTACATAGATCTGGCTCTCTCATTTGTGGGCCATATATTTTGAGATTATTTTATTTGTCCCAACAGAAGGATGCTTGCCTATGATAGGCGTTCTGAGCCACGAGTTGGTGAAAGGGTGCCCTATGTCATTGTGTATGGCATGCCGGGGTTGCCTCTCATACAGTTGGTTAGGCGGCCGATTGAGGTTCTACAGGATCCAAACCTGCGTCTGAATGCCACTTACTACATCACCAAACAAATTCTTCCTCCACTGGCTAGAATCTTATCACTTATTGGCATAGATGTTTTCAGCTGGTATCATGAATTACCAAGGGTAAGTAGGTGAAATAGTAAATTCTGGATATGGCTACAGCTGGAATGGAGTTTTTATAGATAAGTACAGTGGTACCTTGGGTTAAGAACTTAATTCGTTCTGGAGGTCCGTTCTTAACCTGAAACTGTTCTTAACCTGAGCTACCACTTTAGCTAATGGGGCCTGCCGCTGCCGCTGCGCGGTTTCTGTTCTCATCCTGAAGCAAAGTTTTTAACCCGAGGTGCTATTTCTGGGTTAGCGGAGTCTGTAACTTGAAGTGTCTGTAACCCAAGGTACCACTGTAGTTTAAAACAGTTAGTACTTCTCCTGGTTACTGAATTGGCTCTCCAACTATCAGTGTTATTCAACCAAATGGAGAGGGTAGAGGGTATTCCTACCAATGTGAGCCGGTGGCTGCTGTGGGAGGGAAGGTCCAGTTACCTGATGAATCACTAACAGGTTTGGGACAGGTTAACAAAAAGATTTTCCTTCCAACCCCTTATCACTTGATGCAAGACTTACTAGGAAGAGGGTTGTAGGAAGACTACCCATAGTAATAGCAATGCACAAGAAAGAAAGAATAAAGCAAAACACACACCTACAGGTTATGTATATGCAGACAAGGAGTTTGCTTGCTATAGACCCAAACCTCAGATTGTTCATACCTCTGGTTCCCACCTGGAATTAGTTGGCCAAATGGGAAACAAGGTATCTAAGGTGGATTTCCACAACACATTAATAGGGCTGGCTTTCATCCATCCTGATATGAACCACCTTGTGTGTGGGCAGCCTCTCAATAATGGTTTCACTTATAGCATGTGGAGCGGATCTCAAAATGGGTGTTCAGCTCCACCTAGTGGTCATAGGAAAAATCTCAGCTCCAACAGTTTTGAATGGACTTGTTGATATGTTTTGATATGTCTTTGGGAACGTAGGATGCCAAGACCCAGCAATCTTTAATTTGAGAAGGTGTAAATTTGATCAACGTATGTTGGCAAAAATGGTTATTACTTATATGTATCAAATATTTTTAAACCCTGTAGATCCAGAAAGCTGCTACCACATCCCACAGCGAGCAGGAAAGCCGAAAAGGGACAATTTCCCAGTATTTCACCACTCTACACTGTCCTGTGTGTGATGAATTGACTCAGCATGGCATCTGCAGTAAATGTAGGAGCCAACCACAGCATGTGGTAGTGATTCTTAATCAAGAAATTCGAGAGCTGGAACGTAAGCACGAACACCTAGCCATGGTAGGGGAAATAATCTTTTATTTTGCTTCTAATAAACTTGAACCTAAAATGAAACTTTTCTGAGGTGGAGAAAACAGCACCTTTTGTTTTTTAATAGTTAAGTATAACATGTTCCCTAATAAGCAAAATAACAAACTTTCACGAAAGGTATTCCAAAGGCATGAAAAAGTGCTATCAGAGAAACTGGCAGGCTAATGAATGACCTTTTAATACAAATTTATGTTGGATTCCCCGATATTTTGCACAAGAACCCCATCATAAAGATCTTCCTTTTATGTGACGGATTCTGTTTGCTTTGTACAGAAATTAAATCTGACTGAATTTGGTTGTAAACAGGTTTATTAAGCCACTCTTTTATCAAAGGATCATCATCCAGTTTCCATTTTTAAACTGCTAGAATTTCTGCCATTAAATGTATATTCCCCACTGTTCTGTTAATTTCAATATATTATTTAATATTACCAAGAAGTACCAGGATTTAATGGAACTGTACTCTCATAAAAATTTTCAGTGCATTTATATCCAATATACCTTAATCCCACATATATAGCCGAAATCAATCTTATCTGCAATGCAGCTCTTGCCATTTATAAATCTCTTACTTTGCCAGATGCATGGTACTAAAATGTTGAGTCAGCTAGAATTTTTGTTAAAATATTGTCCATTATTTATGCTTACTTTTTTCCTTTGAGTGAATGTGTTCTCAAGTGGAATGTGAGCTCCCTCCTGCAATGCAGGAAAAGGCTGCTTTCCCATATGGGGATCCAACCTGTAGCGTGGGCATCGCTGCTGTGTTTTTATGGGGTTGGTTGATTCTGGCCTTTCCGTCCCTCTCTTTTGAAAGCCCATTCATTTCCTACAACCCTCCTCACGTTGTTTTTAGTGTTGGTCCCATCTCACCTGTCTTCCTCCAAGTAAATGTTGTAGCCAAGATTATTATACTTCTTCTACTTATGTGAATTTTACACTACTCCATTTTACGTACCTTTAGATATGCAAGAATTGTACAGGCTGCTTGGAGCGACAGATACCTTGTGTTTCACTGAATTGTCCTGTACTTTACAAGGTCTCAAGAGTAAGCAGAGAATTATCCAAGGCACCGTATCTTCGCCAGCTACTTGATCAATTTTAGATTGCCTATAATAATAGCAGGATTGCAGGTGCTATTTTTTTTAATGTTTACCATTCTAAAACTATCATGCATGGTCCTTCAATTTCATCTTGTCTAGAATTTTCATTCATTGTTGACCTACTCTGAGAAATAATAAATGTTTGTCCTAAGTAAATTGAAAAACACTTGTTAATCTATTAATAACTGACTTTTTACAATGTCAATTTTCCTCATTCTTCTGCCTTTGTAACATACTGTTTTATAATGCAGATGTTGAAATAGCTGTGTTAACATCCTGTAAATCCATTTCAATATAAAAACTTTTCCCCAATGGGCTTCTGAAGTACTGAAAATCTTTGGGGAAATGTCATTGTGTTTTATTGAATTGTCAGTATCAGGATGTTACTTATAGATATCTCATCCACTTTATAATTTTGACTGCAGAATATTTTGTAAATAGACTTTTTTACTTTTCAAACAACTGAGTAAAAATAATGTGCAATGAATTTTATACGGACAATTTTAAAATCAGTTGGAGTATTTCTCCTACGTTTTGCTTGATTCCAAGTAGCTTTGTTGTTTTGACCAGACTGTGCAAACAGTAGCGTGTAGCATTTTTGAAACATTTTCTAAAAATCACTGTCTTGCTTTAGCTATTAATTGGGGCATTGTGAAGAACTGTGCAAAGACATTTTTGTTACAAACCTGTGGGACTGTTGCAATACTTTAAATAAGAAATTTTATTCCATTTTTGCTTTTGTATAGACATTTCTATTGCTTCTAAATATGCTTAATATTTCATGATGTACTGTACAGTTAAATCTTATTTGCCATCATCTTGAGAAAATGTGTATTTAGAATATTTGTATAACTATAAAATTAAAAGGAATTATGTGGTCAGTGCATTTTTTAATTGAAAATCATTTTGTTTTAAAAATTAATGGAAACCATAGTAAAATAAATGTATGTGCATTTTTAAACTTCAATGTAGCTGTAGTGCTTTTCTTTAACAATAATAGCCAATGAGTTCCAAAATGACATTCCCTAAAAACTGAAGCTAGTGTTGAAACCATCATTTTTCTTGAGAAATCCACCTTTAGTCACAATTTAGTATAACAATCCGTCAAATAAGAAATTCTCATAGGATAAAGCAAGCTTTAAAGAAAAAGAATACTGTTAAATGAGCTGTTTACACAATCGCTTACCTTACTAAATTTTTCATGGCTTTGTCTAATGTGTGAACCTGGCACTCTTTTTCATAGTTCCTTTGGCCACCCCACAAGCAGGAGCACCTGGAAAACATACCAAACTATGGAGAGAGAGAGAAGCAATGGTTTGACTGAAACAACTCAGGATTTATTTGTAGTTTCTTAAATCATGGCTTAGTTACATGCAAAGTCGATCATTAGGGAAACAATGAATGTACTCTGTTTACTCATGGACTTGATTATTGGATTCCCTAAGAAATGGTGGTCAAGGCTCACTTTGGTAAATAAATAATTTTTATTCAAGAAAATATCACACTTCCCAATACCCCTGTAAACACAAGCAATTAACTCCCTAGCTGCATTTACATTACAAAATTACCTTACCAATAGACACACACTTGAGAAAAACTAATCATCATACCCAAATAAGAGCTATAACATTTAAGGCAAATGTAGCATTGATGTGAGTTAAAACAAGTTGTCAAAATGTCTATTTCATAATGCCATTTCATACAGAACAATCACAAATATACCAAGAATAACATTTGCATTGTAGGAAAGGACCCGATTCCTCAAGTAAATACTGAGTTTGGAGTTACAGCATTTACAATACTTAGAACCCCAAGAAAGAGCAAGAATCCTTAATACGACCTTGTAATAACCAACACCCACAACTCAGCACAAATTCTTGAAAAACATAAGCTATTACCATGCTCTTGATTTGATTTTACCCAACAATCGGAAGCTATTTTCATCAATGAAAAGGCTACCACACAACCACATGGCTTCAGTTTCAAAGAAACTTTGAAACTGTAATTCAGCAACAGCAGCTTTTCATAGTGCATGGAAAACCTGTTCTTGTTATGGCAATGAGGTGCACCATTCAAAATGAGGGGGGAAAACAATCCCCTGTGCATATTCAATCCTTTATCCATGCCTAAAGTAGTATTTTGGATCCTAGTTCTTACAGGCAACTATAAGCTGGATATACACACTTCAGGCAGTTCAAACGGTTAAGAAATTTACTAATGAGATTCAGTTAATGGAAACACAAGTAACTCTGGCTTTTACATGTGTAATATTTCTAATTGTGAAACAGTGTACAAATTCAGTCTAATCCGCAATTTATTGCATATTAATGCTTAGTTTTTAAAAGACCGACATCTTCACTTATTCAGCTTTTAATATTAAAAATCATCCCATTGAGGTAGCATCATTGTCTACAGCCAAAATGCTAGCTTTCCCAAGTTCCAGTCCACAATTCCTCTATTTCACCATGAACAAACCACATACCACAGAATCTTGCCATTTAATTGTACAGTCATAAATAACACCATTCCAATTATACAGCAGTTACAAAAGAGCATTTCTTAGGTATGGACAGTCTGTACACTAATAAGTTGAGAAATTATGCCTGGATTGGAGTGGGGGAAGAAAGCACAACCTGTGCTCTTCTAGTAGTGCTTGCAATGTTGTGTTCTTTAAACCACATTCTGCATGTTCTAGAAAGAACACCTCTACCAAGTGGCATTATTGAGGGTAAGGATCTGGATGAAGTGCCATTACAGGTTACAGCATTTCCCTTCTACAGTAACCTAGCAAATTGCTGTTGCCATGTGCTTTTCAGTAAAATAAAATAATATGATATGACTTGTAAGTTCTGCTAGTGGAAATAGGGTGGCTAGGGCTTACTCATACATAAAGGGAAATAGATGTGCCTGGGTTTTAGCTTGCTCCCAGAGAAAGTACAGGCAACGATCAATTTAGGATTGTCTGAACGACACACAATCACCCACATGGCCCTGAACCTAAAGTAGCCCCAAAACATAAAGATGTCACAAAAAGGGGTGGGATGGGAGCAGAACAGGCTTACGCATGCTCCATTGATGTGCACGGAAGTCCGGAACATAACCTCCACACAAATTAAAAACTGCCTGTACCAATAATGTAAGTACTAAAGAATTAAATATTTTCATAATGTGATACTTCTGCTTTTCAAAAATCAGATACAACTATTCAAAACCCGCAAAACAACTTTTTCACTTGTTAAAAAATATATTTGTTATTAGAGTAAATCTTGGCATCAACATCTTAGGAACACAAGCGATAACTATTTACAGAATGAGGACTACCCCTGGTGCCCTCACAAGGTACCTCGTTAAGTATCACACCATGGTTCAAATGAAATGCAACCCCCTTTGGTCAAAGCTTGCTTACAATGTTCACTATAGAAATCAGATATGAATCAAGACATTCGTGATTATTTTACTATGCTTCCCAGATGTAAGCTCACCATCTGACTAAAGAACCACTAGAATATGGATTTATGAAAACCTGGCTTTTGTTTGCTTTTTCTACTACCATCACATCCCTTTTTGGTACCTGCAAATACACATTTATACCAAAAACCAATTTTAACTAGGATTTAACCAAGCTTCTTACCACTTTAATGAAGTGTTTGGTGAACCTCTTGTTCTTAAAGCAAGAGAGGCTTAGTCATTCTTACTAGAATTCTTATGTTTTGGGGAGCCGACAGTAAGCCGAGGAGAAGAATTAAAAATGTTTCTTGAAGAAGGGTGACCAGAAGTGGCAAGTGTCGATTCCCCTTCGATCGTCTTGGATGTTTCTATGACAGAGTTCCTCATAGTGTCATTCATCTCAATTACTTCAAAGTCTACTTCATTCCATTCTCTGCCGTCGTCGTCGTCCTCATCCTCAAGATGAGAATGGGACAATAAGGCTTCCTGGAGCTCACCATCTCCAGCGTCCTTCAGTTTAGCATCGAAGGGTGATGTAGCTAATTTATACATCACGGGGAACAGCACTGATGTCATGGCTGCTGCTCCCAACGCAGAATACATGAGCACAGGGATAGCAGGAAAATGTCCTTGAAGGTAGCCAACCACTGCAGGAATACACATTTCCCCCAGAGCTGCACCCATTACAAATAATGATGCAGATTTCCCATGGATGGTTGTATACTGCTCAATCCAGGAAATGCCGCTAGGGAAGATAGTTGCCATGGATGCTCCATATACTGCAGAGCCAAGCCACAGAGAGACTGGGTATGTACTGAACAGTGCCAGGAATAGGCATGACAGAGTGGAGCCTATGATACTCAGAAGGATCATAGTTCCAGGGTAAGAGCAAGCAGCAAAACAGATTGCCAGTCCCCTGCAAGCTGCAAATGATCCCCAAAAGAGGGAATTCAACCCAGCTGCTTCATGTTCCTTCATGGCAGCGAAAGTTTTTGCATAAGTAAAAATGTAAGAACCATAAGTGACCTCTGCCCCTACATACCAGAAAAAGAACACAGAGAGGAGACATATGACGGCACGGTGGTATTTAGCAACCTGGTATTTCTGTGTGGAAACCTTTGTCCTGTCGCGGACGGGAGTGCTTTTCAAACACAAAACAAGGAAAAACAATGCAACAAACAAAAGATAACTGCCTATAACAACATAAGACCACATAAAGTTCAAGCTTAAATGCAGTTTCAGGACTGGTGTAGCAGCAGGAAGAGAATTCACGGCAGACTGATTGTCAACATTACCACCCAACAGAACTGGAGAACCAACAGCGGAGCCACCAAGTGCCATCTTGGCCAGGATGGGAGCCACAAAAGCACCCAGAGCAAAACTGAAGTGTAAGGCCTGCATATGCGGACCAGCTTCTTCTCCCCATGTGTCCAAGGCAAGAACATTGCCACCTGTGGGGTAAAGAAAATATATAGGGTATAGTTTCCATATTCAGACTGGTTTCTTGGAACTACACATCATCACTCAAGAGCAACCTCACTCCACCTGCTGAGAATTCTGAAGGCTCCCTCATCAACAGGCACAGGTAACTAGAAGGGATTACAGCCAAACGAAAGAAAAGGGGGAGCTGTGGCTAGTTAGCCTGTTTTCAATTCCCAGTGTACTTTCCCAGGGTGGGAACCTCCAGTTGCTGCTTGACTTAAATCCCCATCAGCCACAGTCATGAGGGCCAATATTCAGAGAAGATGAGAACTAGCACCCAGCAGCACCTGAAGAGCCACAAGGAGCCCCCCTACTCACGAGTTGAGGGGGGAAGAAATGATGAAAAGCAGATAGACTAGCAGCTCCTCCATCCCAAGTCTTCCTGAAAGCCCTCTTCTCACACTCCCAATCCATATTCAGTGTGTGAAAAGCTTGTACCTGCTGAATCCCACCCTGCTGATGGGCCCTGTGCACATTCAACTGTAAACACACAGGGCCTGAACAAATGATTAGGGCAACTAGGGAAACCCTGCTTCCCCAATCACACATGCAAAGCCCTACATCATACTTTCACTCAGTGATCACAGGTGAGGGGGAGGTTCAGGGGGACGACAACTGGCAGCTGTATGCAGGTCATGCCAGTTGGTGAATGATTGATTAATCATCATTAATTGATTAAGCACAGAGGAGGAGAGCATAAGAGGTAAGACAGAAAGGAGTTCCTTCAAAATTCTCAACAGGCAGAACCCAGGTTCTCTCAAGTGACAAGCACTATTTGCAATAATATGTTTAGTGTCTTAATTAAATGGAATCCATCTGCTCACCAGTATGCAGAATGAGGTCAATTTAACAGAGCATATTCAATGTCAACTATAAAGCTTCACAATTATTTCAATAACTAAGTGAACATTCCCATAAAATTCTAATTGTTCTCGAACGGTTCCTGCTGAAAACACAGTTTTGATAATATTATGAATAAATAGCAGGAGGTGTTCAACGGCCTCTATTCACAGAAACACAGAAAGTTTCCTCTAGCTTGACAGTGACACTTCAAAGGTCAAAGGTTTGCTTACTGATAAGGATTTATATCCCATACTCTTGTAAAATACCAGGGCGGGCGGTGTACAGCAATATAAAAAAATTAAAATCAATCATTAAAATGACTGCCTTAAGAAATTGTTTAACAAGTACACAGGCCTGCCAACATAAAAAACAACAACCCTGTTGTCTTGACAGTCTTCTTTCTTCCTTGGCTCCAAGTGCTACTGAGGACTAAACTTCTTTTTCAAAGGAAAGCACTATGTTTGCAACCGAAAGATGCAGATACATTACTAGGCAAGATATCACACCTGCTTGACCCTCTTACCAGCATTACACCATAGAAACAACCCATCATTGAAGACAACAAGATTACCTGCCAGAGATGCATTTTATGACCCTCACTGCTCTACCAATGTCATTTTCCATTTCTCCTTCAGCGCCTTTTCTTGGCTCCGGAGCTCTAGTGGCTTCCTCCAGCATTGTGGCATTCACTTGCCTTCTCCCATTCACTGCTCCCCACTCCTATTTTCATCCTTCCTCTGGAACTGCTGCTCCCTCACTCAGAAATCATTTATCTTTCACAATCCTTTCTTCTCTTAAACCCTCCAACAACTTGCGCTCACCAAAATCTGACACACTACCACCTGCATTGACACTGCTGCTGCCCTCTCCTTCAGTGGTCTCTCCTTCAAGTGCTCACCTCTTTCCTGTGGCTGCATTAGCATTGGCCTTCTCCCTGCTAATCGCAGTGCCTGACCACAACCACACCCATCTCACTGTTTTTCAACCTCCAAAATCCATACTTCTGTATGATACGGTTCTCCATTACCACTCCATTCCGCTTCCCTTTATCACTCCTTGATCCTTCTCAATAATCATTTCAGATCAAAATCCTTGGCTCACCTTCTTCCTATTTGACAATATTCCCATCCATCTCCTTTAATACACATGACAACCGAAATGCTTTTTCTGTGCAGCCTGAGCAGGAGCAGTGAAGGATGTTATAGTTAATTGTTGTAGCTTGTCTTCACTTACCCTACCCCACTGCCCTGCTCACAGTTGTGAAGAATATTCCTACGTTATGAATGGTCTGTATTAAGAAAAAGAAGTCAGAATAGGCCAATATATATGTGAACTGTCCCTGGATCAAGTGGCTTTTCTTCTTTAAGTTCTCAAAGTATTATTAACCTAGCTCAAGGCTGTCAACTGAACTACCCAGATGTTTAACTGAGAATCAATCAGTCGGTCCATCATTTGAAAATAAGACCTTAGAGTAGTCTTGCCCAAAAATGGCAACTAGACATTCTGTTTTGGTGACTGCAATCTTGGTTTAAGAAGCCTTTTGGCTCCTAGCTTATCTATCTGAGTTTCTAACACCGCCTCTGCTGTGTTCCTTTGACCTTCACCTTTGAATTAACTGCACCATTCACTGCCTTGGATACTCTCTTGATCTTCAATAGAAACTGTTCTGTCTCTAAGCTCTTTGCTGCCTCATCTGTTTGATCATCACCATAGCTTCTTCAACACTGTGCATACTCCATCTTCCCCCGCGTGGTATCTCTTACCCCTTCCATGACCACTAAAGCAGTAGTTTTCTTCAAAGTGAGCATCTCTCTTCACTTTCGTGTTATTTCTGCTTCAGTTCAAGACCGTCTCAACAGTTGACTTGATTGTGCTGCTCTCCCAAAAAACACTTTTGCTCTTTTGATCCCTACACCTCTTCTATCCAGAATCACACACAGTCAATCAACCCTGAAGATTATCAAAGGCACCTTCTGCCATATCAACCTCCCATTGCTCTAAGATCTTCTGCCAATGGCCTTCTCTGATTGCCACCACCAGAAGGCAGCAACTTCGAGACGGAGGGTTTTCAGGTGTGGTGCTCCAGTTATAAAATGCTCTTCACAAAGAAGCCGGCTTAGCATCAGCATTAGTTGGTTTCCTGGTCTTTTTAAGCTTTGCTGAGTGCTCTGTTAACTGCTGTTTACCTTTTTACTGTAGATTTTTATATACTGTACTATATTTCTTTATATTGATATTTTTGATTTAAAACTTGTAAGCCATTTTAAATTAAGAGATTCAACATAATCCTAACTGAATCATTCCAAACAGGATGAATATCATGAAACAAATGTTGTGGTTTTATTACCTGTATCAAGGACTCCCATTGCAAACCCAATGACAGACATCATGAATGTTAACAGAAGTGCTTTATTGCACCAGGGGATGACATAAAGACCCAGAGCTGTACCCAGCATAGAAAATCCTACAAGGGAGAAATAATTAAACACACCATTTCATATTGCACTTTTTAAAAGCTACAATTTATAAGAATTTCATATCTAAGTTTATTCTGGAATTTTTTAATTCCAGGAAAATATTTAAATTAGATTTAAGTAATAAACATAAGACATTAGTCACACAAAATACCCTGTATGCTAGTTTTATATTCAGACATCAAAAGCATGCATGAGGTATAATCTTAAACATGTCTCCTTAGACATATACTTGTCTACTCAGTGTGTGTTTCTCCCAGGTAAGTGGGAATAGTACTAAAGTCTTAAGACTCCAAAGGGTTGATTGCATATTGAAGCAGCAATCTAAAAAAAAGTTATTAACATGCAAGGAAGCTACCCATAAAGCTGAATTCCGTTGAATTCTCACTGCTGAAGAGTCAAGCCATTTTAAAAAAACTGAATGACTTGCTTCAACAGTGCAAAGAAAGTATCAAACAGCCTGGGGAATGGGCTGTGGGAGCAAGAGAAACTTAATCCACTCCATTTCCCCTCAGGTTGGACTGCATGAACAGCTTGTGACATACGTATTTGTGCCCTTACATTTTTGACTATGCAATTGCCCATCCAACTTTTGTGAATCAGGGCAATGATATAAAAATCAGTATTATTCCCTGTGTACTTACCCAAGAGAAGTTGGGCATTCATGCAATCAAAAAGTATACCACCAATCAGAGAACCACCAAAGTACCCCGATGAACGGCCCACAAAAATATAAGAAATTTGACTGACATTTTTGTTCACATTTGCAGCCAGGTCTTCAAATGTGGGCCCTAGGATAGCAATGGCCATACCCTGGAAATAAATAAATATCAATGTGAAGGGCAAATCAAACATACTTTCTGTTATTAATAAACTTGACATAAAAAATAAGTCAGTAGGTGACAACCACTCCTTGCAATCCTAAGTACACTTATCCAGAAGTAAGAGCAACTGATATTAGTGGGATAATGGGAGATTATTACTCGCAATTCAAATTTTTAAAGAAGTATCTTATCCACAGAATACAAATACTTATTCTCCCATTAAATTTTTTTTAGGAATAAGATCAAAAGCAGTTTTAAGATCAATTAAATGCTCATGAAACCATCCCAAACAGCTATATTGTGAACTAACTGTGGTTTCCAGATAATCGTCAAAAGCAGCAAGTACATTGTGATTATTTCAGTGCAAGAGTAGTTTAAGAGAGAAACTACATGCTAGACATATAACCCCACCTTCAATAGGTTGAACACCATGTCTGAGACAGAAGAATCACCTACCAATAGCACCTCCATTTTACTGAGATTGATCTTAAATTTATTAATCCATTACCAAGCCCAAACAACAATTTAGCACTTCCACTCTCCCACCTTAACCACAAAAACAGCAGAGCAACTTCAGCATATGCATTGGCGACACCTGACTCAAAATCCTCAGAAACCACTAGGTGGTTTCATGCAATAGGCAACAATATCTTCATCCTTTGACCCTACAAATATACTTCTCCTTTTTACATGGATTTTTCTGCTGGTGCTGCTGCTGGTCTGAGCTATTTAATTTATATGGTTAAAAATATATATTGCAGGCTATCTTAAGGCTATCCTGGCAAAAGGCAGGATCTAAACCTAACAAACTGAGGGCTTCTATTTTGGGACCGCAGCTGCACTACACAGGAGTGGATAATTCACCATAATATCCTTCAGCATCCTAGAGCCTTCCAGGTGTTTTGGGCCACAACCACCTGCAAATCTTTGCTTGGCTGCAGTGAGTGAGAACTCTAATCCACATCCCTGGGAAGGCCACGCTAACGCTCTGTATTTCAAGTACTTGAGGAGAACAGTGCACGAATTCAATTAATAATAATAATAATAATTCAATTAAAGAAAAGGTATCTGTTTGTTTCTTGGAGAAGTCCGAGGGAAGATAGGCGCCCCGCAAATCCCTCCATCCTTCAGCTCGCTCGCTCGCTCTCACACACACGTGTACTTGTTTTTACGCATGTACTGGCGGTGACGCCACATTTCTCCCCGTGTCAAGGACCGGAACGTGCCGAGTCCCGTCCTGAAGTTCCTTCGGCTCCTCCGTGGTCGGAGGGCCTTCGGCAGCATTGCGAGGGAATTGCGAGGGCGCCTCGAACGGACAACCGGGCAGGGGGGGGGAGAGAAGAAACTCTGGAAACTTTGAGTGACACACGCCCACCCCCCGAAACGCTGAGTGACACAAACGTGCGCGCGCTTACCAGGCCCAGGAAAGCGGCGCATAGAGCCGCCGAAGTGCACCATTTCAGCGCCCGCCGCGGAGCCGCCGCCACAGCCGCTTCCCGCTTTGCGGCGCTGTCGCCGCCGCCGCCGCCTCCAGCCCGGCTTCTTCGGCCGCCCTCGGCCACCACGACCAGCGGCTGAAGGGCGAGCCGCGCAGCAGAGCCCCCCAGTGGCTCCTCCGAAGGCGCCCCTCCTGCCGCTGCCATCGACTCACTCTCTGCCTCGCGGCGGCTGCCACCTCCTGCTCCTCCGCCTTCATCCTCCTCCTCCAGACGAGCGAAGCGAACCTGCTTCTTCCTCTCGGCAGCGCCCGCCATCCCTACAGCCGGGAGCCGCTACGGCAAGCGCCGGGCCACGTGACCCCGCGACGCACACGTGGCTTCCGCACGTTGCGCGGCGAAGGCCGGAGGACCAGGCGGCACCTCATGTTAAAAACTACAACTCCCAGAATGCCCCGGGAAGTAGGCCCTCCTCAGCTGTATGCCCGCTCGTTCCTGTTTATTTCCGCGAAGGCCGTTCAAGTGCTTGCATCGGCCAACGTCGCTCAAATGTGCTTTTCGAGCTTCCCTGTTAGGTCGCCTGCTTTACGGAAGCGGTTTCCCGCCAGGTGAAAAAGGGTGGCCGGGTCGCTACCTGCCGTTTGCTCGTTACTGTATTTTGTAGATCTGGGCTTGCCGGCTGTTGCCGAAGTGCTGCTAAGGGAACGAACATGTTGAAGGGGACAGAGAGAGGAAAAGGCTAAAGGGACCGTTCCGTTGCCGGGAAACTGATTTCTTGTGCATTTTGGGGGTCCTCCGCCTCCCCGCTGCCTTTTTACAGGGACGGGAGTGAAAGCTCCCTTTCGCCATAGAAAGAAATTGGTAATTCCTTGTAATGGTATGTAAACTTGAAATTAAAAAAGAAAAAAGAAGGGGAGAAAGCAATGGAGAAAGCCAAACATTTCCTATGGTTGTGGCTGGGTAACGATGTGACCATCCACTCAAACAGGACTTGATGCTTTTTATAACTCGGATCTTACTGCGTGTGGAAAATGTAGTGTATGGGGGTTGTCTTTAAGTGGTTAGAAAATGTCTTGCCACTGCAAGTTCCCCTTATACAAAAACTCTCTGAAGCAGGCCTTTTCTGTCGTAGCCCCAACCCTCTGCAATACCCTTCCAAAGGAGATTTCGCAATGATGCTCCATCTCCTAAAAACTCGAGTTGTTTACTCAGACCTATTTGGAGTCCTGAGTTACCCTGTTCAAGAGGTGACTTGCTATTTTAAATGACGGTAACAATGTATTTATTGTATTCTGGATCTTTAAATGTACTGTTTTATTTATCTACTCTTTTTATTTTATCGTTTCTGTAGGCTGGTATATATATTTTCTCAATAGCTGGGGGGCTGGGGCGGAGAGTGGCTTAGGAGAACCCTGTTCATATAGCACCTTGCTAGGAGGTGGGGCTGAGTAGTTTGAATTTCCACCCTGCCCACTGTGACCTCTGCTGATCGGCTATCTGGGTATAGATGCCCATTTGCATTTTGACAAGGCAGAAAATTCACCACCCTACTTTTTCAAGGAGGTAACAAAATATATAATACAACTAAACAGTTGGCAATGGGTTTTTAATATTTGAGACAGGGTTATTAAACCTTTGCTGTCACCACCCTCCTTAAGCATGGCACATGCACAGAGAAGCACAGATAAGAAAAAAAGCCTCAGATACATGGGGCTAAGCTATTAAGAAAAGTGAGATGAAGTTGATAGATATTTGTACTTCGGACATAAGCAGTTTTTTTGTTTTATGCAGCTAGAATGTTGGTAATAGGAATATGGCTAGAAGTAAAAGTTGGAAATTTTTATAAATGTTTTCAGATTGGGTAATAACTAAAAAGGTTTCCTTGAAAACTGTTTATTGTATAAGTGGAGGAGGCAGAACTACAAATATGTTAAGAATCAAGGTTACTCTTCTAAAGAATTATGACTGGGTACTTTGCAAGTCAGTTTATTGCATTCCACTGATAAGGTAAAATGTCAAAAGACGTAGTTACTGATGCTCTCACTTTCTTGGTACTGCCCTTATCTTGTAAACAAGTACAAGTAACAAATGTACAAGTAACAAATGTATCTAAATGTAAACAAGTACAAGTAACAAATGTATCCATTTAGTTACACAGGATGTACATTCTGTACCATTACTATTTATGACGTCTTTATTTTCAACCACTGTGGTGCTGCATTCTTGAGATGGAGCAAGGCACAATTATAAACAGTTTATAGAATTCTGCACACTTTTTCATGTCACACAGTATACATTTTAAATCAAAGAAGGGATCCAAGAGCTAATTATTGCAGAGTGCAACATCAGCACATTAAAATGAATCTTTTCGAAGATATAGCACAGTAAATTAGAAGTGAGGTCGGCCTTTTTCTGCCTGCTAGTCAGAAGCATGTCCCACTGTGTCCAATGTGATACACCCAAGTAAATGTGTGTAGGATTTGCATAGATAAGCCACTTCCGTGTGTGCGTGTGTGTGTGTGTGTGTGTGTGTGTGTAGAAATAACATGCCAGTTCAAAAAATGCTTCTTTTTCATGGGATTAATTTATGCTGCAAGAAAACTTTTTTCTCAGATAGAAAGCTTTGTTCACATAGTAAAAGGTGAACTTTTTTTTACATTCACATGGGTTACACAGCAGTAACGAAAACATCAAAGGCTATGACTCCCACCCCTCCACCAGCAGTAATGGGGCCAAGAGGAGTTTGGTTCCATTTATGAATACTGTAATATTATTTGCACCAAATAAAAAAGTGTGTGTTTATTGTAAGATACATGGATGTGCCATTTGCCACTCCACTTCCATGACCACACCTTCAGATTTTGCATTGTACATAAAAATTGTGTAGAGCAGACCTGAGGGGCAATGGAGGGGCTACTGAAGTGCAGGAACAAGTTTTGCAATTTTTAAAGTTACATTGCAACAATACTACTTCACAACTATCCAGTTTCTAACATTAATAGTCCCTGCCTTAGTCATGTTAAAAGCAAAGCTTGAGAATTATTTAATAAAATCTGTGCTTTTAGAAAAACTTTGGTTAATATTGTAAAGATGAGACAGAACAAGCACAGATTAAACTTTTTAAAAATACTGTTGCTTGTTCCTTTACAAGGATTTGGGGTTTCTTTTTTTCTGTTTCTTTTAAAATAACCTTCAGTGAATAAACGGTTCATCTGGTATCAATCACTTTAAACATATACATGTGATAGATTGACGATAGATTTTTAAACATTGTCATGTGCATTGTTATACATACAGATATTGTATTAGATACCAGTAGTAAAACACTGCATGCTCTTTGTAGAATAAAATGTGTTTTTAGTCAAAACAATTTTGTTTTGCTACAGTCTATTTAAATAATATTTGTGCATGGACACAGAGATGATATAAATCTCTATATAATTGTGCAGATCTAGACACACTGGAACAAGCTAGTTCATTCGTCTTGCTACAGTATTTTATTTTGAGCATTTGTCCTCCACAAAAATCTCCCTTCTTCTATTTGTACTTTGCATAGTCGGGGAAGGCACACTGACATTAGGAGGAGGAGGGGGGAATCTTTGGAGACTTGCATACAGTTTTGTATTACTCAACTCCCAGCATGCTTCCTGAGACTTACAAAGGTCTCTTCTTTCAAATCATGAAGGCTAAGGAATATCAGTGGACTTTCAGACAAACTGTTCCCAAATAGGCAGGTAATAGGGAAGGTTTGCTGTGTGGCAAAGTATTTACCCATCCAATATGCAACTGCAAGGGTCAAAACCACACCTCTTGGAAAGGAAAGAAGAGTTGTTTTGTGATTTGAGAAATGATAGACCTGCTTCAGGAAAACAGGAACATAACAATGACAACATGCAGATGCTCTATAAAGTGTGCAATTCCCTACCTTAATGTGCACAATATTATGCTTATTGCCCCCTTGTTCTCCCTTCCCTCCTCTTGCTGCTTCTGGAAGAGAGATTCTCTCAAGAGAGAAATTCCTTCCCCGTGTGCATACCTCAGTATCTGAGAAGTAGCAGCAACATCTTGTTAAGTCTTAGCAAGTTTTTAACATGATCAAGCAATATGAAGGCACTTTATCAAGAACACCACCTCTGAGCATACACATACCCCTTCTACAAGCCTCTTAGGTCCTCCCAAGACCTCACATGGACACTGTGAATCTAATCCAATCTCCAAATCTCCTTGGAAGAAGTAGTTGAGGGCAGTTTCCTATTGTTTCTACTCCATAGTTTTTCCATGATCCCATAGTGAGCAAGGAACACCAATTTTTAGCCCTGATCTTTAAGGAGCTAGAAAGAGAATGAAATTATTTTGGCAGAATGTCTTTTAGAGACCATGCAACTAGAGACTGAAGCTCTGTTTCGGATCCAAAGGCTGGTGTTTCTACCCCACTGGGGTATATATTTTGAAAGAAAGCGGGTATATAGACCACAGAAGGCAAATGCAAGGTGTCAGAGGTTTTTGGGACATTCAGAAAGGTACAGCTTGTGGTTTGAAACTTGGAGGAGTAAAGGGTCTCCCCATCCATCTTGATTTCATTACTTTCTTCTCATACCTGTTGTTAAGTACCAAAGAGAAGCAGAATCTTGCCTCCATATATGGGCTATGTTGCTTTGTATATCTCTTGATACTGCAACAGAAGGAATCAGATGCATAGTAGGATTGAAACCAGAATGTTAGTGAAATCTTAAGTATGCCCCTTGATTTGAACTGATCCATCAAAAGAAATCACAAGCAGTATTACTACACTTTGGGTTAAATAATGAAAATAGACAAATCTGATGGTAAACAGTTGCCTCACTACACTATATAATATAGGATGGAATCCAATGGGTGTCGCTGCACTAATGAAATGTACCTATCAAATCTGAGGTAGGGAATTTTTTTGGCAACTACCCCTGAATCCCCTCGCCAAAATCTGGCAATTTTTCTTCCCCTTGCATCCTGGCCAGATTTGCTCTGGAGGATGCCCCAAGAAAAGATTATTGAGTGCTGAATTACAAAGAAGGAATTGCCATATACTGCTCCCCGTTTGTGGAATGCTCTCCCCAGGAAGGCACCTTCATTATACACCTTTGGGCACCAGGTGAAAACATTCCTCTTCAACCAGGCCTCTGGCTGAATGACATTCAATGCCCTTTTAAATGTGTAGTGGAAGGGAGGATTATTGGTTTGTTTCTGTTTATATTTTTATCATGTATTTTGTGTTTTTTATATTGTAATTTTATGTTGTGAACTGCCATCCAGTATAGGGCAGTATACAAATTTAATAAATAAATAAAATAAATTGACCCCCTACCCATTCTACTGATGGATGGCTTCCAGCAGCAGAGCAAAACCTGTTGGATTTCATTCAGTATATGTGATTTTATAATTACTAGTAACCTATTAAGAAAGATGATGTAAGAACCGTGTTTTTCACGTACACATGAATAATTAGCTTATCACTAGCTCAGCAGTTTAAATTATTTAAGAAATAAAGAGTTATAAGGTTACCATGATGCCACCCACCTTTAAAATACATGAAGCAAATAAATGAAGAAATGCAAGAAGGATTCCACTGCAGAGTTAAGCAAAAGTTAAATTGTCACTATTGCATTATGAAAATACATTTTCATAGTTTACTGCAATGGTTTCCTGGGGATTAAAAGCTAAAGCTGCAATCTTACACAGCATTAGACATTCTTAAACCCACTGAAATCAGTGGTCTTAGGCATGCCAAAATCTGCATAGATTTTTTTAAGAGGATCTAAAAAGCTGTGAATCCACATTGCAAACCCCACAGATCTTTTTAAAGATTAAAAATAGTAGCTTTAAGAACATTAGGATGTTACTAATAATTCCAGATGCATGCCATTCCACCATTAGGTGAATCATGAAGTTGCTGGATGCATTATGAAAGGATTAGTTAGTAGAAGGGAGACATTTCTTGAGTTCCAGAAATGCAGTCATATGTGTTTGTTTTAAATTCTCCTGACACACGCCCTCACTAGCATGTATTCTGATGACAAAAAGCTCCATGTAGTATGTGGAAGTGTGTTTTGAGACTATATAAAAATGGGTGAAAGGCATTTTTAGCTATTAACCATTTTGTTTTAACCTTTACTACTTTGATAGCTCTCATTGTGGCTTTGCTTTTGAAGTACAATCATACGGTACATTCAATTCATAAACAGAAAGCTAACCTAGTTCTTATAAAAATAAATTCAATCTGGTAAGAAAAATATCGGCCATTAAATAACGGACTCTGATTCTTTTCTGGGTTTTTCATATGAGTCTGGCTCTGAGGTGCTTTTGATTTCCAGCATTTTCTCCATAGTTTTCCCATCCATAGGACTAGCTTTTTCTTTGGGTTTCTTCTTTTCATGCACCCATGGGATGAAACACAATACAGCTCCTCCGATCATTGGGGGAACTCCTGCTAGGTAGAATGCTACATCATAAGTACCCAGGTGATCTTTAAGTATTCCTGAGGAAAAAGAAAATAGTATTCAGTATTCTGTGACAAAGTAACAGACCTGAATACAACACATGCAGACCTCAACTTCAGTATGTTATAAGAAGCAACATTGTTAATGGAAAAAATAGTACTGATCTGAAATCTCTTGAGAAAGTTACACAATTATACAAACAAAGAAAAAAACCACACACAATTCTACACTTTGAAAGCAATTACTACTTTCACATGCTTCCTACACAGATTAGAAACAAAAAAATTCTGCCTACCTGCAACAGGTGGACCAACTATCATTGGAACAGACATGAAGCCCAAGAGGAATCCAATTGCCTGAGAAACATACTGTGCACCAACTAGCTCAAAGGCAATTGGTGCCATAATGCTAATGAAGCAGCCATCAAAAAGACCCATGAAGAGGCAGACAGCAATGAGACTTCCAAAGGAGTCACATAATGGAATCATCATAGACATCAGGCCAATGAAGAAAAATGATATCACCTACATATTGGTAAAGGAAAGTGTAATTGTAAAATCAGAATAAAGGGGCAGGTTTCAGGGTACTAAATATTATGAAGCCATTCCAGATTTTGTTGTGGTTAAGCAATTAAAACTACATTTATTCGGGGAAAGGTTTTTGAAACCTTGCAATAAAGGGAGCACTTCCATTTATTTTCCATTCATTTTCATTTGGAATGCTCTTTGCGTTAATTGTAATTTCTATAATTTATAATAATTGTTTTATGTAATAGTTTTCATTTCATTTTGTAAACTGCCTTGGATAATGATTTTGCATTTGATACAAAAAATATTTTAAAGAAATAATTTCTTAGAACAAAATAATTGCAAGGATATTGCATTTCCCCACCATTTGGAGAGGCTATTTGCATGCCATGGGCACCTACGGAACATTTTCTGAGACTCTTCCCAACATGTACACCACCCTATCACAAGTGTGGCCATGTCCATGTAGTTATTTACGAATAAACCAGAAAAAGTAGCAATCAGCAACAACTAAACACCTCTCATCTGCAGCAGTGACCTGCCAATTTATAAACTTTTGGAGTGAGGAGAATTTTTTTTTTTGGCCAGTTGTGTACTTCCCATCTCTAGTACTAGAGCAAATGTTTTTAAATAAGTCTTATTTAATAAGGGAAAACAACAACAGTGAAACTGAACCTTGTATCAAGGCAATCCTCTCTAGAATTTACTTCACTCTGCTGGGGACTAGATATAGTGCATGTTTACTGTAACAGCATTCACAAAGCATGGAAGGATTATAATCATCATCATCATCACTGAACTCACACACGCCAGACCAATTTCAACATTCAATCCATGGTATAATCTTGCAAGCTTGGTAATCTGTCAGGCCAAGTATGGTGAAAGGTTTCATGTGCAATTTTTAAATCACTAACAACTTACTGGCCAATTCAATGTGTTTCAATAGTACCTTCTCTCAAATATATGCTTAAAAGACCAGATTCAAAATTCTGTGTTGTGCTAATATTAGGATATTGAATTTCAATATTTCTATTAAGCAGAGTCAATCACACTGGAGTTAATCTCTCTCTGCTCAGACTTGTCGTTTCCTAACATTGAAACTTCAAAGAAGAATGCAGTTAGCTTCCCTTCCTGATATCTGCAAAGTCCTGTGAATCACTCATATGCACCCCTTCCTAATCATACAGGTGAGGAAATATTTACTTAGACCCTGATAGACAGAACAAAAGGATTTACTTGGATACCATCTCCAGCAAGTAGCCCTGCTGAGTCTTGAACATAAAGATATCCTTCTTTGCATTTTGATTTAAGTTCTCTGTGGGAGCCAAACTTCAAGAGAAACTATTGTTCCATCCTGTTAGTCTCCCTCTGATCCAACAGGCTTCCTGTCTGATAAGATTTTTCACAAAGGCAGACCTCAGCATGCCCTGCACCGGATCATAGCTGGTTGGTCCTGACTACATGGGTCCAAGCCACACATTTAGCCCCTACCATTAAGTGGTGCCCATTTGTTTAGAGCCAATTACTGGTGGAGTACTGTATATAAAATACATAAGATAAAAATAAATCACAAAACAAAATTACAAAGTACAATATAAATATTACATAGTATCAGCTGCAATCTAAAAACAATTACAATTTCTAATCTTATCAGGGTTGTTATGTATTTGGTGTACCTGTAGATAAACCTTTCTTGCACCCGGAATATAGTCTGCAATTCTGCCAAAGATCAATCGACCAACTCCTGAAGTAATGCCAAGGCAAAGCAGAAGTGTCTCATCTGGAACATGTTCACCAATACGTTCCTTCACATGGTGCAACTGTTCAAAAACAAAAAGATGGCATGAATTCAACAAGAAAATCTACCTTTCCTAATCATAAAACGGATTTTTCTTCATGATGCTCTCAGTCATATTTTTAAAGTTGCCTGAAAGGTCAATTGGTTACTTCTGAAAGAGATTAACATGACAAAAATACAGACAACTGGAAACAGAGGAAGTTGTGGTCTGCTGTTATATTTCTAGACTGCCGTCCATCAAGCCACATGTAACTGTGGATCATTATCTGTAAACTGGCAAAATATGAGGTCTGCCAGTTTACAGGCAATAAGTACTATCAGAGCTGATAGTTGGCAATGTGATGGCATATGAAGACTCATAGACTGTAATACTGGATAATTTAAAGTTGTTGTTATGCTGTGTTATGGTAATTACTGGAAAATCAATAAAAATTCATTGCGGGGAAAGTTCGTGTCAAAGGGTCTACTCCGAGTATGAAATAATCAGATCCCACCCAAAGACAAAGAACTAAAAGAACTATAAATGTGTACAAAGAAAAATATGTAGAAAATGTAGAAAATAAAGATCTAAGATTTCCCAAGTGTTATCAAGAAAAAAATAAGGGGGAAAGAGTGACCAGATACTATTCTTTCACACAATGAGAAATGGTTTAAGAAATAAATAAAGATACGTTGTTGAAGGAAAAAATATTAAAGATGGAAGAATAATACAGAATGTATGACCATTAGCTTATGAAGAGTTCAGATGAGTCACAGCACATTTAAAGCCAACAGAATAATACAACCACACTCTCATTACCCCACCCACAAAACCAATTTATAGGTTGGTCAAGAAACATTGCACTGATATGAACTAGGTTTTAAAATAAAAAATGTAATTTCCTTAGACAGTTGTAAACAAAAAAACAAAAACTGAATGTAAAAGCCTAAATCTTCTGATTCTACTAAGTTTGTGAAGTATGCGACACACTGTATTTTATAATGGCATTATAAAGCAGAACTCCTAATGAAGAGAAGTGTGAAAACTATTTGTTTAGTCCTTTTTACTTATGGGTATACACTTTTTGGTACTTAACCCATTAAACAAAAGCATGTTCTTTCCACTCTTTTCCCCCCACAAGGCAAAATGCCTTTATTAGAGAATTAAAGTTCCAGAGAATTAGTGTCTTCCTTCACCACTGCTGTTTATAAAAGAAATTATCTGGTGCAAGGTACAGAACACATAGCTGCAATTTAAGCATAGCCAGTGCTGACAAGCCTCAGTTATCTTCAGATGTGCTGTTTACTTCACCCTTTTGCATAATGATAATAAACTTCTCTATTTGCAAGTGCATCCAATTTATTTTTAGTAGGAGTTTATTCCATGAAAGTGTGCTCAGGAATGCTAAACTAAAACAGTTTAAGAATTTGTGGCTTAGGTTACAATACTGGTCTAGATCTCTGTTTGCCCATCAAGCCAATTGTTCATTGCCTCTCACAGAATTGTTGAAAGGAATAATAAGGGGAAGAGCTATATATATCACTCTAAAGTCTTTGGAAGAGGGATTAAGTAAATCAGATGTGAGGAACCTATGACCCTCCAGATGTTGTTGAACTACAATTTCCATCAGCCCCAACAAGCATGGTCACTAGCCAGAGATTATGGGAGTTGTAGTTCAGCAACATCTGGAGAAACTCTGAAGGAAAAATGACAGTTTGTTACCTAGTACACTCACTCTAGACCAAAGAAAGGGTACTAGTAAGGCTAACTGATCCTGCTTTTAAATTCCAAAAGGAAGCAAGTGGCACTTCAAAAAGACTTAACTTCACCCATATCATAAATCTTGTACCAGAGTCACCCCACAACCAACAGAAGAAAATAACATCACATTATTATTATTATTATTATTATTATTATTATTATTATTATTGCTAAGACCCACTTAAGACTACACACAGGAGTCTGGGAGAAGCTTGGTTATATCCTATTAACTACCCAAACTTGGATCATTGTGGTTCTGTATGTACAATGGTTTTTGACAGTACTTCTAAAGTCAGTGATTTACCACTAATGTTAACATCTGCAAGAAATGTACACACAGAAAAGCACTAAAGACACTATTTGTTTTAACTGTTATCATGCAAATGAATCATTTATAAAGGTAACAGTACTCTATACATCTTAAATGCAACTGATTTTTATACTATTAGCTGGTGTGTGCCAGTCTCTCGCTTCCAGTCACCACTGGTGATAATTTGCAGCAATTAGAACTCCACTTATTTAGTCTTCTAGAAGTATATACTCAGTCAGTTAGAGAGTGAAAACTAACACAATTAATACTGCTCCCTTATCAACAGTAGGAAATAGAGGGCACCAGAACTTTGCCAAATTTACCATGGACCATATGGCACGGCTGAACAACAACAAAGCATTATTTATAAAAATATACAAAAATAAACATTATTTTTCAATTTTCTGTAGGTTTTGTTTCATTTCAAAAAATAATTTTTATTATTATTGTTTATATTTATATATATATATGACACCAAAATCTTTTAAGTGCTTAGGGCCTCTAAAGGTCTTAATCCAGCCCAGACTATATGCTTTGCATGAAATGTCCCAGGTTGGATTGGGAAAATTTCTGTCTGAAATTGATGAGCTAATGCCAGGAAGTATAGACCAGAAATAAGAAACCTCTGGCCCTCCAGATATTGTTCCCATCAGGTCCTGCCAGCATGGCCAATGGATGATAGGATTTATAATCCAACATCTGAAAGGCTACAAATTCCCTATACCTGGAGTAAACAATACCAAGACAGATGAACTGACTCAGTATAAGGCAGTTTCTAATGTTCTTTATAATGCTGTTTAATGAGAAAATAAGGTGGCTACACACACACACACACACACACACACACACTGTAATATCAAACACCAGGTACATGTCAACTTGCCCATTTCTGTTCCATTCAAAATTAGCTACTTTTGAATGCTGAACTCAAGACTTTCAAAGTACATTAACTTAAGGAATATATACTCTTCATGCCCCTACTCATAGCTTATATTTCTGGGGAGTTCAAGAGTGTAATAAAATTGTGTACTAATAGCCAGAAATAAAACTGCTGTGGTTATAAATCCTACATTTAATTAAACATGCTGAGGGACTTCTGTTCCACCCCTTAGCCTTTCCGGTGACTCAAGATTCCACAATGTCACATATGCTGTTTAACTTCTACATGAAAATGCAGGGAGAAATAATCTAGAGCTTTAGACTGAAGAATCATAAATATGTAGATGACACACAGCTCTATTTCTCTTTTCCAGCGGCTAATCCCAGGCAGGCAAGGCCAACCCTATGAGGCTGAGTGATACAGCTGCCTCAGGGGGGAGATGCTGAGGTGTGGGAGGGGGCAGAGCTGTGTGTGCCATGTGGCCTGCCCTGTACCCCCTGTGCTAGCCTGCTGCCCTCATCTGTGGTGGAAGATACTGTCCTCTTACCAGTATTGGAGTAAGATTCAACTACCAGTCAAATTGGCTTCTGCCAGTGGCAATCCTTGGGGTCTCAAATTTCAATAATGCCCTGTGCAACACCAAAATATGGTGCACAAACCCCCACAGGCTCCACACCTAGAATCCCTAAATCCACCTTTGCCTCTGCATGTGCCTTGGGGAGGGCACCATCTTTTCCTTTGCCTTTGGCAGCAAAATGTATTGAGCTAGCCTGTAGGCAGGTTTCTGAAGTACTGAACCGATGGCTGATAGCTAGATTGGACAGAATAAAGGTGAACAAGGTGGAACTTAATCCATCTAAAATTGAAGTATTGTGGGTAAGGAAAGAGACTATTCTGGATAGAGGATTACAACCGGTCTTGGGCTGTGTTGCACACCTCCTAAAATACTTGGTTATACTCTTGGACTCAGCATGACTTGGGGAAGCTCAGGTGGCTGCTGTGGCCAGAAGTACCTTTCATCAGCTTAGGCTGATCTGACGGCTGTGACAAACTAAAGAGAATGGGGATTGTCACAGTTATCCATGCGCTACTGACATCCCAAATTGGCCACTGTAATATACTCTGTGTATTATATAAAACACTATAATACATTCTATAATACAATATGTTGGGCTACCTTTAAAGACTGTTTGGAAACCTCAACTAGTAAAAAATGTGGCCACAACTCCAGGCTAGAACCAGGTAAGCAGCATATTGAGTTGCATTCAATGTAGCACTAGTAACTCGTTCTGTCAGCAGGATTCATGCATATGCAGTGGAACTCCCTGCTTACCTGCAGAACCCCTAAATCTGTTTAAGGGGTTATCCCAATTGGAGGGAGGGAGAGAAAGTTCTGTGGTACAAATATAAATCCTTGTGTTAATGGAACAAGTGCATTGAATGCTACCCATTATACAAATATTGTATAGTTGCACTGATTGCCAGTGTGTTTCCAGGCCCAGTTTAAAGTGCTGGTCATGACCTTTAAAGCCCTGAACAGTTTGGGATCAGGTAACTTAAAAGGATTGACTATACCAATACAAGTTTGCCTGTGCCTTAAGAGGATGTTCTGTTGAGATCCCCACAAGCAAAGTAAATTAGTTTGCCAAGCACACGGGCCAGAGTTTTTTTAGCAGTGGATGCACAATTGTGGAATACTATCCCATTAGATATTTGGCCCCATCCCTGGATATTTTCAAGATCTATTTATCTAGTCTTACAAAAACTAACAATGACTGGGAATCTAATTGCCTTGCACCATGCTAGATTTCTTATTTTAATAATATAGGATTATTTTCTTGAAATGCTTTTAAATGTTATTTACTCTATTTTATTGTTGCAGGTTATGTGAACTGCGTTGGGAAGAATTTTACTCTTGAAATGCAATACAGAAATTATTAAATATAAATGAATGACGACTTTGGAAGTGTGTGTACTCAGCCTTTTCAATAACCCTAAGGTTAATACCATTCATTGGTCCTTTGCACTAATTTTGGTATTAGATAACAAAAGAGGCTCATAAATAAACATTGTAAAAGCAGCACTATTTTAATGTTTTGCACAGAGTGACATCAAAGCTATTATATCACTCTGTGAGGCCACCGGCAACCAAGTGCAGCTCCCCCGCCCCCGGTCTAGTATGCAGCCAGGGGCAGTGAGGAATAGAGCGGTTTATATTCCAGTATTTTTTCTTTTTTTCTTCCCCCCCTCCAATTGTAAAGGTACAGCTTATATTCGGGCCAATACGGTAGCATAGTTTCAGCTTCCATTTGGGTGGAAAGGGGTCAGAAACTTCATCGCATTTGTGAAGCTCACTGCACTGTCATTAAGCTTATATACATGCTACATGTGGATTCACATTAAGGATCACAGCCTCAAGAGAATGAGTAATTTGATTATAACATAGATTCATGTGGAAAGTAATACAATGGATGATGAACTGGGTATGGCCATGGGGGATTCAGGCTGTGATCATATACAGTTAACTTGCAGTAAGTCCTACTGAACTCACTGGGGCATACTTCTGAGCATACATGCATAGGATTGTGCTTTAAAAATTAAATCCCTAACCAGTTTGGATTAACTTGCTGTAACTTGCTCTAAGCCACAAGTTTAGAGTATATGGATAATCAGTTGATCGAACAAGTTAAAGTCTTAAAATACCTCAGCCTTATTTTTCAGTCAACAGAGTCATGGGGAGCACATCATAAATATGCAAAGAAAAACGTGTCTCAAAGTGCATACAAAAGGTGGCAATCACATACCATCAGCAATTAAAAGTGTTTCAAGCTAAACTTCTAGCACAGTTATTTATATGGAGCTCAGCTTTGGACAGGAGCTCACCTTGTATCTACAGAAGCTGTTCAATCTAAGTTCCTAAGGCATTTTTTTTTCTGTTTCATCCTGTGTTCCAAATGCTTCATTGCACTTGGAGCCTAATTTCCCCTCTGTTGAATTACAAATTTGGTGTAGGACATTCAGTTATTGGCTTCAGCTGAATTTAAACCCCACCAGTCTACTACCCTTAGTATCGCAAAATTGTCATGAGAGCACTTAGACTAAAATTGTCAACCAAAAGCTTTACTTTTCTCGTTTATCACCACAACAGTTATTAACACTGAGTTTCAGTAAAGCAAATAATTTTATTAGATGGTGCCTATATGATATTGAGCGACAGAATGATTTGGCCATGATAAAGAAATTTTGTCCATGGTATGATTATTTCCCACCTAGTCATTTTGACACGTTGGCACCCTATTTGCAAAATTTAACAATTCCAAAATACAGATGAGCTTTCACTTACACAAGATTAAATATACTTCCTTCAGCTGTACTTGAGGGTTGATTTCAAAAAATTCCGCTGGAAAAAGAGTTATGTCCATGTAGAGATGGCAGTATTGAATCAGTAGCTCATGTGTTTCTAACTTGAATTCTTTATAAAGATTTGAGGAATGAGGTTATTACCCCTCTACTACTATTCATACCAGGTCCCTCAACCATTGCTACTGTGTCCTTTCTTCTAGCAGATCAAGATAATCAGGTGACAGCAAAAACTGCAAAAAAATTAGCAGGGGCAATTCGAATAAGTTCTATTATTTGATTATTGATGTAAACTTCCAGAATGTATTTTGTATAGTTAAGTTTTTACCTCTATCTCCAGTACATTTTATTTTATTTAATTTTATTGCTATGGCTTTGGCTAGTGGCTGATGAAAATAAATATTATTATTATTATTATTATTCTTGCTCTAAATCCCTGGAACAGGGAAGTAAAATGATCTATCATGAGAAATAATATTTGATGTCAGCCAACATTTTATATGTCTACTGCCTCGTTGCATTTAACATTCATGCCTCACATTCCTTTTGCTCTTCTGCCCTTTCCCTCTTCCAATATTTTATAGAAGTTTCAAGAGAAGAATATTTCTATATGCCAACAAAAATAGCACCGATAAGTAGTCACTGATAATTATGATGAACAATCACCAGTTTGGCCTGGTGCAAACACGGCAGAGCACTGTTAAAGAGAGTACTGTTCTGTGGAGGGGAAAATAGTTTCCTGACATTTTTAAAATGAACATCTATAATGTATCACTTTCAGATGGAAGTAAAGGGGCTAGACTGCCAGGTCATTATTGACAAGTGCAAAGAAGAGATAAGAAATGCATAGTAAGAAATGCAGTATAAAGGGGGGGAAATTCACTAACCTGGGCAGTCAAATTGCAGCAGAAGTTGAGATCTGAAGGAAGATAAATGTAAAGATTAGAAAAGCAAGTACAGCACACAGGAGCCACTGAAGATCTGGTGCCTTAGAAAATGTCCAGCTAAAAATCAAGATGGCACTGTAATACACAGGTACCATATTAACTTTGGATAGGAAAAAATGTGTAGAAGGTGGCATGGATGAAGAAGAAACAGAAAGAAAGAGGGGAAAGTACACAAGAGGAGGATAGTGGGAATAAATATTATATTTAACAGTCATACTTGAGAATATCTAAAAAGATAATCAAACTTATTTTTATACAGACATAGAAAATACTGTTTTAAAGCAGCTAGTTATTATCGAGACAATTATGCAAAATGCTCAGTAAATGCTTAATTCAGTAAAAGTAAATTAGGAGTTAATTCATAAATTCATACAGAATTTGGAACCTATGCTTGCCAAGACTGGGTTGTGCCCTAGACACTTGTTTTGAAGATCACAGTGCTCTGCATTTTGGGTAAAATATCCACAAAGTCATTCTTCCTTTTTTAAAAAATATATTGCCAAGTATTATTTAAGGCTGGATCCAAAGGGCCTCTCTGGCAATTGGAAGGTATGTGTGTTTACAGGGGCAGGGGTTCTCTACTTTTCTCTGATTGTTCTCCAGCTCCAGCAGCCCTCTAAAGCACATACCAAAGTTGCTACAGTCCTCCAATTTTAAACTTAGGCACTGGGCAGGGGCAGACACAGCAGAGGTAAATCCAAAGGCAAGTAAATTGTTTTATAATCTTTTCCAAGCAATCTAAAGTTGAACTTCAGGAATTTAGTCTGAAGGTTGTTGTTTTTTTTGGGGGGGGGGGTCAATAGTTCATTAATGACAACTTGTTGAGAATCCAGACACTGAAGGTTAAGATGGGGTTAGACAAGCAACGTTAGCAATGTTTCAGGTATGAGTTTTCATCATTATACATAATGCTACTGGTGTTTTTCAATGGAGTAGCCTTATTCACAGCCCTAGCTGAACAAGCTAGCTACCTCTGTCTATTATCAGGTTGTCTTTCAGCTCCAAATTGATAGCAGATGTCCACTGTGAGCAGGCTTCCTAGTCATTGCTCTTGAGCAGGCATAGGCAAACTCTGGCCCTCCAGATGTTTGGGACTACAATTCCCATTATCCCTAGCTAACAGGACCAGTGGTCAGGGATGATGGGAATTGTAGTCCCAAACATCTGGAGGGCCAGAGTTTGCCTGTGCCTGCTCAAGAGCATCACCAATATGGAGATGTCACGGCACAGTCACAGGGTGTCTGCACACATTGCACTTGCCTTGCAGCATCCTGGAGCTGTTTCCCCTGATGCCACCAATCATCAGTAGTTAGGGCACAAGGCAATCTATTCGGAACTACTATTTCTTGCCTGAGTTAGGCCTTCAATGCACCTCATGAGCAGGCTGACCTCATTTCTATTTCCTAGTACAAATTCAATTTTAGAAAAGATACGTGGATATATAAAAAGTCTTGATCAATACCCAAAGCATACCCATTTACAAAAAAAAAAAAAAAAAAAGACAATGCAGGAAATATGAGATATACAGAAGGTAGGACAAACACTGAAACCAAGAGGTCCCCTTAGGTTTATCTAGCACCCTTTTTTATCAAACGCTAGATGCAAACCTATGAAATTCACAAAATTGAAGTTGCACTTATTCAGAAACAGAGATCCCTACCACAAACAATTTCAATACTTCAAAAATGAGCAAGGATATTCTCTAAAGAAGCCACAGCTGCCAGCTCAAATGATTTATCCAGTTTACAAGACATTGCATTGTATTATATATCAAGTCAACACCAAAGACATAAATTTGCAAAGGAGGAAACAAAGACATTGTAAATTATTTAAGCATCAATGTAAGCAAACGTTCAAAATATCACATCATACTGCAGTAAAATCTGAAGTAGACTTCTGCTTGGGGTTTTTTCTAAGTGTACTGAACACCTGTACATGAATGCTTCCTTCTGCCAATGGATTGGAGTCTGAAAAACACACTTCAATGTGCTCTGTCTATTGAGAATAGAGTTTGGGTCTCATGCTCCCCATGTTGGTTTTGTCACTGCTTCCTAAGATTTTATTTTTTTCCAATTTGTAGCAAACAACTTGGCCCAACACACCTTCATTTCCCCATGTTAGAACACCCATGGGGCGGAACAGAGAAAGGGAGAAGGCTACTAGAACAAGCAGCCAGTTATTAGTAAGAAATAAACCAGACAGAATAGATGAAAAAATGGGAGGAGGGGAGGAAAACGGGGTAAGAGAGAGAAGGGGGAATGCAGTAGAACTCAACACATTGAGTTGTAGATGCATCTACATGCTGCCAGTTCTGTTGTGATGCAGAAAAGCAAGAACAACGTAAATTCTCTCACTATCTGTCCTAAGTTTTACATACAAAAACCTTACCCCATAGGCTTCACATGCTTCTTCAATAGATTAAGTACCACAATATTGGCAATCATAATACCGAACAACAAAGGGATGCATTCTCCCAGCACTTACCAGAAACAAAGGAAGGGACAGAAAATACTTTAAATGTGCTTTTTGGGGATTGTAAACTCTTCAAATATAACCGATTCCATAAAAACGATTTATATTTCTTGCTAGGGTTTTACAAAAAGTAATTTTCAAATGAAATCAGAGTTAATATTTTAAGTAATGACCCAGGAATATTGTGTGTGTGTGTATGAATGACTTATTTGTCTCATAGCCTTTGTGCTAAGGACTGGACACACAAAAGCAGATCCATCCTTCCTGCCCAAATATTGGGAGCTATCCTCCAGATTTAGTCTGCAATTCTAAACCCACCTAACTGAGCACACTTCACTGAATTTAATAGGACTTTCTCACAGGCACCTTGTTCCAAAGCTGATAACAATTGTTCCCCAATTCCGATGAAACAGGAAACTATGATTAATAAGAGACTTCTTTACTTAATCATGACTTGTACAAAGGGGTTGCATACAGATGCAAAGCAACTGTGTATCACTTGGCTTATTAAATCAATATAAAAATGACCAAATTTAATAAAACGTGTATAAAATGAAGAGGATGCATAGCCTTTTAAATAAACAAAAAATTGCTAAAGAGAAGGCTCATAACTTCTGCAAGTTGTAGAGCCTAGAGCTAAATATATAAACTGCAAAAGACTAACACAGCTACCCCTCTGGAAATTGCTGTATGATTTATCTAAAAGTTTCACAAAGCCTTGAATAAAACAATTGTTTGGTTGAAAACAACAGGAGGCATGACAGAATGTACTCAATTATAATAGATTCTGCTAAGAGCCAGACAAAGAACTACTAAGTTAAAATAACCAGGTCTTCTATACCAGAAGAATTCTGTTTTAATCATACATAGATTAACTGCAGTTTATATTTACATATTCCTGTTCAAGGTTATATAGGATTTAAATATTTGTTCCTGGGATCGTCTTCATTTGGACTTAAAATGTATCTATTTCTTATATTCCTTTAGAATAACATATCTATCTATCTATATGAGAGAGAGAAATAAGTTTACTTACTAGGTGCACATAAGGTATGAAGTATCCAAATAAGGCAGCTGGGATCCCAATAGCCCAGATTAGATAACTCTTAATTTTAAAAATGGAAAAATTAAAAATATTTTTTGCAGGAGGAAATGTGGACTTGCTCTTTTCCCCATTTTCTTTGGCACTGGGAATGAGAGGTTTGTAAGTAAAACCAGCCAGGAAGAGAACGAACACAAAAATGCACAGGATCCGGAAAGTGTTGTATAAGCCAACTGAGTCAATCAGTACAGTTAAAAGAAAGGGCAGTGTTACAGTAAACAAGCTGCTGCCAGCAGTGACAATGCCATTCACCAGTCCCAGGCGCTTCTTGAAATAATGCCCCAAAATGACCAGGGATGGCTGATAGGTAAATGAGCAACCACAGCCAAATAAGATTCCATAAGTGAAGTATAGAGGTCCAAGTGAGCTACAATAAAACAGAAAAAGTTAACAGTTATGTTCTGCATATTTCTTTTATTTTTCCTTATAAAAACACTTTATGCTACCTTCTGTCCCTAAGAAGGGATCCCAAGCTTGTTTAAAACAGTAAACACTAAATGCACATAAAAACAAGATAGCATTAAGAGTTGAAGTAAAATGATAGTTAGGAAGATTAATATATACTAAGAATCTGGCAGTACAATAGCATTTTAATTTCTGTCTAAAAGGCAACAGGTATCAGTTTAACCTCCTTGGAGTTCCGCAACTGGGACACTACTAAGGCCCACGTCATCTCACGGTGACAGAATGAGGGAGGTCTTCAAATGTGACTTCATTTGATTTGCAGGTTTGTGGGGTAGGTTGTGATCCAGCAAACTAGCAAGCCATAGTTAAGAATAAGCACAAGTTTGTAGAGGCTTGAACAACAAGACAAGCTATGGTTGATCTAAAACAGAAGCTGTGTTAATGGACTTATCTCCCTAGTTTAATACACGTAATGGAAAACTGGAAGAGTTCTCTCTGAACAATATGTATTGAAACCACAATTCTGTATGCTTTGTTTCTGAAAAGCAAGCTACCCACATCTTATCTTCTCCTTGAAGAGCAAATAGATTATCAGAGAAATTTATTAAAAACTTCATCTGCAGCTGTTGAACTCTTATTTGCTTTACTAAGTTCCTGGAGGTGGAAAAAATACTTATGCCAAAAAATACAGATGTGACTGATGCACAACTTTAGGTGCACACATGAACTTAGGCATGAAGACCGGATTGTTTAAAAACATTTTTTTTTCTTCCAATGACACCCCCCTTGTTCAATTCTCAAGTTCTTTCACAGATTGCTTTGAATAGTCCCTCCGCTGTTGGAAATTAACATTTTAAAAATAACATAACCTCAGTTTCAAATGAAATTTGTCATGTGGCAAGCATAGGGGAATTGCTATTTTAAAAACAAAAACTAATTCAAGCTCCCTTGTGTACACGGTAGTTGCACAGTTCTCTGGATCCAATGTGTGTGTTCTATCAAGATTAATGTACAGTGGTACCTCGGGTTACATACGCTTCAGGTTACACACTCCGCTAACCCAGAAATAGTGCTTCAGGCTAAGAACTTTGCTTCAGGATGAGAACAGAAATCGGGCTCCAGCGGCGCGGCAACAGCAGGAGGCCCCATTAGCTAAAGTGGTGCTTCAGGTTAAGAACAGTTTCAGGTTAAGTACAGACCTCCGGAACGAATTAAGTACTTAACCTGAGGTACCACTGTACTATTATAAACATCATAAACCTGCTTTTTTCCATTGTTCTATAATAGCTACAAAACATAGGAGAGGCATCAGTAAAAATAAGAAACCAATATTTATGTTTAGTTAACAAAAATAGGTATATCAATAATTAGTAAGGTTTTAAGAAACAAGAACTCTCTGTGCAGGATAAATCAATGTTATTTAAAATAATAATACATTATCTCTACTAAATATTCAAAGATAATTAAATTTGGTTGGAAAAGTATATTTCTGCATATTAATTTTACTGAAAGCTTTTAGAGCATGTTCCAGTACAACAGACTCATTCAAGGCCATCATCATTAATAAGTGAGGAAGTAGCATTAAATACTGGTTAATATTTATCTAGACCTTATGACTCATTAAAACAGAGATAAAAAAAGCACAGAGTTGTGTTTGGTAGAAGAAAAGCAGACAGCCACATCTAAGATGTTTCTTCACAAATCTAGTGGGGAGGGAAAAAAGTGGGGGAAGCAAGACACTAATATAACCAAACTGCTTATGCCTAGCATGTGGCATAAGGTAATAGAAGGCAAGTCTGTTCTCCCTTCTAAAAATCTGCTCAAATAAGCAAGAAATATTCCTTTCAGGGATACCATAACACCACCACTAACCTCTTCTCCATTTTGTCTTCTCCATCAGAAATCTCTCCCATATACAAGGTGCTTATCAATGGAAAGACACACTATCTGGCAATAAAGAGGTGCTACAGGGTTCCATCATTGGAAAACATGAATGCCTCTTATTTTATTAAGAGCTTAAGAACAGCCCTGTGGATCAGTCCAAAGCTATTTAGTCCAGCATTCTGTTTCCCACAGTGACCAACCCAATGCCTATGGGAATGCCATATGACAGACATGAGTGCAACAGCACTCTTCCTTTCAGCTTCCCCAACAGCTGGTATCCAGGGACATACTAGCTCCAATACCGGAGATAACATTTAGCCATCATAACTAGTAGTCATTGGTAGCCATTATGCTGGCTCTTTCCTTGGTGCACTATCTGTGCAGCCCAGTGTATGAATTATCTTGTCTTGCAAGAATGAGCAGCAAAGAAAGGGGCTGGTTCACAGCTCCATACCCAGTTAAAAATCTCATTACTGCTTTGAACATACTACAGGACCATAGGCAAGAAACCTAGACATTCTTATAAAAGATTATTGAAGTAATCTATGTGAAATGATTTTAACCCTCCAAAGTACTATATAAATGCCAAATATCATTCTTTTATGTTAATTATTTCTGGTCCACTTAGTCAGTTTAGAAAATCATAAGGCCACAGAATATTTCTTACATTTAAATTTTGTTTGATAGAACCTTGAGTAGACACTTGAACTTTACTTTCTTGCTTTCCTCCTGGACATATTGAGCTTAATACTTGATTATCATAGATGACAGTTTAATACTCAAAAGGCTGCCTTTCAAATATTTTGTAGCACATAATACTGCCTTGTCTATGTCAGAAGAGAGGTGCAGCATAAGCCACCATGCCATGTGCTCACTATCTATAAAGAATATATGGTAAGGTCTGCAAATAAAAGCTATGTAGTGGTGGTATCTTCAGGATATATGATCAGGATGCCAGGAGGTATCATATATCTTCGGTCAGCCAAAATGGTCTAAATTAAGATACACTGCCAAAGGCCATGTGCATTCAGAAAAGTCAGTGGAATGTGTATTCTTACCTTACAAATGAGCTTGACAAAAGCCCAACAAGTGCCACTGCTGCTCCAACAACAGCTACTTTCCGGCAGCCAAATAGGTTGGTAAATACACTGACTATGGGAGAACAGAAGAAGATCATTCCCATGGACAGGGAACCAACCCAAGCTGTAGAAAAGATTAAGAATAGAACAGTTAACTTAATATGGCAGGTTTCATTACATGACAAAATAGCATATAGTGCAATTATAACTAGTTTTAAAGGAACACAGAAAGAAATCTTATAAGTAAAACAAACTACTAACCAGCATTTTGTTTAACCACCAGTTTGAAAAACCTCAGGAAAACTTCAAGTTGAACTCTGGGTACTGTTGTGCAAACTAACAGCCTAAGAAGAACCTGCTGGATCAGGCCAATGGCCCATCTACTCCAGCATGTTGTTCTCACAATGAACAACCAGATGCCTGTGGGAAACCCTCAAGCAGGACCAGAGCACTCTCCCCACTTGTGATTCCCCAGCAACTGGAATTATAGGCATATTAGATGAGCAGTCTTGATCAATTATGTTAAATTATATTAAAATTTGTATTATACAAAAACAGAAGACTGTATGATAGAAGTTGCTAGTCAATGTAGACAATACTAAGCTAGATGGCCTGACCCAATATAAAGCAGCTTCCTATGCTAATTCCCATCATCCCTGACCACTAGCCACACTGATTAGGGCTGAAAGGTGTTGCAATCCAGCACATCTTCATCACTTCCCTAACAATAGGAATTTCCTTCCCACTTACTGACATAATTTCAACAACCACATCAGTGACAAAAGCACACTATTTTATAGATCTGATGTATGTACTCTGAGGCCAGAGATATATTCTTCCAATATTCCCTTTCACTCCCACTGTTTAATCATTCTGTTTTGTCTCTAATTAAATTAAGGTAGTGAACTCAGAGGCTTGGGTCCTAACCTTGCTCCAACCAGTGGGGAGACAACCAGTGGCGTGCTGTGAAATTTTTAATAGGGGAACAGTTAGGGCCAGAGATGTCAGCTTGTGAGAGCAATGGGGGAGGCACGATGTCATGCATGTGAGCACCACGCCTCCCTAAGTCAGGTAGAAGCTTCATGGACTTTGGGAAGAAGGCTCCAGGCTTTAATATTCTAATATACTGGGAACATTTAGGGGACTAGTCCAGTTCCCCTAGTCTACTGATCGCACACCACTGGAGGCAACATTTGTCAGTTCCCCATGCACCCCCTTACACTGACAAACGGGCTCCAAAGGGCTTGGGGAAACTGGCAAATGTAGTCTCTTCCCTGGTTCTTTCTTCTGTAGATGGAAAGATCCCTTCTGTTAGCAGAAGGCTACATTTGGATCCTGACCAGTAAGAATGATGCAGTATTAAAGCTGTGTGCTTGCATTATAAAGCAGCTGTATAAAACTCCACTAATCTAGATGCTGGACAGTGAGTGTGCTTGTGTTAATAGGGCATTCTAAATGATAGTTTCGAGTGCAAGGTTTGGAAGTGCAATTCCTGCAGTCCAGCTCCTTGGGGCACTTACATCCTCACTTGCAGAACTGATATGCAGCAGATGGGGTGAGGCAGAAGATATGGTCCAACCTTTCCCTGGGATCATTCTAGTGCCTTCAACAATTGGACAGGAAACTGTCTGAATTAATGCTTACAATCATGAAAATGCTCAATGTTCATCAGAAAAAGACGCATTTTTTTGCTTTATGGTGGAAACATCTTAAATATCTACTGCAAATGTTGCTCCACATACTTCCAAATCATGACCACCAGAGGGTGTAGAGAAAAATAGATTTGGGTCATTTGGGGCCTGAATTTCAGCTGGCAGCTAACAGCAGTTGTTGGGAACAGAGGGAAAATATTAGAGTGTGTGTACTCAGAAGCCTATAACTATATTAGCATATTTTTCCAATTAATGCCTCATACAATTTAAAATTAGAGGACTTATTTTATGATTAGTGGATGAAGAATTGAGGGATAGCAGCTATAAAACAGAGGGGCATCGTATTGGAGGGCATGAGACATAGAATAAAAATAATGATATAAAAGGAAATAAAATATGTAGCACAAAATTAAATTTACCAGAGTATTTGAACATCATAATTTAATATACTTAAGATGGCAACCCAAAAGGAAAGACCTGTTTTACACATGTTGAATCCAACAGACTAGAGTGTCCAGCAGCAGGTATATGAGGTGGCAATGATTGTGTCAAACAAAGCTTTCTCCTCTAATCTTATCCAGCAGATGCTATGGGATTTCTTAAACAGGCAGGAATCCCTAGAGGACTAGATGCATCCTCTAACTGCCAGGAAAGTTTTCAATACATAATTTTACTCTTGTGTTTGATATAACTTGATTCCACTGTTGATGTGAGCTATATACCAGAAGCATGAAGAACAATTGCTTAGGTCAGTTTGACTTCTCCTCCAAGATGTGGATTTGATAACTGGGGTTGTGAAGGCCAGCATGTACAAGTTGGATCCTTACCCAAGAATTTCGTGATTTATTTATTTTTTTGCCAGAATTGAAAATGCTTTCTTTAGAAAGGGTTGACTTCTCAGGGGTTGAAGAAGGCAATGATTTGTCTACTCTTAAATAAACATTTTTTTAAAGATAAGGGCAGTCAAATCAATCTAGAGCCTGTTTTCAACCTCCCTTTCTCAAAATGATTTGAGCACAAGATAACACAGCAACTCCAGACGTTCCCGAGTTATGTGTTTTGGCTTCAGCTTTTTCAATGTGCCAGAAACTGCTTGATACATGATCTACTAGGGAGGACCATGATCTACTAGGGAGGATACATTTTGTTCGACTTCTCAACAACATTTGATATGGTAGGCCAAAATATTTCTTTTAGCTCCATTACAAAATTTGGCTTGTGCTTGAAGGGCTGCATCCCAGTAAGACAAAAGAGTTTTATTACTGAGGACAGTGTTAGCAACCTGGGACTAACCAAGGTGCCTTAAGCTCCAATGCTTAACATCTACAGAATGTGAAGTTACCAAGTTCAGAAGCTTTGGGGTTGACTGTCATCAGAAGATGACACCCAGGTCTATATTTCTTCAGAGAAGCAATCTCTGCCCTGAAACTGAATCCATACAAGACAAAGATTCTATTAGTGGGAGCATTTCTGCCCTGGAGAGGAGCAGTTTTATCCATGATAGGGTGCTGTTGCCTGAGCGGGTGAATGGGTTACTGTTGTATTCAGGCCTGCTTAAGACAGATACTCTCCCCCACTCCAAGTAGCTCAGAACTTGCTACACTAATCCATATTTCTGCAACTTCCAGTAGAGGAGATGTCCTTGAAAGCTTCAAGCAATGCAAATGTAGCAAGTCTTCCATCAAAGGTCATGTCCATATTTAACCTGTTCTGCTCTAGTTACATTGGTTACCAATTTGCTTCCAAGTTCAATGATTGTTTAAAGCCTTTCACAGGTGGAACTCACAAATCTGAAAAACCAAATCTCCTATTCCCCATAAGATCTGACTAATCAGCATTGTTTGCCGCTCTGTTTTCAAAAAAGTAAGGATGACGCAACTAGAACTAGAATCTTTGCAAAAGTGTTTCCAAAGCTTTGGAAACTTCTGTCTAAGCAAATATGAAAAATAACATCCTTGCTGGGATTTTAGAGAAACTAATACATTTTCTTGCAAGATTTTGGTTGATTTTGCCTTGTTGCTATGACTACTTTGTTACTACTGATTTATTTTAAGATAGGTTTGTTTTATTCATTACTTTGACAAAAAAGTGGTTTACATCTTACTACAAAAAAGTGCCCTCTAATTTTTGCCTTTTTGTTTTAGACCAAAACTTGATGCAGTTCAGTGTACCGCATCAGGAAGAAGTAGTAAAAAGACAGTTTAGAACACCAATATAACTTGTCTGATATGGCAAAATTTTGTTTGCCACTATATCCTGAGTACAGCACTATACTTAAATGTTTAAATAAATATTTAGCATTAAAATTGTGAGTTCACATATCTATTATATCTCAGCTCCACTGGCAAAGCTTCAAGATAACAAGCAAATTTGGCAGCAGGGCAAGGAGGCCAGGGCTGACTACCTTTTTGAAATTCCCAACTCCCAAGTAAATAAAGTCAAATACAAATATAGATATCTAGGTAAGCAGCCAGCAGCATACCCTCCAACATTTCTCCTATAAAAATAGAGACGTCCTAAGGAAAAGCAGGACATTCCTGGATCAAATCAGAAACCAGGACGGCTTCTGTAAATCCAGGATGGTCCCTGGAAAATAGGGGCACTTGTAGGGGCAGCAGCAGCATTGTGGAGGCTCTCCACCTTTTTATTATATCACATGGATTACTATTTGCCTGCTTTTCTATTGTGTAGTCACAACAGCATACAATTTAGCACCCAGCTACAACTTGTGGCCAGAACCGTAATTTCTTAGAAAGTCAGGATGCATAACAAAATCTAGATTTCTAGAATAGCAAAATAGACAAAGTTGAATCTAGAGATTATAGTGTTGTGGAGAAAGATGGTGGAATTTATTAAGCAGAGGTTGAGATACGTTACGTAGAGATCAAAATCTGATATGCAGCTATTGCATTATGGCCTGTTAAATAAAGATTACAAGAAAGAGAAAGGATAATCTAGAGCATGGTAGGCAAACTAAGGCCCAGGGGCCAGATCCGGCCCAATTGCCTTCTAAATCTGGCCCGTGGATGGTTCAGGAATCAGTGTGTTTTTACATGAGTAAAATGTGCCCTTTTATTTAAAATGCATCTCTGGCTTATTTGTGGGACCTGCCTGGTGTTTTTACATGAGTAGAATGTGTGCTTTTATTTAAAATGCATCTCTGGCTTATTTGTGGGGCATAGGAATTTGTTCATTTCCACCCAAAAAAATATAGTCTGGCGCCCCACAAGGTCTGAGGGACAGTGGACTGGCCCCCTGCTGAAAAAGTTTGCTGACCCCTGATCTAGAGTCTGTCCTGGATTTCACTTCCCCTAAAACCATTACCTCAATTTACTCCACTGTGGTAAAGCATAATGGGGTGAAATACTAAACAGATGTTTGTCTGCAAAATGACTGACAATAACAATAGTTGCTCAATCTGTACTTTCCACATTATTTTTAATACTACATTCAAGCCCTAGTCATGGTTTAATTGTAAAGAATAGTTACAAATTATCAATAAAGACCTAAGAAGTTTATAAAAATTATTTAAAGTAAAAGCAGCCACCAGAAATTAACAGATTAAATCATATTCTTGTTGCAGACATTTATTGGAAGTCATTTATGTCGTTTTATTGAGGTCTGCTAAACATCATCTCCCTCACATTAGCCAAGACACAATGAAATGCCTGAGGCAAGCTCCAGCTGCTTTCTTGCTTCAAGTGGAGGGAGGAAAAGCTGAGTGCAGGAAGCTGTGCCACAAATGACCATGTATCCTTAAGCTCTTTTCAGACTTTGGGTCAAAGCATAGCCAAAAAAACCCCCAACAACCTGGCTGCAATGTGCCTAAAAAGGTGCCTAAAAAGAAACAAGCTGCTTCACTTAAAAACTTAGCACTGTAACAGGTCAGCAGAGCCAGAGGCCTGTTGCTTGCTAATCAGACAGGAACGACTTGACTGGGAGCAGAGGTGAAGGGTCTCCCCTTCTGAGATAGCTTGGCTTGGTGGAGTGTCAATGGCTCTGATACATTTGTGGACATAATCCATGACGGAGGCATGTCTGCAACCTGCAGCGTTCGTAACCTGCAGCGCCACGTCTGCGCACATGCATGACATGATTTGGCACCTCTGCGCATGCGTGAAGCGTGATTTAGCGCTTCTGTGCATGCACGAGCGGCGAAACCCAGAAGTAACCCTTTCCGGTACTTCTGGGTTTCCTGCGGTCTGCAACCTGAAAACACGTAATCCGAAACGTTTGTAACCCGAGGTACCACTGTAATGCCTAGTGCTCTTCAAAACATTTCCCCCCACTACTACTTCTTTCTCTCTTTTTGTAAGCTACTTCAAAGCAGTAGCTCAGGAGCAACAGGGTCATCCTGACATTCTCTGGAAGGCAGAGCCCAAAACAAGATTTCTATCCTCCTTTAAGGAAAAAGTGTTTTCCTATTCACCCTGTCTTCTTTTTCAAGAGAAGTTAATTCTTTGATGTATGCTCCACTCCTTCTGACTGAGAATAATACACTCATCTGCTCTAACAGTACAATCCAGACTACAGCTCTGCTGCAGCTCTCCTGTACAGTGGTGCCTCGCAAGACGAAATTAATCCGTTCCACGAGTCTCTTCGTCTTGCGGTTTTTTCGTCTTGCGAAGCACGGCTATTAACGGCTTAGCGGCTTTAAGAAAAACGTTTCGTCTTGCGAAGCAAGCCCATAGGGAAATTAGTCTTGCGGAACGACTCAAAAAACGCAAAACCCTTTTGTCTAGCGAGTTTTTCATCTTGCGGGGCACCACTGTACTGCATGTTACATACAAAAGACCATCACAGAAATGTGCTTGTAATATGAGTGAATAAAGCAAGTCACAGAGGAAAGACAAACAACTTCAGGGTCAACACAGTCCTTTGATTTCTATTTCTCACCACTTGGAAGTAACAGATGCCAAGTTATATACTTGTTGCTTTATAACAATCCCTCTTTAGTCAGTGACATTAAAAGTTTTTTTAACACAATGTTTCAAACTTCGTATATGAAATGCATGCAAACAATTGCTGTTAGAAGCAGCAGATTGACCATTTATGTAGTTACAAGTGTACAGTATCACATTTGTATTACATTAGAAACACATACAGTTCAATATAATCCATTTTATATTTACTAGGTTGGAACAAGAATGGATGTTTACAGTTTCTATTACTTTGTACTTAGCCTTGTCTAACCCTTTAGCAGGAATTATTTTGATAAGTTAATTTTATAATGAGAATTACAGTGATATGATTTATAGGTTGTTTTGTAGTTTGCCAGAATAGCTGTTGGAATTCTTTTATTTCTTCATTACACATAATTAGCAACCTTGCAATTTTCTACCTTGTAATTTTCAATGAAAAGGTTAACAATTATGCCTAATACGCTCTAGGTTTATAAGACAACAGATACACATTCAGAAAGCTGACTACTGCTTTTCAAAAACAGGTGAATTCAGCTAGAACAGAACAGTACATTTTGTTTCAGAAGAACAGGGATGCCCAGAGGCAAAATTCAAGTCTATGCCCTTTTAACTTGCTTTTATTTTTCTTTTATTATTTCAGAAATGTATACACTGCTTGATTGTAAAAAACAAAACAAAAATCAAAGCGATTTACAAATAGATAAAACACTAAAATCAATTTAAAAATACAACAGTACTTTAAAGCATACAAAAGTTAAAATACTAAAACAAATTAAAATTACTTCAACTTTCTAAGCATCTGAGTGGGCTTGTGTGAACAAGAATGTGCCTCCAGCCATCAGTCCTAGAAAGTTTAATGCCAATTTATTTATTTATTAAATTTATATCCCACTTTGGGCTTCTCTTGGAAGAAGGGCAGGATAAAATTTAATAAATAAATAGATGCAATAATCAAACATTTATCTAGCTCCCATGCAAAGCACCTGAAAATAGTAGTGAAACTGACAAGCTTCATCATCACCTCTAGGGTAAGTCTGAAGAAGCACCTTCACCACAGAGTTGAGCTAGGTTTAACTCTAACCCACTAGCACTTTTACAGTTGATCTTTGATGTCTCACACATTCATTCATTCATTCATTCATGTTTTTGCAAGATATTGCAAATAACTACATTATATTGTATCATCCTCCAAGGAACTCAAAGAAGCATACATGGTTCTCCATGCCCCCATTTTATCCTCACAACAACCTTGTGAGGTAGGCCAGGGCTCATTGGAGGCTGGTTTATTACAATGAATTAGGCACTGCCCACCACCCTCAGGTCTGCCCTCAGGTAGCCCCGCCTGCTTGCTTTCTTACTTACAACCAGCTCAAGGGATGACAGTGCCTGTCAGCTTTCTCCTCCTTAGTCTGTGTTGCTCTTGTAGAATTCAGCAGGGAGGAAGATGAGGAGGAAATGAGAACAAAATGAGAATTATTTGGCTCTCCTGTCATAGGTTCTGGCTCCACCAATGGTTGGTCTCCCTGCTTTCCATCCTGGGCCTCCCTAGTCCTACACAAACACTCCTAGAGTCAGATTCATGTACCTAGGACAACCCAGCTCAAAGACTCTGGCTAGTGCAACAGGGATTTCCCCCATTTCCTCCCCGCCCCCCAACATGCCTCCTGAAGATCTGCTCTGGAGGGTTGGGAGAATCCCCAGAACAGCACACAGAGGCAAGGGCGAAAGGGAGATGGTTCCATCAGTGCAAGCATTTCTGCTTTTGCTGATGGAACAATCTCCTAGTGCCATGCTGAATTCTACCCTTAATCATCATTCTGGCTTCCTGTGTCATAGTCAACGGTATTTAATTTTCGTTCATGAATAGCAAATGCCATAGGGTTTCTTTGACATCCAGCTACCAATGATTTTTACAACAACAGAAATAAATAGAGGGAATGGGGTCTGCAATATCTATCAAGGTTAGAAAATGAATATGCCACATCCTTAACAAACACAAATCATTTTATGGTATCCTTTTAAAATCGATAAATTTCTGTGGAGAACTAGTTGTCATTGAGGGAAGAATTAAGGACAAAACCAAGGTGATAAGCATTAACAAAGGCCCTAACCTTGAATGGGAGGTCAAAGGCCTTTCAAATAATTTATATACAGTTATGCCATTGCCTCCCTATAGCATAATTTATTAAGCCCCAATACATTCAACTTCTGCATAAAATATAGTAAAAAATATTTTTGTACAACAAGAACATGTGGTTTGTTTGTTTTTTAACTGCAGGAGAAGCTCTGCAATGAGTGTGAAGGAGAGTGACTGCTTTAGTCTCTTGGCACCAAATTTAGAAACTCAGAATTATGGAATGCAAGGCCTTGACAATTAAATATAATGAGGAACACAATTGCTCCTCATTTAGTCATTATTTAATGTACCCATTACTTACACAATGCAATTTTTAAAATAGTTTGAGCCACTTGTATGTAAAAACTCATGCTGGGTAAAGCATAAAACAGAAATATCCCAAGAATCCTCCACTTTCAACACAAGATGGGATACTGCTAACATCTAACACTTACTGTGATTACAATGATTATTTCATACATATGCTTTTTTAAAAAGTTTAAACATACTTGGAGAGTGAGTGCTTCTGTGCATCCTTTTACAGAGATGAAAGGGATTGCATAGGATCAGGGCTCAAGATTAGTCATAGAACAGACCAATTGATATCAATGGACTTATTTGGTCTACTCCAAGTATGACTGTTGTAATCCAATCTTAAATAGCTAAGAACTCACTAGTTAACTCACTAGTTAACGACACTTTCAATCAAGATTACTTGAACTCTCCACTACTCTTTTGTTTGTCAAATATTCTCCCATGGTTAAAAATGGCACTGTGTCCCCATTTAAGGGTTCAGTATCCAAGTTCCTGACTAAAAAGAAATAAGGCCAAACTGTTCTTTGCACCACAGCATTTCCTGAAAAAGTTTCATACTGGGCTCATTAAGACCAGCTCTGCATGGGTAATTAACTGGAAAAAGTCTGTTTGCTACATATCATTATCTCAATAGCTGCAGTGATGAACAGCCAGAAGCATCATAGCCAGACACTGGAGAGATATTCCAGGAGTCAGCATGGACCACTGGTACCAAATCATATGGGAAACAGTCTTACTAGAAAAGCTAACCAACAGACTAAAACTGATACGGGGACAAACAGAAGAGGACGCCTTCACCCCAGTATGGCTCCCTTTTATTACATACACAACCCAACAAGACAACAACAAGAACCCCCTGACAGCATACAAATCAATATGGCTAACTTGACACCCAACAGCCCCCCCCATGCAAACGAATCTTCCCCCTCTTCTGCATACAACACTAACATCTCATTTATAAAAAAAAAAGTTGCAATGATGAGTGTGAGGACAAAAGAGACCCTAGTTAAAATATGGACAGAGAAAATCAATAATTGTAATTATCTCAAAGTTTGCTTAGAAAATTAATTGGTTCAGTTTCAGAACTTGCCTGCAGCCTGTTCAGGCTTCAGCCCTAGCCACACTTATCTGGGGGTGGATCTGCACACGGGGGGAATTGCTATAAATAACTCAGAAATTAGATCATTCTAACAACAACAACAAAAAACCTCTACGGAAAAACGCGTATAAAAATTCCCTGCTCTCTGGCACCATATGGTGTTGCATGTTTATAGCGCATTCAAATCATTGTTTTTTTACTAATGTGGCCGAGTCCTGGGAATAGGTCCTATTGTACTTTGTGCCACTTACTTTTGAATAGATACAGGATTGCACTTACCATAAGTTAGTATATTTGCATTAAGAATCAATCCAAGATGGTGTGTATAAATGTTCACATTCCTTTTGTGATGTGAACAACTGAGTGCAGCATTGTCTAAGATGGATAAAAGAACCCTGAATAACAGTAGAACAAAGGCTTGCTTACGGCAATATATCTGAAAGTGTCATTGACTGCCGTGAAGTACAGAGGCATGAATAGGTAGGAAATGCTTGATTTTAATAGAAAAAACAAATCTCACCCCAATGAGTCCACTAATGGAATATGTAGTTTGGCTCTGAAATATACCGAGGAGGAAGGTCAGCTTGAAAGTCTAAAGTGAAGTGGTGATACTGAGTCAAACCCTATACCGCGGTACCTCAGTTTACGAACTTAATCCATTCCGGAAGTCCGTTCTTAAACTGAAACTGTTCTTAAACCAAGGCGCGCTTTCCCTAATGAGGCCTCCCGCCGGCAGTGCCCTTCCACCATTCCAGTTTTGCGAAGTTCGTAAACCAAATTGTTCTTAAACAAGACTGTTCTTAAACCGAGGTACCACTGTATGCATCTACACAAAAGTGAGTCCCATGGTACTCCATGGTATGTAGGTATAGCACTGAGGTCTTAAACAGAAATACCGTATTTTTTGCTCTATAAGACTCACTTTTTCCCTCCTAAAAAGTAAGGGGAAATGTGTGTGCATCTTATGGAGCGAATGCAGGCTGCGCAGCTATCACAGAAGCCAGAACAGCAAGAGGGGTTGCTGCTTTCATTGCGCAGCGATCCCTCTTGCTGTTCTGGCTTCTGAGATTCAGAATATTTCTTTGTTTTCCTCCTCCAAAAACTAGGTGCGTCTTGTGGTCTGGTGCGTCTTATAGAGCGAAAAATACGGTAAATCTTATCTCTGAGAGGAAGAGGACATAAAAGCTCTTGGCACTCTGATGGCTAGTTACAGGAACAACAAAATGCACTGCTCAGGGGACCAATCAGTAGTTAAATTGGCATTCATATTTCCTGTCCATGCCTCTGTAAGCAAATTGCTAGAAAAATAAAATGCTGAGTTTGGAGCAAACACACAAAAATTTTATGTAATTGTTTTAGAAACGATTGTGAGGTTCTTTGAGAAAGGCATATTGAGTTTGAACCAGTAAACTAGTTTTAGACTTTGACTTGCTTATATTGCAAGTTCTATAAATTGTGATAAGTAATATCTGTAACCTTTGAATAACAAGGTTTGATCATAGTGCAAAGATCACAATCTTTTTGTCATATGAACAGGGAAGCTTCTCAGCAAAAGTGTTTTTCATAGTTTTATTGGATTGTAGGCTAAATTCTAACTGGAACATTCTACTGAAATTTATTTTTTTAGTATTTTATTTTTTGTAGCATATTTCCCTGGTTAAATAATTGAAAGCTCCAGTTGTGCACTCAGAAATTCCTGAGAATTCCAGGATTTGTACATTTTAAACTGATGGGAGTGGGGTCAGAATAACAAATACAACAAAGGGATATGTTCTCTATAGATTGCAGTGACACCTTCGTTTTAATGTAAAATAGCATCTTAGGGAGATTTTTGCTGAAGAATCGTAGTTCCAATCCCAATGCCTCTTTCATTGTAGCACTATTTAAATTAAATAAATTAAACCAATGCCAACATGCAGTTCTCAGTTTTAACCTTGTGGGCAGAATGTGTCTGAGATTTGTTGTAGCTTCACTAATGTATCCCCTGATTAAATTAAATGCAGCCACAATCCTAATTATGGAGCTTTTGCGGACTAGATTCAACTTCATCAGATGTATAAATTTCACAAAAGCTTATTCTACCACATGGAAGGCTAATCTGTGGTCCAGATCCAGCCCTGCAAGCCAGAAATGTGGTTTGCCAGTCCTGAGCTTTCTCTTCCAATCTTCACACTGCTTTACTAAGTTAGGAAAGTGGGTGATACAATCCCTCTACCCACTCAAAACACCACCTTTTACATTCCAGAGGGGCTCATAGTCAATGTGACATCCAGGCTGAAAAATGTCAGCCATTCCTGCTCTACAATTAACATTTACATTTGACATCAACTAAGTCTTAGACATACTCAAAGGAGACCTACTGAAGTCAGTGGACATTATTACTTTGATTTCTTTCTCATTCTTGATCATAAGGTCCCAGGGTAGGTGAAATAAATTTAAAAACATGATTAAAATCAGTGATGTTTAAAATTGTTTTAAACTAATTTAAGTTAATAGACGTAATAAATTTCAGTGGGTCTAATTCTGTGTATGCCTTAGCTAGATCTACAACTCACTATCTTTAAATGTATCGTACGCCTACTGTTTTGCAGCAACAAACTAACAGTTACCCCTCTGTATATACATTGACTTTGCACACTCTAGAAACAATGCAATACCTATGGGCTCTTCAAAAGCCCACTGATTCCCAACAGCTGCAAATACTCAGCTATACCATATGTTCTGGAAGCAAGTTTTTTATACTCTGCTCTTTACAGAGAAAAGGCAAGGTAAAGCAGAGAAGATAAATCAAGGGAATGTAAAGACCTTTCAGGTCAAGCAGTCAGTATTTTGTTTCCAGAAAGAAGCCTCAGGACTTCAGTACAGAATTAAGGAGATGTGCACACTAGAAGCCTCAAGTGAATACTTTAGATGTCCTGACAAAAGTCCATCCCACACTTGCTTTGCAATGGTAGAAGCTACCAGTTCTCTGAGCGACACTAGATGAGGAAGGTATATTGACAAGCCACTAGCAGGTCTAGATCTTCTACCAAGAGACTAATCTCTTCTGTTCTTGTTTCACAAAGTCTATAGTCACTCCATCAGTGCTATGGCAGGATCAGTATATCCTGACAATAGCTCAGCTGAAATATGTGCTGCTATCATAATGACGGGAGCACCACAAGTCCAGTAATAAAATGTTTGGTTTAATGTGAACATCTAGTGTCTTGCCTAGCAATTTAACATAGCGCTGTACCAATGTTGTAAATTTTATCTTCTATAAGCAACGATTTTATTACAGTGGTGCCTCGCAAGACGAAATTAATTCGTTCCACGAGTTTTGTCGTCTTGCGATTTTTTCGTCTTGCGAAGCACGGTGTCGGGAAAGTTTTGGAAAAGCTTCAAAAATCACCAAAGTCTTTAAAAACCTCAAAAAAGGCTACCACACCGCGTTCTATGAGTTATTCCTCGAAGTCAAGTTGCAACTGTATTAACGGTGTTAAGAAAAAGGAAACAAACTTGCAAGACGTTTCCGTCTTGCGAAGCAAGCCCATAGGGAAAATCGTCTTGCGAAGCAGCTCAAAAAACCAAAAACCCTTTCATCTAGCGAGTTTTTTGTCTTGCAAGGCATTCGTCTTGCGAGGTACCACTGTTTTTTCAAGCTACACATCTGATAGCAATATATTTTTCTTACATCCCCCACTAGAAAGCTTTAAAATGGAGGTTCTAAAATATGATCCGAGATCCAGAAAGGCCTGTGCATGCACAGAAACCGGCCAAGTCTCCCTACATGCAGCAGCCTTTCATACATCACTGAGTCCTAGTCTACAGGAGTCCAACCTTTGAGTGGTGCAAGTGCCACCACTGGCCATTCCCATGTGCACGCATGCAGTGCTCTGGAACCCAGAGTGGCTCAATAGCCATATTATTATTTTTTCAAAACAAGCATGGGAGGCACATAGCACTCTAATAATTAGACTTTTCTGAATACTTGGCAATTTTTGACAATTCTGTAAGCTTTTAGAACTTTCATAAGAATGAAACACACCTCCAGCCCAAGTCAGAGCAATTATCCAAAGATTACTGCTTATTAATTCACTTATCCTCTTCAGTGAGCAAAAATAATGGGGATTAGGTTGCCTTCACCTTTTGTGAAGTTCATGCTCAGTTTCAACCAGATGCTTGCAGTCATGATAATTAATTATAACAGGAAGACATGCTAATTGGATTAAGAGATACATGTACCTATTTTCTTTCCAGCTGGAAGTAGTTGTTTCTCTCAGAGATCATTAGAATAGACTAATTACCAGGGACTGAAACAAAATGTGTTCCTTCTATTCTCCCCTGGCAGTTTATCCAACTATCAAAGCATTTATCAAAGCTGTGGGAAAAATATATAGGGTTATATCCAAAATGGGAGCTAGTGTAAGTGGAAAGCATTTTTGCTTGCACAAGCTAGGTTATATGTGCTTTTTATTCACCCTTCTAGCTACTTATTATGTTCCTCCAAAAAGTTGCACGCAATGTCAGGGTACTTTCTGGAACTTCATAGGATGTGGTTCAGAGGGCTGCAGTAGGTAAGAGAAGATTAAAAAAAATTGGATGTCCTATTTTGTTTAAACAGAAGTGCTTTATGCTAAGGAAAAGCCACTACTGGATGCAATTCATAAGATCTAAACTTTAAACAGAAAATATTTCAAACTTTTATTCAGTTTAAGGCAGAGTTGAGATGAAAGGAGAGTGGGCTGAAATCCTATACATATTTACTAATGTAAACCTCTGCTTCAGATTGGGTTCCATATGTAGTTGTTACATAGTTAATTCAAAGGTTAAGCCAGATGAACAGAAACTTTGTCTACTAGAATAATTTCCCTTCTACATACCAGGAGCTTCCTGAAAGTCCTGGTGCTCAGCAGGAAACAGTCTACAGTTGCTAAAATTTGTTTTGATACAACAGAGAAGCACCTCCCAAGGCCACTATTAATTTAAACAAGATTTGTTCTAGCTGACTATTCTTTTTCAGTTATTATCCAAAAGAAACACACTGTTGATTACAATAGGGGGCAAATTTGAAAGACTGCATGTGTTCAGACGGATTTTATATTGCCAAGATATCTTGAAGATTGACACTAGTCCAAAACAGCTGTTCAAATAGTTGCAAGTTTTGGATAAGTTAGCAGTTTACATGGACATTTCTGATTCACATTTATTTAAGTTAAATGACACAAAATCTGTTTAAAGTGTTTTGCACATAAGTAGCATTATCACAATAAATCAGAAAAATTCATTTATATTTTAAGGTGGACCACAGAACCCAATTTCTGCTACAAACTCAGTGGCTAGTCTTGTAAAATTTCCTTTTCAGTTTCATCTCACACATCTGTGAAATAGATTAGCAGAAACCTGCATGCAGAGTTACTGCAAAGGTGAGAAAATAATTATTTTAGACAGCCCAATGGAAAAGCCTGAATAAGAGGAGTCTGAAAAGAAACATGATAGCCATCTTCAAATATCTAAAGGGATGGAACATCGAGCAAGCTTGTTTTCTCCTGCTCTGGAGGGTAGGATCTGAATCAATGGATTCAAGTTACAAGAAAGAAGATTCCAACAAAGCATCAGGAAGACCTTTCTGACAGTAAGACCTCTTGGACAGTGGACTCTTGGACTCTCATTATATGGGGGATTTTAAGCAGAGGTTGGATGGCCATCTGTCGTGTATGCTTTGCAGGGGATTGGACTAGATGACCCGCAGGATCCCTTCCAACTTTATATTTCTATGATTCTATGAGTATTGTTGTCCTGCTGGTTACAAATCCTTAGCCAAACCTTTAAACCCAATTCTGATTAATTTTCTTTCTTTCAGTAAACAGAATCTACAAACTCTTGCACAAGCTAGACAGAGAGGGTGAAGGAGATACAGAAGTAAAATACACATCCAAAAGCAGAAATCCTATCAGGACTGCATTGTTCAGGATCATTTAAAGAAAAAGATTGTGAAGAGCTCCAAAAGGCTTCTACAAATTAAGTGACTGGGTGGTGAAATATGAAATAGAATTCAACATAAAAAAAGTGTAAAGATATGAAAGCTGGCACAAAAAATATTAATTTCACATATGTGGATGGGGTCTGAACTGGCAGTGACTGACCAGGAATAAGACCTCAGGTTTGTAGTAGATAGCTTGATGAAAATGAAAAACTACTGTACAGTAGCTGTGAAAAAGGCAGATTCCATGCTAGAGATTATTAGGAAAGGAATTGAAAATAAAACTCCTAATATTATAACACCATTGTACATTTGGAATACTGTGGTTGCCTCACCTCAAAAAGGATATTGTAGAATTGGAAAAGGTTCAGAAAAGTGTGATCAACATGACCCTTAAAAGGGAATAAAGCAACACCCATATGAGGAAAGGATGCAATCTTTGGAACTTTTTAGTTTAGAGAAAAAACAAGTAATAGATGTTTGTAAAAGTATACATGGCATGGAGAGAGTGAAAGTTTTTCTCCCTCTCATAACACCATGGGCATCAATGAAGCTGCTGGTGGAAAATTCAGGACAAATAAAATAAAGTACTTCATACAGTGCATAGTTAAAACTATGGAACTCTGCTCCCACAGGAGGCAGTGATGGCTACCCACTTGGATGGCTTTAAAAGAGGACATATTCATGGAGAATATGGCTCTTAATGGCTACTAACCGTGATGGCAATGCTCTGCTTCCATGATCAGAGGTAGCAATGCTTCTGAACACCAGTTGCTTGCAGGTTTCCCACAGGCATCTGGATGGCCACTGTGAGAACAGGATGCTGGACTAGGTGGGCCACTGGTTTGATTCAACAGGGCCCTTCTTATGATTTTTTTTTTTTAAGGACGTCACCTACAGTCCCAGAACAATGGGAAGCAGGGCAGAAACTTTCCCCCAAATAGAGGGGGCAGATTCTGCACATACACAGCAGCAACTGCAAAACCTTAGCGCCTGCTCCTCCTTCACCCAGTCCGCCCACCAATTCGGAGGTTTTGTTCTGTGCACCAAAAATGAATGGGTGGTTTTAAATCTAAACACAAGCCACCTTCGCCCAGAAGTGCTCCAGCCCAGTCTCTCTCTCTCCCCGATCACCTCCCTATCTCTCTGAACGCAAAAGCAGGAGCCCCGATTCAGAGGCGGTTGGGGGGGGGGTCTCCATTCCCGCACCTCCCGCCTTCCTCCCCCCCCCCGCACTCACTCACCTGTCTTGAACGTCAGCTGCGGGTCGTTGGGGTCTCCGAACTCCTTGAGCATGGCTTTGAAGAGGACCCCGCACGAGTTCTGGATGCCGAACACGGCGCCGTTGCACCACATGGAGGCCAGCATGACCACCCACCCCCAGCCGCCCTCGGGGGGCTCGAACGGCGCCTCGCCTCCCTTGGGCGGCGGCGTGGGCGGCTTCTGCAGCTTCTTCTCCGGGGGGCTCCCGGCCGCCGCGAACGCCGTCACCGGGGGCGGCTCCCCGGCGGCTGCCTCCAGCGAGGAGAGCAGCGTCTGGTGCGAGCACCACTCGCCGCCGTTCTCCTGCTTCGGCTCGTCGCCCAGCGCCTCGCCCCCCTCCAAGGGGGCCACGGGGGCAGCCGGGGGGCAGCCGTCCCCCGCTCCCACCTCCTCGCTGACGGGAGACATCGCAGCCCGCCGGCGGGAGCTAAGCGGAGGGAAGGAAGGGCGGCTGAGGCGGCCTCACGCGGCTGCTCGCTCCTTCGCTCTGCCCCCCTCTCTCTCGCTCCCTCGCTCGCTCTGCCTCTCAGGAGCCCAGCCGCCGCCGCCGCCTCTCGCTCGCTCCCTCCTCAACTCCGCGGAGGCAACGCGGTCATCTCTCTCGAAAGAGGAACGGGAATGAGCGGGTGGGGGGGTATCAAACTTCTCGACAGGAAAAGAAACTCAGCGCTTTGAAAACATATATATAGTATATACAAATAGATCTATATAATTCCCCCGTATAAAATTCTCCCTCACAAACCGGCCCCTGAGGGTGGTAAATTCGCTCAGGGCGCCTTCAGGTTATTTTAAAGGGGTAACCCCCCACCCCGCGCGCGCCCCACCAAGGGGCGTGGCTGGCAAAGGGGCGTGCTCCCTTGCTACCACCTTCTCCGTCCCCCTAATCCTGAGGTTCTCACTGGCTAGGAGGCGGGGAAGCTCCGCCCTCTCCGTGGGCCGCAGCGGAAGGCTGGGAGGGTGAGGCGGGAGAGAAGGAGAAAAGCACAGCGTGCCAGTGGATGAGGAAACTGACTCCAGCCTTGCAGCGACGTTCGGGAGAGAACGTGCCTCTTGGCGCGCTTGCGCGCGTGCCGAGCCATAAGTCAACAGTTAACGACCACCCATGGAAGGCGGTTGGTGGAAGGCGGCGGCAGCGAATGGAGCTGCTTTCCTCCCTCAGCAGGCGCAATTTGGCGCGCGGGGGCGGGCGGGGAGGGGTGAAGGGGGCGGGGAAATTGAGAAGGCAACGTCCCCGTGAGCTTTGCGACAGAGTTCATACAGAGATATATATGAAAACACATACACTTCTATACTGTATATAAAACGTAAAGTATGAAAAGAGCGGCCCCAGAGACTGGAACCGTAACACACACAAGGCAAGGTGTGTGTCTGTGACGTCAGTCGCCTCCCCAAAGTCAGCGACATACTTTGCTGGCAGGGCGACAGGGAAACAAAGGTTCTGCCAAGGTACAGGACAAAGGGGCAAGCCTTTTTCCCAGAGTTCAATTGCTTACATATGGGAACACAGGTCCAAGAAGAAAAAGAGGAAAATATGTTTGTCCTGGGCATTGATTACTTACTGAGCCACATAGCACAAATGGAGATAGGTCTCTTGAGGAACAACTTTTAAAAGTAAAATCCAGAGAGGGAACAGCAGGGTTTATAACCCCCCCCCTTCAAGTATATACTTTAGTGTACCACAAACACCTTATAATAGATTTACTGTATAAGCTTTTGTGGACTACTCCCTTTTGTCGACACACACACAATCACAATCACTTTCTCCTTTTCTGATAAGCTTGTGACACAGGAGGAATTTGGTCTGTTTTTCACAGGAAACAGATGCAATCTGCTGTTGCCAGTTTAATGTTCTTGCAGATCACAGCACAACTCCCAGCCAGTCACACTTCCAGATTTTGCAGTGCTTCAGTGTGCAAAAAATACAGATTTTTTTTCTCCTGAAAAATGCATTGAGAAGCATTGAAAATGTATTTTATGTAAAAAGGGCGTATGAAATTCATACAAATGCAAATGCAGGCTTAAAAACAAAAATTAACACAAAATGAGAGAAAACATACCTGTGTGTGAGTGCTAGGAAAACCGAAACAGAACTGAATCAGGCTTATGTAGCACAAATGGTACAAGTAATGCACAATAAAGAAAAAGCGGAAGGCATGGGGGGAATCCCAATATTTGCAGAAGTACCAAAAAATTGGTTGGTGCGGGGAAATGCCCAGTATAGACTGGTTGTGTTTAGTAGGTAACAAATGCTGGTTGACTGTTGAGGCCAGGGCTAGAAACCTGAATAAGAGCACTCCACACTACAACATTTTGTTGCAGCCCCCACTTGTGCCAAAATAAATCTGTTAAGGTCTTATATTGCCAGAAAACTTTGTCAGTTTTTTAAAGAGATATTACATAACTAAAACAGTCCCACAAGGACAATGTAGGCAATATATCACCATGTACAAACACAGCCAAAAGCACAATACAAAGTCAGGTGTTTACTGATATAGCAATATCCTGGTTTTTGCTATTTTTGTCTTGCCGTATTAATGCCAATTATTTAGAAATGTAGGTTCAAGAAGGATCATTTACAGAATACCATAAAAATATACCACACCCATTAAAAGCAATAAAAGGGCTGTTGTTCGTTTTGTAAGCAGAGTTACTAGGGAGAAATCACTTTTAAAAATACGGTTTGGTTAAGATATGCATGTGCATAGGGGTGTCATATTAAATGTGTAACACTAGGTATCCTGGTGGCTAACATCTGCTATTTAGTTACACAAGTCTGGTCTGGGAGAAACTGAGTTCTTTTAAAATACTGTACTGAGAGAGACTTTTGTAAAATTACACTTCTGATTGACTTATTGGGCAGAAGATATTGGTCACTTGTTGGATTAGGAAACTAGTCTGATGAGGGGGAGAATTCTATGCTGCTCTGATATGATTGACTGAAGGATATGTTGGCTGAAATATAAAGAGGCCAAAGTCCAGAGAGGAAGCTGTCCGTCCCCCTGCACAGCAACAAAAATTGTTAAAAACAAATAATTGAACCAACAGGAAAGCCTTTGTTTTCCGTTCTTCAAGGTCCTCATGCTTTTCTGTCTCTCTCTGGCCAACCAAACCCCAAGCCACAAAAAATAAGCGGGGGCATGCTAAGCCAATCAGAACTATGCATTCTAAATTTATCAGTTTGGTCTTTCTAGTCTGCATTTTCCCTCCTTCGCTAGCTTGCAGCAGCCTGTGTAAGTTTTCTTTGTGGAGGAGGACCTAGCAGCACATCTTTTCTTCTTTGCTAAGGTGGGTTGTGAGGGGAAAAAGGACTCTTAAGAAACTATTTTTCCCATGGTGAGGAGAGAAGTGAGCATTCTGGAGGCTGAAATGCGTGGGAAATCCTTTGTGGCTAGGATGGGTAGTAATCCTAAACACTCTGGGTTGTATTATACTAAGTCCTACCCATTGAAAGTAGTAAACCTAAGTCATGTCTATTAACTTCAGTGGGTTTACTCTTGAGTAGGTCTAGCATTGCATACTACCCACTTATGTCAAAATACATGTATATGTGTGTGAATGATGATAATGAGATGGAGGGTGAAGAAGAGAGAAGTTAGTCTCCCCAATTTCAACATACATCTCTTGTGTTTCAAGTTTTTTTAGGCAAGTGAGTAAACCCTATCTTCCATGACAGTGAGACAATGGGTATCTTATTAACACCCTGCTTTTTAAATCACTGTCAGTGTGGACAAATGGAAGGGAAAGAACAGAGTTCCAATTACAATATTTTGTCTATATTCATGTTTCCAACTGAGAGACACTTGATTTCCACATCTGTTACAGTCCTACCGCCCAAATGGCTACTCTCAAATGGGAACAGAAAGTGAAGGCAAAGTCGCTTTTGAATCTCTTCTGAGCTCTATGGAGGAAATTAAGGCTATAGCCACATACCTGGGAGTAAGTCCCAATTAACTTACTGGAACTTGCTTTGTCTTTTTATTCCTTAACAAAAAGCATTTTTAAAAAACTAGCCATATAACCCAAATAACAAAATAGAACTTCATGAAACAAACACATGAAAATTAAACCAAACCATACCAAGGTGGGCATGGAATGTTCACAATAAGAAATATTAAATCTGGTTATCTGGATATTTGCAGTGTGATACAGACAGGTAAACAGAGAGTACCATCAGAAGAAATAAGAGAACAAGAGGTGTGGTGCACATGACTTGCAAGATATACAGAAACATAAACCTGTGATTGAAACCATCAGAGGCACAAGGAATACCAAGAATAAAAGGCTCTATATTACATAAAGAAAAATAAAAAAATCAACCAGTTAGGTATTGCTTGTCCCAAATCTAATAGGACTTACTTCTGAGTAGACATAGGGTTGCACTGTTTACAGAGCAAGACAATCTCCATGATTGTTATCGTGAGGTGTTGGCCACTGGTTGGCACACTTTTAAAAGTGATTAGTCAAAGTAGGGCTTGAGACCCAAAGCCTTTCCTGTTGCCAGCCTCCACAACACAACTTCAGCTTACTCAGGTAGACTGCCTCTGAAACTTTGAGTTCCCTATAGCAATCTTTCCTCCATCCATGTTCAGAGGAAGTCTATGTCTGAATTTGCTGAAAGAGACAACAGACTAGCATTATTGACTTCAAACCCAAGTGCATACAAATGGTGTTCAATTAATTGTGTATGTCATAATTTTTGTATTTTTTTGGGGGGGGGGGGGAGGTGCCAGTACTCACTTTGAAGTTGTTATAGTAAGTGCCACAGTAAGTGTGTGTGAGAGAGAATATATGAATAGAGAAGAGAATGACTGGAGAGAGGACAGAGAAAAAAAGATGCTTCCCTGCCTAGTTTTGATATTGGACACACCTGCCAGATGGAGCCAATGCCAAATGTGGGCAAGAAAGCCCATTCCCTTTCTCTTTCTGTCCCCTCCTTTCATTCATTTTTGTATTCATATATTTATTTTACACACACGTTTCTGGGAGAATGTGACCCTCAGCCCTAAGAATGTTGCCCACTACTGGCATAAGGTATGGCGATAGGACTAAGAAAAGTATATAAAGCAATTCTGAGCGTTTAGAGAAGAGAGAGTAAAAGGCAAATTATATGAGCAAATGCATAGCCGCAACTCCTTATTTGCAGAAATAACAAGGCTGCAGAGACACAGAGTGGGGGACATTCCTCCTAAACTCATCACTTCTCCTCTAGCTCCTTTCCACTTACAGAGCCTGCATGTGGGGTGGACTCAAGGCAGCTTACAGATAAAAACAAGGACTGCTAAAAACATGGGGGGGGGCGGAAACAACATAATTAAAATACAATTAAAACTAAAGTGCATGAAGGTGGTGGGTTTGTAGGGAACAATCAACAGGCAAAGGTAAGTGTGTCTCAACCTTCTACATTAGCAATATAAAATGCATTTCAGGTTGAAAAGACCTTGGCTTCCCCCCTTCCCTCCCCTCCCAATATTTATTTGGTATGGGGCACAAAGGAGAATGAGGGTGGATACAGGGTCATAGGCAGTGGAACAAATACATTTGGAGTAGAGAGTCCTAGCTGATTAAGGGTGGACAAAGTGCTCTGCAAGCAGGGGTGGCCAACTTAAAATATTGGGAGGGTAGGTACACCATTTGAACGGCAATGCCCATCAACTTTGGTGGGGAACAGCCCCCTCCAATATTTTATTGTAGGGGGGCCAAGGGAGCTAGGAACTGGCTTCTATGTTCACAAGGGATATTGGAGTTGCTTATTTTTCTATGGAAGATTCTTGACCTTTCAGAGCAGGCTTTCTGGAGGATGCAGGAAGCTGTGGTAGAAAGCAGGAAGTAAAAAGCCCCCTCTCTGTACATGTGATTTATTGTGTGTGACTCTTAGCATCTAATACTTTTTTGAGCACTATAATCTATTTGTCTTCTTTCTCTTCCATGCACAAACAATTAATTCCAACAAATAATTCATTTCAAGTTGATCTGTGTACAATAAGAATAAAAACAAGAAAAGTAACTAGAGCTTTA